ATTTTTCAATATAATTTGTAATATATCCATTGATTATATATAATTTCTCCAACACTTTATTTTGAAATATTCAAACATATAAAAAAATTAAAAGAATGCTATAGCAGATACTCATATACCCACTATTTAGATTCAAAATGTAACAACATTTTGCCACATTTACTTTCTGTCTGTTTCTCTCCTTCTGAAATATTTAAAACTAATTTGCAGACGTCATGAGATTTCATGCCTAAATTCATCAGATACCTCCTAAGATTAAGGACTTTCTTCTACCCAATTACATTACCATTATTTCAACCAAGTAAAATTAACAGTGATTTTTATCACATCATCTGTTTCATCCATATTAAAATTTTTTTAAATTTAAAAATTTTTTCCAATTGTTTTCCCAAATTTTTATAGCCTTTCTGCCCTAGAAATATTTTTCTTTCTCTTTTGCAGTTGCATAGTATTTCACTTAGTATGTCCACAATAGTTTGTTCAGCCACTGTCCTATGGCCATCCGGATTATTTCCAATCATTTATTCCTAGCAATACCGCGGTGAATCACTTCATATGTCTATGTTTCTATGTTGGCTCATATTTGTGGCAGTATATCTTTCGGAAGATTCCTAGAAATGGGATCACTGGATTAAAGGCAGATGCATATATAATTTTGTTAGCTATTGCCATAGGGGTTACACATTTGTCCTCCCTTCAGCTCTGTATGAGAGTACCTGTTTCCTCATTGGGTGGGTATCACATATGGGTTAGGAAGCTTTTCATAAAGGTATTTAAGTGACTTAAGAGTCACCTGCTGGTACTAAGAGTGAGCTGGAGACCGGATATTTTGGAACCTCTAGGAAAATAGCCAGGTTTTGTTAGAAACCTTAATGTAGAGGACGGTTGAAGAAAATCCTCTAAAGAAGCACAATTAAACCAACTGTAGCAGGGGTTCTGGGTGCCCTGCCCATATTCCCCTGCCCTGATCAATTCAGTACAGAGCTGCTTAACTTCTTACCACAAGTTCATGCATTTCTCTGCTGGTTCTCTGGTTCCTGAAACGCACTTTGTTGATATGCAGGCCATAAGCGCCACAGAATTAATGTGCCTTGGAAGTAACTTTCAGTCGATGACTGGCAAGATTTGGTATATTTCTATACCAACTCCCTCGGTCTTGGGGGTAATTGACACTAAGGCTTCCAGAGTTTCCCCCGAGGGATAAAGCTCCAAATTTCTACCATGGTAGCTGCCTTGATAATGCACCCTTTATTTGCTCTACCTTCTCCCTTCCCCTACTGATTATTTTTTCACTTTTTTTGTTTTGTTTTGTTTTTGTTTTTGAGATGGAGTCTCACTCTGTCACCCAGGCTGGAGTACAATGGTGCAATCTTGGCTCACTGCAACCTCTGCCTCTCCTGCCGCAACCTCCAGAGTAGCTGGGACTACAGGTGCCCACCACCATGCCCAGCTAATTTTTCTATTTTTAGTAGAGATGGAGTTTGCCATGTTGGCCAGGCTGGTCTCGAATTCCTGACCTCAGGTGATCCGTCCATCTCGGCCTCCCAAAGTGCTGGGATTACAAGCATGAGCCACCGCATCAGGCTGATTTTTTTCACTTTCTATGCAACCTGCCTGCATTTCAATTTTTGTCTCAGGATCTGCTTCTTGGAAACCCAAAATAAGACACAGACAAAAAAAAAAAAAAAATCCAAGCATTTCCCCTAATTTGTTTCTAGAAAGCATAAAGCATACACATATATTTTAAAAATCATAATTTAGAAACAAATAATTATTTAATTAAATGTGTTAGCCTTGTATCTCCAATAAAATAAATCATGCTAAATGACCCAGTAATGTCTTGATATGCCACAGAAATAATCAACTGAAAGAAACTACACCACTCTGTATGCAGAAGCAAAAAACACTTCTCTACTTTCAAGGTGTTTCATAGTCTATCTGGAAAGACAAGATGAATGTAAGCAAAGCATTAATGAATCACACAATTGATGCCCCTATTTGTGAAACAGACCACAAGCACTTTGACAGTAAGAGTTGACAATAAGCAGAGAGGCATCTGAGGAGGATTTCTTACAAGGGATAGCTTTATGCTGGTCTCAGAAGGAAATATTTAGTTTCAAGGAGAGGCAAACAAGTGCAGTTGGAGACAGACAAGATTATAGTGATCTTGATGAGGTCCATAGAGAATAATTCTACTGAGAAATGTGGTTGGGATTGATCTGGAGAACTCAAAAGCTACACTGAGAGTTCTGCCTCCAGACCACCATAGCAAAAAGATGTTAACAGAAAAAGAAAAAAACATACCACATGGACATTGTAATCTACATAAAGGAATGAAGAACACTAGAAATAGTAAATATGAAGGTAAATATTTTTAGAAATCAATAACAGTAAGATGCACAGAAAAATCCCCGAATGTTTAAAACATAACAGCATGCTTCTAAATGACCTATAAGTCAAGTAACAAAGTATAAGAGAAATTGGCAAAGAGATTTTACTAAATAAAAATGAAGCAACAATATATCAATAATTTTCTGATGCAACCAAGGCAGTCGTGGAAAGAAATGTATAGCATTCTTTTTTTTTTTTTTAACTTTAAGTTCTGGGATACATGTGCTGAATGTGCGGGTTTGTTACATAGGTATAATGTGTCGTGGTGGTCTGCTGTACCTATCAACCTGTCACCTAGGTTTTAAGCCCCACATGCATTAGGTATTTGTCCTAATACTCTCCCTCTCCTTGCCTCCCACCCTCCAAGAGACCCTGGTCTGTGATGTTCCCCTTCCTGTGTCCATGTGTTCAACTCCCACTAATGAGTGAGAACGTGTGGTGTTTGGTTTTCTGTTCCTGTTAGTTTGCTGAGAATGATGGCTTCCAGCTTCATCTATGTCCCTGAAAAGGACATGAACTCGTTCCTTTTTATGGCTGCATAGTATTCCTTGGTGTATATGTGCCACATTTTCTTTATCCAGTCTATAGCATTCTTATATTAGAAAATTGGAAAAATATCAAGTCAGTGGCCTAACTTCCACCTTAAGAAACTAGGAGAAAAACCCCAGCAAATTAAACTCAAAGTAACAAGAAAATAATTAGAAAGGTAAGAATATAATTTAATTAAATGGAAAACAAAGATAATAGGAAAATAAATGAAACCCAAATTTGGTTATTTCATCTAGGTGTTGCTGGTTTTGAGTCTTTTCCATTCTGGTTTGATTTTTGTGCATTGTTGGCTGGAGTGTCTCATAGATTTCTTCACTGGTACTTTTTCTTCAGTTTTCTCATCATCAAAATCATCATCGTCTTCTTCAACATCATCATCTTCATCTTCATCAGCAGCAAGTTTTAATTTTTTTCTGTGGAACCTTGCTACCACCCCTAGGTGCTGATTGCTTTCCAGACATAGTTAAGAGTTTCACATTCTCCTCCTTTTCATCTTCTGACTCTGCATCTTCCTCCACAGCTACTAAGTGCTGCCCACTAATATGCATTGGCCCTGAACCACACTTCAACTGTAAGACCATGGATGGTGTTATTTCAAAGACCCCAAGGGAAACCACTGGCTGTACAGGCATTTTCAAAGTTGGCAGTGTTACTTTAATTGAACTGCCTTTGTAATTCATTGTCTCCACTTCAACAATGTGCAGTCATCTTTTGCATTAGCCCCTAATCTGACCATTCTTAAACACAAGTCATGTTCCTTTTCATCATTATCCACTTTAAAAGGATCATCTTTGTCAGCCTTTAATTCACAACTGAGGAGATAGTTGTGGGGCCTCAGGGGGCTCGTGTCCATGTCCACTGAGTCCTCCAGGGGGTGGTGGCACGTACTTAGGTGGGAAAGAAGGTGGACAGAGATAAATAACCCCTGCTCCAGGGAACAGCTGTGCAGGATGGCATCACATCAGCCAAACTTGGTTATTTAAGAAGATCAATAAATTTGGTAAACCTCTAGAAAGATGAACTTTAAAAAGGGAAAGAATTAAAGATGAGAGAAAGTGAGAGAGAGGTCATGAATTGAGATGGGACTCACTAGTGATACTTTAAAGACATTAAAAGAATAATAAGAGATTTTTATGAATGCCTTTCTGCCAATAATTTCTACATGTTGGAGCCAATGGAAAATTTTTTTAAACAAACAAAAAAAAAAACTACAGAAAGCTCACTAAAGAAGGAATAGATAACCAGAATAGCCCTATATCTATTATTAAAATTGCCTTGTAGTTAAAGCCTTCTTACAGAGAAAACTTTGGACCTATTTAACTCCAATGATGAATTCTACCAAATACATAAAGATAAAATAACACAAATTCTGCACAAACTCTAGAAAATTGAAAAGCAGGAAATACTTCCCAACTCAGCTATGTGGCCATTGTTAAACAGATGCCAAGACCAGGCAAACACATTCCAAGAAAATAAACCTACAGACCAAAATCTCTCATGAACAAAGAACAAAAAGCACATTTAATTACACAGAATTTCCAGTAAATTGTTCTCAGTTCACAATCAGGCTACCTGGGACTCAGAGAAAATATTGCGATGTTTCATTGAGTCTTATTCCAAGAGGTCATCTATGAAGACTTACTTTGGAAAGGAAACATTCAGGCAGAAATCTGGTCCTGTCCTCCAGGAGGAAAGATCCATAGACTCTAGGGACAGTGCTCCCAAGGGCAAAGAGCCTGTCCTCATTCCCAAGGTCTCATTCTCAACACAATTCCTTTATGCTGTTGTGGTTCTTGGTGTATCAGTGCTGGGCTATGGGCCCAGTAAAGGGGTGAGACCCACTGTGGGTTCTTCACTTGTTAAGTTCCCTTGGCCTCTGAGATGTACCAGACAGCAGTCTAAACTGCCCTATTAGGGTGTCAACAAGGATCATGAAGGAAAAGTTTAAAAACATGTTGGGAGTCCATGCCTAGACCCTTGGTGGCCCTGGGCATGGAGCTGGGGGTTGTAGCCATAGCTCCATGGCTTGGTGGTCATATCTGCTCTTCCTCTGTGTTCAGGTGGATCATTATGCCTTGCTGTCAACCTTGCAGCTGATGTACACCGTGGGATACTCCTTCTCTCTCATCTCCCTCTTCCTGGCTCTCACCCTCCTCTTGTTTCTTCGGTGAGTAGAACTTCTGCAGACATATGTTCAGGAAGATTGAACCAACCCTATGTTTCGTTCTATCCCCTTGATTTTTCCTAGACATGCATACCTATGAAAAAGTTTAATAAATTAGGCACAGTGAGAGATTCACAACAACAACCAATAATAAAATAGAACAGTTATAACACTGTACTACAATAAGAGTTATGTGAATGTGGCCTCTCTTCCTCTCAAAATACTTTATCATACTATGTTCAGCATTCTTTTCGTGATGGTCAATGGATGGAGCTGGTCAGTGTTAGATTTCATTGCTACTCAGAATAGCACATCATTTAAAATTCACAAACTATTTATTTAATTATTTATTTCTGGAAGTTTTTCATTTAATATTTTTGAGCTGCAGCTGACCATGATCGACCACAGGTAACTAAACCGTGGAAAGCAAGATTGTGGATAATGGGGGACTATGGTATTGTGTAATTTGCTCATTGGCTACCTCTGGAAGGCAGTGGAAGACTGGCCTGGATGTGTCCTGAATCATCAAAGCTGGAAATGACCTGAGAGAGGCTGAGGTCCATCCATCCCATTTTGCAGATGAAGGGGAAGGAAGGGATGGCAATGACCCAGTCAGAGGCATTGAGTCGCCTCTGATCATAAAGCCAGTTGGCTGCACAGCTGGAACTTGAGCCCAAGACTCCTGACAGCACTACCTCCTTTGGATTAGACACCTGTTGTCGGTCTGGCCTCGGTGTAAATCCCTGATCACACCCATTGCCGCCACAGCCCATTCCCACCACACCTCAATCAGAGGCATTCTTTTTACAGAGATTAAGAATCTTCCCCAAGGTAAACAAGTTGGTGGAAGAGCTGGGATTTTAATCAAGGGTCCTCAGACTCCAATTAGCTATCAAATTTAAGTGCTTACTCCTAAGAGTGTTGCATGCATTAAGCCTTTTAAATGTTATCCTAATTCAAATTAGGATTAATTCTAGTCCTAGGAGGTTAGCATTATTATTACCCCCACTTGATAAGTGAGTTAGTTGAAATATGGAGAGGGGAAGTAACTTGCCCAAGATCACCAGCTGGTGGGTGATGCAGCCAGGATCACAACCAGGCAGTCCAGGATCTGAGCACTTTCACTCCCTAAACTGTTTTTCAGCATTCCAAAGCCTGAGTGCCTTTTACTAATCATGTTTGTAGAAATTACCCAAGTGAAACATTTATGGACCCACTAGAAAGCTCTCCAAAGCTGTCTCAGGAGCACAAGTGGATATCACATGGCAGAATGAGCATCTGACATAGGTGTAGGAGACCTGAGTGTCAGCTCCAGAGCTCCTGCCCACCTGGGCTCTGCTAGCCCTGGGTTGGGCCTCATGTGATTCCTCAATCCTGAGATGTTCTGAAGATTCTAGGGTAGAGGAGTCATGACCATCTACCCAATATCGGAAGAACAATGCTTGAGTTACAGGAGACCTCTACAACTTGCATCCACTGATTTTCTGTGACCTCCTTCCTCCATGCCCTGTTCCAAAGTCCCAGGACCAAGACAGAAGAAAATAACTGCCCAGTCCTGTAGGAAGTCACTTCAGCTAAGCCTGGGACAATCAAGTGTCAGTTTTGCCTAAGGCTTGGGGAAAAGTGAGGCCCAGTTGCTGCCCTCAAATAGCCCCCAATCTAGTTAGAGAGACGAATGTGTAAATCACAAGACACAGGAACCTGCCTCAAGTCCTTTTTGGAACTTGAAAATGTAATAATAGCTCTAAAGCAAAATGGAACAGGATACATGCTGCCCAGAGAGCACAGTGGTGGAAAGAGGTCTTTTTGCTGGAGACATCGAGGATGCACAATGTCACATCACACACAAAGAGCCTGCAGGAGACTCCAGGTGCATAAGGAAGAGGTGATGAGAGCTGGCATTTTTCTGGACACTTATTTCTGTGCACAGATTAACTGATTTAATCATCTCACAACCCCTGGAGGTAAGTGCTCTTGTTCTCAGAGGCAGAAGAGCCTGAGAAACCTATACTTTGTCCTGAGAATTTCTGTGTCTGAATCTCAGCTCTACGCCTTACTGCTCTGGGACTTTGGAAAGATGACTTAATCATTCTGCTTTAATTATTTCATTTATAAAATCAGGGTAATAATGATGCATAGTCCACCAGTGGTGGTAAGGAGTAAGAATACCCAAAATAGCAGTGTATGTAAATGATTTGGAACATGGCTGGCATGTTGAAGGTGTTTTGTAGGTGATAACTATTATTATTCCCATTTTACAAATGAGGAAAATGAGGCACAGAGAAATCAGGTCACATAATCCAGCAGTCCTGTTCTACAGCCTATACCATGACCCTCTGTCTTTAGTGATAGATACACAGGCATAAAAGGCATAGGCTTGCTGGTCAGAGCTGTTCTCTTCTGAGGGAAGGCATTCGATTTTCTCCCCGCACAGAAAACTCCACTGCACACGCAACTACATCCACATGAACTTGTTTGCTTCTTTCATCCTGAGAACCCTGGCTGTACTGGTGAAGGACGTCGTCTTCTACAACTCTTACTCCAAGAGGCCTGACAATGAGAATGGGTGGATGTCCTACCTATCAGAGGTAACCCCCTTCCCCACTGTTTAAATTGAACTCTCCACCTGATGGGTCAGTACTGGGAATCAGAAGGCAGGCAGGTGGGACTGGGGAGGGGGAGGAGGAGATAAAAGGGTTTCCAAGACTTTCTGGCTAGTACATGATGTAACAAAACCACCGGCTGCCAAGAGCAGGCCAGGTGAAGGAGACCAAAAGCAGAAGGGTTCACCGTGGCTGCTGTATGTCCTTGGGCGAAAATTTCTTCATGTACAACCAAAAGAATTGGACCAGATCAACATTTTTTTTTTTTTTTACAATTATAGCTGGCCCTCTGTATCCATGAATTCTGCATTCATGAATTTAACCAACTGGGATAGAAGATATTTGAGAACAAAAAGGATGATTGTGTCTGAACTGAACATACACAGACTCTTTCCTTGTCATTCTTCTCTAAACAATACAGTATAACAGCTGTTCTCACAGCATTTATACAGTTTTAAGTATTATGAGCAACCTAGTGATGCTTTAAAGTATGTGAGAGGATATGCGTAGGTTACAGGCAAATACTATGCCATTTTATATAAGGATTTTGGTATCCACAGCGGGTCCCAGAAACAATCTCCCGAGGATACTGAGGGACAGTTGTACTATTTCCTTAAAGCAGCAAAGTTTTTCCACATTGAAATCTACATCTATTGAGATGATTTTTCTTTTACCCTGCTAAATGATGCAGTAACCTATTAAACTAACCTTGCGTTCCTGGAATAAATCCAACTAGGTTTTGATATATTATTTTCTTTCTCCTAAGTTGCTGTCCTTGGGTGGCTAGTACTGTGTTTTGTTTAGTGTTTTCTTGTTGAGATTCATGAGGAACCTGTAATGCCTTTGTCAGTTTGGGGATCAAGTTGGTGCTAACCTCTTAAAACAAGTTAGAACTTGTTTCCTCTTTCACTATTCTCTGGAAGAATTTATTAAAGATGACTATTATTTCTTCCTTAAATATTTGATAGATTGTGCTAATGAAGCATTTTGGTCCCAGAGTTACTTTATTGGAAAGTTTTAAACTATGGATTAGTTATGAAGCTTATATCCAGATTCTATTTCTTCTGTCAGCTGAAGTAAATGGGTTTTTCCAGGAATTTGTCTATTTCATTGAACTCTTCAAATTTATTGGCTAATGTTGTTTGTGATATTCTCTTCAGATCTTTTTCAAGTCCATTGGATCTGTAAGAGTGTTCTCATTTTCATTCCTGATATTGATTATTTGTATCTTTGCTCTGTTTTTCAACCCTTTGATCATCTTGGCAAAAACTTTCTCAACTATATTCGACTTTTCAAAGAATAAACTTTTGGCATTGTTGAGTTCTCTTTATTGCATGTTCTCTATTTCATTAACTTCTGCTTTTATTATTTCCTCCCATGTACTTTCTTTGGGCTTAGTTAGCTATTCTTTTTCTAACTTTTTTTTACATGATCTTTAAAATACTTGATACTCAGCCTTTATCTCTTTAAAAAATGCACTTAAGGCTATAAGTTTTATTCTAGGTTTGGTATTAGCCATATACTGTAAGTTCATGCAGTATTTTCCTTACATTCAGTTAAGAAATACTTTCTAATTTCTGTTTTATTTTTTTTCTTTGTTCAATGGATTGCTTAGAAGTCTATTTTTAAATTTCCAATTATATGAACATTTTAAAATTATTGATTTTAGCTTAATGGAACCGAGGTTAGAGAATATACTCTTCAGTGTTTCCGTTAGGGTAGTTACTGATGGTGAATTTTCTACATTTTTGTTTATCTAAAAATATCTATAATGTAAGGAAGAAGCTGGCTTTGAAAACATACATGAAGCCCTCCTTCTTTCACATTCTGGTATTATTGCCAACCTCCCTGAGACGGTCAGCAAGGGTCTGGGAGAGACGAGAGTAAGGAGGGAGGGGTTGTCCCTGGAAGGCCTTCTACCCCAGACTCAGTGTCAGATGCAGGGGAGCCTGGACTCACCTTCAGGCGTTTTGTCCTCTGCAGATGTCCACCTCCTGCCGCTCAGTCCAGGTTCTCTTGCACTACTTTGTGGGTGCCAATTACTTATGGTTGCTGGTCGAAGGCCTCTACCTCCACACGTTGCTGGAGCCCACAGTGCTTCCCGAAAGACGGCTGTGGCCCAGATACCTGCTGTTGGGTTGGGGTGAGTGACCTGACCTCTGGTCTCCTCTTCTGGGGATCCATCAAAATATGGGAGCCTGATAGAGACTTTAGTTGGACTTAGAAAGCTAGCTGGAGGTTGCTTCTGGGACATATCAGTCCTCAAGGACAGGAAGTTTTGAAGAGGGGTGTGTGTATGTGTGTGTATGTGCACACGTGCACAAATATGCGTATATTCACAGGTGCTATAGGCCCAATGGACACATTTGAAAACTGAGAAATTTGGTGGAATCTGATGCTATTCCTCCTACCCTGTCTCCAACTGTATTAATCTGCTTGGAATGTCAAAACAAAATACTCATGTGGTTTAAACAACAGACATTGATTTCTTATGGTTCTGGAGGCTGGGAAGTTCAGCATGGTTGGGTTCTGGTGAGGGCTCTCTTCCTGGTTTATAGCCAGCTGCCTTCTTCCTGTATTCTCACATGGTGAGGAGAGAGAGAAAGCAAGCTCTCTGGTCTGTTTTTATAAGGGCACTAACACTGTCATGAGGACCCCACCCTCGTGACCTCAGCTAAACCTAAGTAATTACCAGTAATTACCACCAAATACCCTGTCTCCAAATGCCATCACATTAGGGGTAGGGCTTCAACATATAACTTTTAGGAGGATACCTATATTTTGTCCATAATATCAGGTCTTCAAGAAGAGGTTTTCTGATTAAAAAAATATGACCAAGAGTATCTAGATTTGGACCTGATACCTCCACAAATCCTTTCAAGAATTTGGTGCCGCAGGATTCAGAGGAAATAACCTGGGGCCAGTAATTCAGGAGATTTGGGTTAATATCCTTGGATTTATTCTCAGCTGCTTCGTGACAAGTATCGAGTTGCTTTCCCTCTCTGGGTCCTGGTTTCCTGGACGGTAAAACAATGGTTGGGCCCTGTGCATCCTGGGTCTCTCCAGCTCTCACAGTCTACAACTCCATGATGTTTAGGTTTTTATGTTTTAACCACCTGTGGTTAGTCCCATCAGCTGTGGTGGGAGACAAGCCAGTTTGGCCAACCAACTCCTAACTACATTTCCCTGTGTTTTCTCCCTAGCCTTCCCTGTGCTGTTCGTTGTACCCTGGGGTTTCGCCCGTGCACACCTGGAGAACACAGGGTAGGTAATTCACCAGGTTTTACTCTTTCATGAGCCAGTAATTCCCAGACACGCCTAAATATAAATAATCACATCATTTTACCAACAAAAAATATCCATCCCTTCTCATTTTGGCCATCTAGAATATACTTAGGAATAGGAGATAAAATAATCAAAGATCTCATAGCAATTAGTTTATTAATTTAGTTACACATGCAAATTAGCTCAAAGATGCTATATAGTTAACTGCAGCCCTGGGTATGTAAGGACAAAAATACAGGAATGGATATTGCAGCATTGTTCATAGTGAGAAAAAAATTAACAAAACCAAACAAACAAAAAAACCCTGAATGCTCATCAATATGGGAATCATTAAAAAAATTATGACATACCTATATTGCAGAATATTATGAGACTACTTTAAGAAAAACAAGTTAGTTATTATGGGAGCTTTTAGGCATCGATTCTCCAAGGCATATTTTAAGCCTAAGCCAAAATGTATATCGTGTGATCCCGTTTTTCTCCAAATAGCACAAAAAACTATGTAATTAGGAATTTGTACTTGTATGAACATGGAGGAAAATTTTGGAAAGATATACACACTAGATTCCTAACACTGAGGAGCAATTTAATGGTAAGGAAAGTAAACAGTACCAGTACTAACAGGAAGGGATTTTTGTTCTCTCCTCTGCCTCTCCCTCCCTTCAGAGGAATGATTGGTGGAAATTAAGGCTTGAGTGCAAGCGTCCTTCTTCCAGAGGGCATGAGACTTTGACTTTCAACCTCCTCTTGTTTTTAAGTCTTCTACTGTCTTCTCTGACCTTAGGTGCTGGACAACAAATGGGAATAAGAAAATCTGGTGGATCATCCGAGGACCCATTTTACTCTGTGTAACAGTAAGGACCATCCCACTTACCCTTTTTGTCTCTGAGTCCAGAAGCAGTAAGGAACACCCCCCACCCCACTCCTCTCCTCCAGATTCCTTGATGCCTTGAGAGAGAGAAAATGAACTGTGAGCATTTTCTGCTCAATAAGAAGTTAGACGTTTCTTGTTCTGGTTCAGGACCTCAATTTGGAGTTACGTTGTAAGCCTCCTTCAATCTGGTTCTATGTAAAGAGACCTGCAGTCAGCTCTGTGGTCCTGTGTTGAAGGGCTGAGATGTGTGCCAGGCCCTGAGGATACCTATGCCTTTAGGCATGGAGGACCTCAGGATAGCAGGTGATTGGCTTATATTCTAACGCCATCTGCAGGAGGGAGGAAGAGACCCAGGCAACCTCTTTTAGAGGAGGAAAACACACAATCAATATTACCCCCAAGTTGTGATGCAGGTTAGGATCAAGACACAGATGCCACTCTGAGACCTTAGGGAGGAAGGGCCTTTAATCATTGTGGCCCAGAATATTGGGTATGGAAAGGGATGGCCAACCCAGAGTCAAAAATTCCTTTAGATAATAGAGTATGAGAATGGGATCTGCAAAGAAGCTAGAAGGAAAGGGCAGAAAATTAGCAAACACTGGGTTAGCAAGATCCCAGAGGGAGGCAGAAGTCTTCCTGCCTAGCCACAGCACCATCATCTCTGCATGTCCACCAGGTGCCAAACACTGTGTGTTGTTCTCTGCCCACCCTGATCAGCTTCTCTTAGTGAGCTCCTTGCTGCAAAATGCAGTCTTATTTTGCTTAAGTTCTTAAAATTCATCCTTTCGGGGGCTTCTGTGATGCCCCTTCTGTGTGGTTTGTTCTCACCTCCCTAGCTACTCTTTCTTCATCACCTTTGCTGTCTCCACTTTCTCCGTCCTTCCCTTCACTACAAGATGATTCTCTTAACCCTCTTTCTCTCCCAGCTACGCAGTCTCCCTGGACAATCTGGCTTACTCCAGTGTCTTCATGCTCTGGCTGGGACCTCTCTGCTGAGGTTCAGACATAAATATCTAACTGCCTTGGAACATCTTTTGTGTTCAGAACTACCGGAGTCCTCATCCGCCCTCTACCTCCCACCCAGTGTTCTTCCTTCCCCACACGATCCCTTTATTGACGAATGGCAGTACCACACATTTGCGATCTACCACAAAATGTCAGTCATGCCTTCACATCCAATCAATAAGAGAGATCATTTCACTCATATTTCTTAATCATTTCAAATTGGTCCCTTCTCCATCACTGAAGTACCAGGGCTGCTGCTGAGTTTGCCTTTCCATCCAATAAAAGAGAGAGGGAGAGCAAGAGCGAGAGCCAGAGAGAGAGAGAGAGAGAGAGAGAGAGAGAGAGAGAGAGAGAGAGAGCTGGATGAAAACCAGCCATCATTTCAGGACTTTTTTTTTTTTTTTGCCTCTCCCCCAGAAACTCTGAAACTACTTCCCAACTGGTCTCTCCTCCTCCAGCTTTACTCTCATCCAATCCATTCTCCACAGTGCCACTGAAATTATCTTCCTGAAATGCAGAAGTACAAATCTGATCAGGTCACTTGCCTGCTTAAAATCTATAACCAGCTCTTCACTGCTTTCAGAAGAAAACCCAAACTCCTTGCTTAGCACAGCTGTAAAAGTCTCTGCAGAAACCGACTCTCCCTCCCTTTCCAGTCTCACTTCTCACAAACCCTGTTCTCATTCTCCAAGCTCGACCCACACCCAACCACTTGCTTTTCACCACTTCCAGGGGGCTCGTGATCTCTCCTGAGGTTGCAGCCAAGACGTCAGCCAGGACTGTAGCCATCTGAAGGCTTGGCTGGGGCTGGAGGATCAGCTCCCAAGGTGGAGCACACAGGTAGCTGGTGGGTGGTGCTGGTATTTGGCCTGAGAACTCAGTTACCCTGTGTGCATCTCCCCATATGCTGCTTGAGTATCCTCACAAAATGCTGGCTGGCCTCCTCTGGAGTGAGAAACCCAAGAGAGAGAGAGTGCACTGGGTGGACGCCGCCAGCCATCCTTTTGAGGACCTAGCTCAGAAGTCACATAGCACCTCTTCTATTACACCATATTCGTTTCATGAAGTGCAAGTGACTAAATCTAGCTCACCTCAAGAGGGGAATAAGGGGGATTAGCCTCTGCCTTTCGAAGGGAGAAGTGCCAAGGAATTTGCGGGCATATTTTAAAATTTCGTTAAAGGCTAACAATGAAGGGCTGGATTTTCCCAGTTCATGACAGTCATGGAATGTGTTCTAGGGAGTAGGGAACATATGCTGTCCACGAATTTCACAGCAGCAGTAGGATCTCAAGTTAGACACCAATAGAGATGGAGTTCTTTACAGAAGAGAGGTAGAGTAGCATTCTGTTTAAGTGAAGGGAGGGTTATAATCTGATAAATCTGGGCTTAATTACAGGCTCAATCACTGACTAGCCGTGCAACCTGGGAATTACACTTACTTTTCTGTGCCTGTTTTCTCATTGTATTATGAGGATAAAAATACTGTGGCTACCTCAGTGGGGTGTTGTAAAAATTAGATAAAATAATGCCTGGACTGTTCTTAGCCCAAAGCCTGGCATGCCAGGTATTCAATAAATGCTAGTTAATAATAGTAACGGTAATAGTAATAATAATAAAGTGAATGCCCACCTGCCTTTCTCAGATGGATTTAATGATGGGGCTCCCTAAGGCAGAATAATTAATTCACTTTCCAAAACTCCTTCCAAACTTTCAGTTCAGCTGACCTTTGGGACTTTGGAGATTCCGATGGCCTTTGGGACAGTGGAGGTCACAGCTAAGCATTTAGTACCTGACCAGCTAACTGCTAAATTGCCCCTGGTTTACATGGAACTGATGGCTGAGCCCAGCCTGACCTTGAAATTGACAGCTGTGTGAAGTTCATCACTTACCCAACTCTGCTTCTTTTTCAAGGTCAATTTCTTCATCTTCCTGAAAATTCTCAAGCTTCTCATTTCTAAGCTCAAAGCTCATCAAATGTGCTTCAGAGATTATAAATACAGGTGAGTGGCTTGAGGTTGGCCCCCAGTGGTCCAAGGTTATTGTAAGTCCTCTGGCTGTTCTGCATAATGCCTTGGGAAGGACATTTATCTCCTAAGGCCGGAGTATCAGAAAGAGCACTTCTGGAAAGGTGTTATGGGATCACATGAGGCTTCTGTCAATGAAGAGGACCTTCTAACTCTGTGACAATAAAGTAAATGGTGAGTGGTTCATGGCACATTCCCCAGCAGAAAACCGTTAAAATGTCCCTAAGAGGCCAGGAGCGATATCTTAGACCAGTAATCCCAGGACTTTGGGAGGCTCGGGCAGGAGGATCACTTGAGGCCACAAGTTCAAGAACAGGCCGGTCAACATGGTGAAACCCCGTCTCTACCAAAAGTTCAAAAATTAGCTGGGCGTGCTTCATGCCCGTAGTCCCAGGCCAAAATAAGAGGATTGCTTGAGCCCAGGAGGTCGAGGCTGTAGTTAGCCATGATCATGCCACTGAACTCCAGCCTCAGTGACAGAGTGAGACCCTCTCTCAAAAAAAAAAAAAAAAAATCCCAAGAATGGGTGGTTGTGGGAAAAGGACAGTCTTTATGAAGAGAAGTTTGGCAATTGCCTTCCTTGGGAAAGGATTTAAAGAGAAGAGATTATTTGAGTGTTTTGGAGACCTTGAGAAATGAGACGACAGACTTTTAGGGTCTAAGGAAAGACATCCTTCCACAGGCATCCTTTATTTGTGACTTGTCATTGCTGCATCTCACCTTCCTCTTTCTGTGATGACAGCGGTCCTCATTCATAGTAAGTCAGATCATAGGTATTTATTAGATCGGTATTGCTGTAAGAACAAATGAATGAATGGATGAGAGATAAAGGGTTTCCTCCCTCTTTTCCTAATTATTCTTTCTTTCTTTCTTTTTCTTTTCTTTTCTTTTTTTTTTTTTTTTTTTGAGATGGGATCTGCACTTGTTGCCCAGGCTGGAGTGCAATGGCACAATCTCGGCTTGCTGCAACCTCCTCCTCCTGAGTTCACTTGATTCTCCTGCCTCGGCCTCCTGAGTAGCTGGCATTACAGGTGCCTGCCACCATGCCCGGCTAATTTTTGTATTTTTAGTAGAAGTGGAGTTTCACTATGTTGGCCAGGCTGATCTCGAACTTCTGACCTCATGATCTGCCTGCCTCAGCCTCCCAAAGTGCTGGGATTACAGGCTTGAGCCACTACATCCAGCCTATTCTTTACTTTCTATGTGGCATGTGCATTCAGCAGAGCTCTGGGATGGGCGTGTTTTAACCCACAAAGTAGCTCTAAGAGTGGAAATTCTAGTCTGCACAAGAGGCCAGAGAAGGTGAGCATGAGTGAAGATGGCCCTAGCCCTGTTTCTCACCCCTTTATAAGGCCTGACCCAAGTGCTGGGAAGGGAGTTTTTCCTTTTATCTGACAAATATTTAATAGATGCCTACAATTTGTCTGGTACTGTGCTTGGAATAAAAGGTGGACATGGGGCCAGGTTCAGTGGGTCACGCCTGTAATCCCAGCACTTTGGGAGGCCGAGGTGAGCGGATCACCCAAGGTCAGGAGTTCAAGACCATCCTGGCCAACATGGTGAAACCCTGTTTCTACTAACAATACAAAAATTAGCCGAGTGTGATGGCGTGCACCTGTAATCCCAGCTTCTTGGGAGGCTGAGGCAGGAGAATTGCTTGAATCTGGGAAACAGATTGCAGTGAGCTGAGATTGCGCTGTTGCACTGTAGCCTGAACAACAAGAGCAAAACTCTGTCTTAAAACAAACAAACACTGTGGACATGATGTGGACCCTGCGTTCCAGGAGCATGCATTCTACTCCACTAAGGACTGGGATGCTGGCATGGAACAGGAGGTGGAAGGGAAGGAGCTGGCCACGACCCTAGACTTGCCTACTGGACTCAGGCACGTGCCTTGGCCCCTTTGGCCTGCTTTCTGGCGTGTAAAATGGGAGTGTCATGGCAGACTCATCTCCTGCTTGTGATTAGGATTCAAGGAGGCTGAGATGTGCTTATGAATATGGGTGGCCCGCTCTACCCTCCTTCCAGGAGGTCTAGAAGGGTAAACATATCTGGTTCAATAATGGGCAGACATATACGATAGTTGCTAGTTGAAGCGTTGGTCCAAACATGTTGCAAGAAACCCATACCCCTGGGGAGCTGGCCTGGCCTGGACCCCAGGGAGCCACGCTGTCTCACTTGGCGCCTCCAGTCGAGGCTCCAAGTGGCCGAGCCGTCTCTTTGGCCTTCTTCCCAAGGCCTGGCCTCTCTCGCCACTCTTTGAGGGTGGAGCTTCAAGGCCTGCTCTAGTCCACCGTGCTGGGTGCACTCAGGGAGGAGAGAGTCCTCTCCATAAACAGGTGCCAGGAAAACCAGGGTGCCCCAGAAACTGGCCAGAGGCTAGTGTTTCCAGGAGACAGAAATGGTGAGTTGACTCCCAAGGGACTCAGAGCTGACACCCTGGCTGCTTTGTGCCCCTAAAGCCTACCCTGGGCCACTGGCACCTTCCCAGTGCCCCAGACCCATAGCAACCCCTAAATAGCTTTCCATCGTAGCTGCTCATCGGCATGCTCTGAGAGCTGGTCAAAAGTGCAGCCTTGCAAGCCCCACCACGGGGTATTCTGGCTCAGTAAATATCAAATAGAACCCCACAGAGCAGCAATGCCCACCCATTTGAATGCAGGGACTTTTTGCTTATCTGTGGTGGTGGATATCACAAAAGTTAGGCATGGACCTTTTTAGCTCATCAGCTATTGTTAGTGTTAGTTTATTTTATGTGGGGACCCAGGACAACTCTTCTTCTTCCAATGTGGCCCAGGGAGGCCAAAAGGTTGGACACCCCTGCTACAGAGTCTCCCAGGAGATTCTGATACACAGCCACGTGGAGGACCACTGGGTCAGATGTTCTAGTGAAAGAACACTTGGAATATTCTGGTAGGACCATGACAAAATGTCATGCAGCCTCAATATTCTCTTTTCCAGAGTCCCCTCTAGGGTTACCCAAGGTAGTGGTTTCCAGACTTTTTTGATCATGCATCTCTGTCAGTAAAGAAATTCTGATCATGTCCCTCCCCATGTGTATGCATGGTCTCATGAGTTAATATGTATATTATAAGATGCACCAACAAATAGAAAATTTAAGAAGATAGAAAAAAATTAATACATATACAACTCTTATTATCCTCTATTATAGTATTTTCTTCCAATATCAAATAGATTGCCTAGCATTGCCCTGCAGTGTGCACACCCACTGAGAGTCATTGGTTTGGGAGAGGGTAAATCAAGATACTGGGGAGAACCTCATGGCTGAGCGATGGTCCAGGGTGACTGCTTTGTGGCTAGAAAGAGTAACCCTGCCTGACATATGCAGTCTGTCTGGAAATTTCTTTTTTTCTCTCCCCTGCTGTTCAAAGGAAAAGCTAAAGAAGAACCTGGGACTGGGTGCAGTGGCTCATGCCTATAATCCCAGCACTTTGGGAGTCTAAGGGGAAGGGATCACGTGAAGCCAGGAGTTCTAAACCAGCTCGAGCCACAGAGTGAGACCCTTTTCCTTTATAATAGTAATAATAGGCCAGGCATGGTGTCTCACGCCTGTAATCCCAGCACTTTGGGAGGCCAAGGTGGGCGAATAGCCTGAGGTCAGCAGTTCGAGACCAGCCTGGCCAACGTGGTGAAACCCTGTCTCCACTAGAAAAAAAAAAAAAGAAAAAATACAAAATTAACTGGGCGTAGTGGTGCATGACTGTAATCCCAGCTACTCTGGAGGCTGAAGTAGGAGAATTGCTTGAAACTGGGAGGCCAAGAGTGCAGTGAGCCAAGATCGGGCCATTGCTCTTCAGCCTGGGTGACAGAGTGAAACTCCGTCTCCATAAATAAATAAATAAAAGAGGTACCTGGGTGTATGTCTACCCAAAGGCCTCCCAGGGTAAAATGCCTTGCCACCACCTGGTGTGGTACAGGGAATCTGTCTATACTCCTAAGTGGCTGAGACTTTGGAAGGCTGACCCCAGCTGAGTTCACAATGTATATAAACTAGAACCTTGTTCATTTTTAATGTCTGTGGAAGGTGGGGGTGGGGGTAGAGCATTCCTTTCTAGTGCCCACGTACCTCCCTAAATTTCCTAATTGCAACACCAGAAGATCCAGGAATCCAGAGTCACCAGAATGTTGCTGGTGTTCGCGTCATCAAGGCAGAGTCTTGTTGTTGAAGGATGCTGAGGGTGGCCTGGAAAATCACCACCTGCCCACAGCACCACCTACCTGTTGGGAAGGAGGCTCGTTCCCCGGATCCGATGTGCCCTTCTCAGACTAGGGTGGGATAGTTATTGCAAACGTCATCCCTCTGTGCTTTCCCCGCCATTTTGACTGGCCGCCTTTCTGTTACTTACTTGTTCGTTGTGTAGAGTGCAATACAGTTGATTAGCTAATATTCATTCACAAAAGACAAGGACCTATTTTTCAGGACACACCTAAGCCACCTTATTTTGCTCCCTGGGCTGGCAAATGCTGAAGCATCTATGAACTCATTTGCCCATTGTGCTCTCAGAAAGAAGTGCTAATTCTCTCATTTCCAAATTCTGGGAGAGGGCTCTTTACTATAAGCCCAGTGGGGCACTGGCACCCCTTAGCTCTTGAGCTCACACCACCCTCTTCCATGTTGGAAAGCTGTTCTTCTTCTTCTTTCCCTTCCATGTTTGTTTTCCCTTAAAGATCTCTGATGGGATAAGTAGGAGGGGGCCCAGCACATTTTATCCAAACTCTTACAGGTACAGGCTGCCTTCAACTCTTGAAGATTTTGAGAACTTTTAGAATGTAACCCTGATCTGGCCTCCCTCCAGGATTATATTTAGGAAAGTTTAAATTAAACACATTTAGGCCCTCCCAAAGAGGCAAGTTGCTAGGAGCCGGAGAACCTTCTGTAGTCTTAGCCCTTGTCCCTGGGCTTCCACCATCAAGCAAACGAAGTAAAAAATGGTCCATCTGTCTGCCTTGGAGAGAGAGAACTGAGCCAAATGTGAAGGAGGAACTTTGGGGCTATAAACTGGGTAAGCAATGCTTTAGGAATAAGGACAGAGTTCAGGAGACCCTCGGCTCAGCTGGAGTTCTCTATTCTTTTCGGTTCCCAGTTCAGAGGCAGCTCTCTTCCCCTAGGGATAACTGGCCTTAACTCTCCAGGGGATGCACCTGGGCAGAGCTCTTGATTCATTTATAAAGGAGAAGCATTTCTTAACATGCTAAACCCCAGTTCTTTCTGAAAGGACCTTCCGATAGGCAATGTAGGAAACAAAAGCTTTTCCTCAACCCTCTTGGGGTCCCTGCCTGGGTCTGAAAGTTAGACAAAGGCAGATTAACAGGAGAAAAAGCATGCAAGTTTATTTCATACGTTTTATGTGACGCAGGAGAATTCATTAAGAAAGGAAGACCCAAAGAAATAGTCAAACTTGTGTATTTTTATGCTATGTTTGATGCAAAGTGGACAGGCATGGGGGAAGTAGGATTGAACGAAGGGGGTCTAATGGTATTAAACTGGGGGAAAGTTAGCAAGGCCTGTTTGTATAGATTCTTGTGTCACTGTGTCTTCAGAAATAAGGACATTTCTTTCCTCCACCTCTTGTATGAGGGTCTTGTGATCCACTTCAGGAGAAGGTCAGAAAATCCTTCCTGGGTTTTATGACCTGTTTCAGGGGAGAAGGGCAGGAAGTCAGAGAGATCTTCCTGCTTCTGTGGTTTCCTCAAATTCCTTCATCTTAAAAGACTTAATATATCAAGGTGCCATATTTTGGATTATGTTCTGAACCCCATCAGCAACCAAAAACTAAAAATGTTCCAAATTCAAGTAAAATTGATTTTTAAAAAGTGAAGTTATAAGCCACTGAAGGACAGGGATAGCTTCTTTAAAAATAGTAATAACTAACATGTATTGACCATTTATCATATTTCAGATACCATTTATTCTGAGGATTTACCCCATATTATTTCTCTAATCCTTATGACAGCCCTGTCAGGTAGATGCTGTTACTCTTATAATCCTCTTTTTCCAGATGAGGAAACTGACAGACAAGAGGTTAAATAATTTGCCCACAGTCATAGTGCTAGTAATTGGCAACATCAGGATCTGAACCCAGGCCCAGCCAGATACACTTCCTGTGCCCTGCTGCCTTTGACTACAACTCCTTCTTTCCCACTATATTCACTCATGTGCCATAAGCAGATGCTCAATAAATATTTGTTGGATAGTTAAATGATTGCAATAAATGGAACCATTTAAATAAACAAATGGTTATGGATGAAAATGAGCATAAACACAGTCTGTAAGAGTAAACTGCTATTGCTATTTATGGATTTTCATCTGAATAGGAACACAAATAATACTTTGTCTAAGGAGAAGTTAGAATAAGGTGAAGGGTAGAGAATCCCTTCATGTGTCCATCCAGAAGGGTAAGTGGCCCAAAACTATTAAAAATGGTTATTCTTTACAGATCATTCCATACTAAGTAAAATGTGGGATGGGGGAACAGGAAAAGGACATTAGGGGGAAATCCACATAAGTTCTAAACTTTAGTTACTGGTAATATACTGCGTTGGCTTCTTAGTTTTGACAAATGTGCGTGGTTATGTAATATGTTAACGTTAGGGGAAACTGAGTGAAGATACATGGGAACTCTCTGTACTACCTTTGCTACTTTTGTGTAAATCTAAAGTTATTCCAAAATTAAAAGTTTATTTTAAAAAACCATAACACCATAACATGGCATCAGAATAAGCTGATGGCAAGGTCTGCTTGTAGGCATAGAAGTCTGTGTCATGAAAACTCAGACCACCCGGAGTAAGGGTCACCAATTCAGACTCTTGCAAGGGGCAAGCAAGTAACACAGTTGAGTAGTACAAGCCGGGAGGGGGCTGGAGGTCACAGGTTTCCTCTAAAGGGACAGCCCTTGCCCGGCTGTAGCTAACGATTGCCAAACAAGAATTTGAGCCCAGTGTTGCCCGATTACTTCATCAAAAGAAGCCAGAAACCTGAACACTTTGACTGGAAATGCTATTTTTTAAAGATGACTCCAATAACAAAAATTGCTCCATTTGCTTATGACCTGTTTCAGGGGAGAAGGGCAGCAAGTCAGAGAGATCTTCCTGCTTCTGTGGTTTCCTAAAATTCCTTCAGCTTAAAATACTTGGTATATCAAGGTGCCATATTTTGGAGTATATTCTGAACCCCATCAGCAACCAAAAACTAAAAATGTTACAAATTCAGTAGTACAAGCAGGGTTGGGGCTCCCGCCTTCTCCCCTGAAACAGGCCTAAGCAAAAGCTGCCTGCAGGTCAGTTACCATCCATTCTCACCACTTTGTAACCTCTGGGCCAGAGGGCTTTAAAAACACTCCTGGAAATACAAAACCTTGGAAATGTTCTCTCGTGGGGAGCATATTAATGTTGCCTAGTGAAGTGACTTCCATAGGGGTAGGTGTTGAGGTGGGAGTTGATCTGAGCTCAGCTTAAGAGAACCACATAGCGAAGGCCCATGATTCCATCTCTCTGCTCATCAGCCTCTCCTGACAGCCAAGGCTGTGGTCCACACACCCACCCACATGGCTAGGTGGAGTCCCTCCATCCTGGTGGCTCCTGCATCCCTCTTCCTGGCTTTAGATCCTGTGGGGGCCCAAAGGTGAGGTTGTTTGTTTCATTGATAACATTGCATTCGAATGGCCCTTGCAGACACAGGACTCACAATAAGCTCTTGCTCTTGGACAGAGTTAAACCTTCTTTAAGAAACTCCCCCATGAACTGCTAACGCCACCCTGTTTTTCTACACCTTTAATTCCATGGGATTTGAAGGGAAGTTCCTCCTAGTCTGGCCCCTTTACAAGAAGTGACCTGAGCTAAGAAAAATCATTACAATTATGCTCCACTTTCCCAATGTGGATAAGACAGTAGCTTTGTTTGTACCCTGAATATGAGTCATCTCTGCTAATATAGTTAGTTTTAAATCAAGAAGTAGCTCAACAGTAAAGAGTAGTTATTTCCAAACCTGTCTATTTTTCAGGATCCATGGGGAGTTCCTTTAAAAGTCCACATCCAGCCAGGTGCAGTGGCTTGCACCTGTAATCCCAACACTTTGGGAGACTGAGGCAGGAGTATCACTTGAGGGTAGGAGTTTGAGACCAGCCTGGGCAACAACATAAGACCCCATCTCTACAAAAGGGATAAAATAAAATAATTAACCAGGCACAATGGTGCACACCTCTAGTCCTAGCTACTCTGGAGTCTGAAGCAGGAGGATTACTTGAGCCTAGGAGTTCAAGGCTGCAGTGAGCTAGAATCGTGCCACTGTACACCAGCATGGGCGACAGAGGGAGATTCTGTCTCTTAAAAAAAAGTTGACTTCCTAGGACCCAATCTCCAGAGGTATGGATTCAGGGAGTTGACACTGGGGCCCACAAAACTGTATGCATGTATTTGAAGAGCTCTGTAAGGAATTTTAATAGTCAGTCATGTTTGGGAACCACCAGTATGGAGCATTTGGGCCCCACCTATGCACTTTACACGTGGGTGGCACAAAGAATGTTTGTCTTTTTCATGTAGACTATATACAACAGAGAACCTCCACGCAGCGCTTTTTATGAGAATCAGTTTTTCATTTCCTGCAGCCGTCACTATCACCAGGGTTAAGGGGCAACATGAGGGCTGATGGCACAGTCCAGAAAGGAGTCTGAAGGTCAGAACTGCAGGTCAGATACCCCACTTCCAGCCTGGGACTTGCTACTTAGTGCCTGTCTTAGTATCCTGGGCAACTCATTTTCCCTTCCTTCTCATGGTAACACTGGAAATACTAACGTTGAAAGTCCTGAGTAGAGAAAGGGATAGAGGAAACTGCTAGCCAGGCGATAGGAAACTTAACAAACCTGGTGGGGGTGGAGTATCCCAGGTGGCAGTCACTTGCATGGAAATCTATCCATCAGACAGACGTGATAATCTATATGGGGAAATTCATGAACTCATTCATTCAGTTCATGTTTTCTGAGCATCCCCTATGCATCAAATGTAGGAACCCAACAGTAAACAAGATCACAATGGCCCTGAAGCATTATATGTTGTAGTGAAGGAGACCAACCGGGAAAAAACTATCAATACACTAAGAGCTACAACAAAGGCACCATGGGAGAGCAGGAAATGTTGCCTGTTTGTTCCCCATGCGGCCCTCATGACTGTTATTTGGTTGTCATTTACAGATTAGCGAAATCAACACTGGTCCTCATTCCTTTATTGGGTGTTCATGAGATCCTCTTCTCTTTCATCACTGATGATCAAGTTGAAGGATTTGCGAAACTTGTGCGACTTTTCATTCAGTTGACACTGAGCTCCTTTCATGTAAGTAGGAATCTGAACTATGATGCCTTGACTTTGGAGAAAGCAAAATGCATGTGGCCCAAACAGGCTCAGAATTGAGGAGGCTGTGGATGAAAATAGAATCCTAGCATCAGCAGCCTTTATCAGTGAGGGCTCTTGGCATTAGAAGGGCAGGCAGATGGGGAAGTATTGCGTTGATCCTGCCAGCGTGACTCAGGGACTAAGAAGGGGAAAATGGTTTCTTTCCTGGGTGGTAATAGTTAGTGTGACTCATGATCATATTAACTATGAGTGTCAGTGTGAAGCCTTTTATTAAGTGCCTATTTTTGCTGGGTTCTCTGCAGAGCATTGTGCAAAGTGAACATTGTCTGTGCTTCAGGTAACATGTACACAGAATGCAACACAAATTGAGTAGGGACTAATAAGTTCAGACCAGGAGGCTACTGACCCTTGACAGATATATGGGAGCTGAAACTAGGAACAAGAGGCCAGCTGTGGTTGTGACCTGGAAATATTCTGGTCATCTATTGCTTAAATTATTATCTATTTCTTAGTGTCTTAAGATGGCAGTCATATTTTAAATTATTTTTCATGACTCCAGGAGTTAGGAATCTAGGTAGGACCTAATAGGGATGGCTACCCTCCACTTCTGTCACACCTGCTGGGGCTGGAACTTCCAAGATGTCTTCTTCACTCACATAACTGGTGCCTAAGTTGGATAGCTCCAATAGTGGGGCTAGTTTTATTTGGGTCAAATTTCCGAGGCCTCATTTCTTAGTGTCCATGACATTCCTTAGGCGTTCCATGTGTTTTCTCCTTGTGGTCTCTCCCTAGGGTAGGGCAGTTCAGGGCTCCCAAGAGTATAAAAGCAGGAGCTGCCAGGCCTTTTAAATGCCTATGCCTGGGACTGGTACAGCGATGTTTCTGCTGCATTCTGTTGTTTAAAGCAAGTCACAGACCCAGCCTAGATTGAAGGGGGGTGGGAGTGCTGCACAAAGGCGTGAATGCTGGGAGGTGTGGCTCATTAGTGAAGGCCACTAATGCAACAGATGACCAGTAACACCACAGACACAGCTAAGATCTTCATTGAGTAGTTATCTTAAAATGAATGATTTTTCAATGTTGATGTGGGGGCAGGACTTCTGGGATGAAGAAGAGAGGATCTGGCAAATCTTCTCCCCAAAAAGCAATGATAAAATTGGACAATTATCAATAACAACCATTTTGGGACTCTAGAAGTTAACTTAAAAAAAAAAGAAAAAAATGAGAAGGATTCATTCAAGACAAATTACTGCAACTCAGTAATGGCAGTGGGAGTCTATGCTACTTTTGTCTGGGACCGCTTTTCTTCTCTAATTCCTGCTCTATCAGTGAGGAAGTTCTAGTGAAAACTAGCAGCTTCACTAAGGAGGGAGACTGAGTTGACTTGGATCAAAGAGCAGACGAAGCTCTCATCCTTGGGCATTGCTGGAAACAGTAGCAGTCTTGGTGACAAAGGAACTGGGAAGGACAGTGTTACAGCCTGAAGTTATCATTCTATCTGGGTGGAAAAACATACTGATGGGCTAGCCAGAAATCTAACAAGAATGAGAGGAATGAGACAACCACAGTGGGCTTTGACAAGCCCCCACGTATTTCTCAGGTTGACCGGAAAGTTGTGTGCATGCATAAGTTTGCATACACACTCAAGAATGACCAGAAATGACATTCACACATTTCTGGCTAAGCATGAGTTTCTGCACACATATAGAGGAAACATGAGGGGGTCTGGTGGAAAGTAAAAGCTAGGGAGGCTTTAAACTGAACTTTGAATGTGTCCCCAAGTAACACACGGATCCATTGGCAAAGGGCATGGAAGCCTTATGGGCTTGAAGTGTTTGTTAACAACTTCTGAACAATCACTGGTTGATTATTAAGCTATGGTAAACAGCAGCAGAAGACCAGACTTAAAAATAAAAGACACAATTTTTTAAATGACCATAGACATCACTGGCTATATAACCACAGCAGAGACAGATTCCACAGAACTAATCATCCAGACGATTTTCTAAGCAAACAACTATCACCACTCCAGGGATGGGGACTGGGGAATCAGAATTCTGAGTTCTTATAATATATTATCTAAAACTTCCAGTTTTGTACAGAAAATATGAGATCTGCAAAGAAACAGAAAAGTATGACCCATACTCAAGACAAAAAAAAAAAAAAAAGCAGTTGTTAGAAACTCTCTGGGTGGAGCAGGGGATGTCCAGATGTTGGACTTATCAGACAAAAACTTCAAAAAGCTATTATAAACATGTTCAAAGAATTAAAGAAAAAGATGTTGAAATAATTAAAGAAATTCAATTATCTCAATTCATTAGAGAACAATTATAAAATAAGAACCAAATGGAAATTCTGGAGTTGAAAAGTACAATAACTGAAATGAAAACTTTACTAGGAAGGCTTAGATTTAAGATGGGAGAAGAAATAATCCATGAACTTGAAGATAGGTCAAAGAGATTATCCAGTCTGAGAAACAGAAAGAAAATAGAATGAAGAAAAATAATAGAGCCTCAGAGATCTATGGAATGCCATCAAGCATATCAATGTGCATATACGAGACTCCTATATTTCTGCTCTATCAGTGAGGAAGGAAAGCTAAGATAGAAACGGTAGAATACATTTTTGGATAAATAATGGTTGAAAACTTCCTAAATTTGAAAAAAAATGTTAATCTACACATCCAGGAAGCTCAATGAACTCCAAAAAACATAAAACAAAGAGATTCATGCCTAGAAACATTACAGTCAAACTGTTGAAAGCCAGAAATAAAGAGAAAACATTAAAGCAACAGGAGAAAAATGATTCATTACCTATAGGGACCAATGATACAATTAACAGCTGACTACTCATGAGAACAATGGAGGCCAGGAGGCAGTAATATAAAATATTCAGAATGCTGAAAGAAAAAAAATTGTCAATCAAGAATTCGAAATCCTGCAAAAGTATGTTTCAAGATAAAGGTGAAATAAAGACATTTTCATATAAACAAAGACTAAGAGAATTCATTACTGGTAAACACTCCTTTCAAGAAGTATCAAAAGAAGTCCTTTGGGCTGGAAGAAAATGACAACAGACAGCAACTCAAATCCACACGACGAAATAAAAAACAGTGGAAAAGGCAGATGCATAGGTAAATCTGAAAGGCTATATATAGATTTTTTTTCCCTTAACTGATTTTAAAAAATACAAGATTATATAAAATAATAACTATAAGTTGTATTATTGGCTTTATAACATATAAAGATCTATGACAAGAATATCACAATAGAAGACAGAGTAAATAGAGGTATGCAGGAGAACATTTCTATATTTTACCAGAATTAACTTAGTATTAATATGAAATAGATGGTGTTAAGATGCATGTTGTAATCCCTGGAATAAACACTAAGAAAATAACTTTAAAAATGTAGTTAAAAATGCTAGCAAAGGAATTAAAATGGTACACTGGAAAATATCTGTTTAACAAGAAACACTTTCAGCCTCATAGGAGTCGCATAGTATCCCTATGAAGGAGAAATTATTATATGTATTTTAAAGGTGAAAGAACTGAGGCTCAGAGGACTTGCATATGCTAACACATATCAGAGATGAGGTTTTCATTCAGAGGTTAAGCCCCTGCCTGTAGTCACTATGCCATAGTGCCTCTCAGGTTCCTTGTGAGGATTAGAACCAGGAGATACCAAGTTCCCTATACTGATCTTAAAGCCACTGCCACCATACAGGATCAAGTGCTGAGATTTTGAACACAGAGCAAAGAAAACGTGCGCACCAAGTGCATGCTCCCCAGAGGCCAAGGAGCCAGAGAGCCTGCAGTGTGGTATGAGCAGTTGGACAATACTTTGTTTCCCTCCTGTTGGAGTTGAATTCTTCGTGGCTTTGAACTAAGACAGAGGTTCCATAAGCAATTTTTTTTCATTATGAAAACATGTTTAATTTATTTCAATCTTTTAGGGAATTTCAAAAGATGAGGTTTAGTAATTTGAGGTTTTTGTGGTCCTTGGCCTTAATCTTCTTTAAAAGTAATCCTAAATTAAAGGAAAAAACCCTGCAGCTGTTATGTAGTAATATTTGGTGGCCTTTTTTTCTCCTGAGGGCATGGTCGGACAATGTGAGCCCTTGATCACCTGATCTCACTCACCCAAGGCCAGGTAAAGACGAGACATTCATGTGGAGCTATGTGAGGCACATTTCTGAGGAAGAATCCTAGCCTATCAGACTTTCTGCCATGGGAGAGTGTTGTGGTCATCTAATTCTGTGTAATAAACCACACCAAAACTTCTTGGTTTAAAGCAGTAACCATTTTCTTATTTTTAATGATTCAGTAGACTAGGCTGCTTGGGCTCAACATGGATAGTTCTTTTGATACGTGTAATTTTTGGCTGGGGCTGCAAACATCTGAAGGCCCAATTAGGCTGGCACATCCAAGATGGTTCATTCACATAACTAGACATTGATGCTGTTAGACAGGACCTCAGCTAAGACTACGTAGCTTAGGAGGCCTCAGTTCTCCATGTGGCCTCTCCATGTATCTTGGATATCTCACAGCATGATGGCTGGACTCTCAGAGCGTCCCAAGAGCAAATGTTCTAAGAGGCAGGAAGCAGAAACCTACCCCTCTCTTAAGACATAGGCATAGAAGTCCCAAAATGTCACTTTTATGACATTGTATCGGTAAAAGGAGTCACAAGGTCATCCTAGAATCAGGGGGAGAGAAAACTAGGTCCACCTTTTGATGTGAAGAGCAGCCTGGGCCTACAGAAAGAAGCAGAACCATTGGGGCCATCTCTGGAGACCAGCTACCAGCATGGAATATTCATTCCTGAAGCCAGCTAGAGCTCTGCTCATCACCCTGCACTGCTGAGGAACATGAGGAATCGAAGTGACTGCAGGATGTTTTGCACCAGGACTGAGCCAGAAAGCACACTTAGAGGGCTTGTGTGTGGGCAGAGGCCTCCCACCTTCTGAATACTTCTGCTTTGTTTCCCTGCATCCTACCAGGCAGAGGGAAGAGCATGGGTGGGCAGATGTTGGAGGAACGACATTTGGTGTATCATTTTAGAGACTCCACCATGGGAATTGGCAAGAATAGGCATCAGCCCTAACGGTTTCCTTTCCTTGCTGCTTTGGAGGGTCCTTTACTCTTCCAAAGGCTTGCTGCTTAGAGAGCTCCCCCAGCCTCCGTTTATCAGTGGAGCTTTGGAGAGACTGCCAAACAGAGGTGGCATATAAATTCTGAACCATGTGTTCTGTGGGACCCACTCCCTTCACACTTGCTTAAACTAGAATGAGAACCAGACCCTAGGATGTTCCTAAAACTGTGAAACAAGAACCCGAGGAAGTGAAAAGACACATTTGTCATGTGGAATCCTATTTTTGCCAACTTGTTTGTGAGAATTCTGGCACACTGAAAGCCAGCTCCTCCGATATCATGGGCCCCAAGGCAAATATTATCTGCCCCACCAACAACATAGGGCAGCTGTGAACCTCTGGTCAGACTGCAGGTCTGAAAATGATCAGCTGGTAACACTATGCCCCTGTGATGGAAGTTACAGCCATGGAATATCCAGGTGCATAAAAGAAGGGAAATTCCACATTCATGGGCAGAATCCAAGCATTTGGTTGATGTCGTGATTGCCAGTGTGGAGATCCTGGTCTGGCTCCAGAAGGGACATGCTGAACAAGGCTTACATAAGGAAGAGCAGAAAAGCCCTTCCCAGGGCCACATTTCATTATTATCAAGAGATATAATAGGAGTCAGCCTACCATTGGGACCTTCAGCCTTTAGTTGGAAATGAGTTCTGGCATTTTATAAGAGTCTTTCTATAAACATGCAAGTTCTTGGGCCCTGTGCACATATCCAGCTCTAGTATATCACATGCACTGCCCAAATTCCACAGACCCTCACATCAATTAGGGAGAGCCAGGACATGTAGGTGATCACAGTGACCGTCTGACAAATCAGGATATGTAGGAGTCTGAGAAAAACAATGGAAACAAACGTTAACTGGAGCATCTTTGATTCCAGCCCATTTGGGCTGAGTATCGTGGCGATGGTCATCCTGGAACATGGGAACCACATAACTGATAGCCCTGCCAGAAGCTCAGGGAGTAGGGAGGGTCAGGTGCCAAAAGGAAAAAATGCAAGTCAGGCAAAAAAAAAAAAATTAGCCAGTGCCCACTATGAGCAAATAGAGATGCAAGAGTGGCCTTGCCCAATATTTGTATAATTGAATGAGTGATACAGGGTCTTGGAAATTTAATCATCATTGACCCATGTGCACCTGTGAACACTAAGCAAACACCTAGGCTGATATGGGGGGCTGGATGTCAAAGTAAAAACAGATGCCATGGAAATCCACGTTAACATCACCAGTATGACTAATTCGAGTTAGTGTAAGCAATGCAGTTTCACGCCTTTCCTGGGGATGCCTAGGACCTGTATAGGCCTTTGGATGTTGCCAGTAACTCTCAGACATATCTTCTCCAGAGTCAGATTTTATTCCATGTCCTCCTTTTGTTTCAGGGATTCCTGGTGGCCTTGCAATATGGTTTTGCCAATGGAGAGGTATGATTTTCACGTTGCAATTCTAGCTTCACATGAGGCTGAGGCTGGAGACCTACCACCTCTGGAGGTTTCTGTGGATGTGATGGTGCTATGGGGGAATGTGCAGTGACCAGCATGTGTGGGGACAAATTTGTCTTGTGAGCTTCCAGTACAGACAGCAGGAGGTAGTTTAGACAAATGGAAAAGAGGTGTTGGGGTGGGTATGAAAGAGTTCAGAACCCAGCACTGGCCCTGCTGGAGATGCAAGCAGTATTCAAGTGTGACAGAGGAAACAAGCTTGAACCTCGGAGTCCAAAAATCTGGATTCATGCCTTGGTTCCCCACTTAAGAGCTCCGTGAGTTAGCTGGGTCGCTGCACTTGGTTCAGCCTCACTCACTTTCCTCATCAGTAATGTGGGAGCAGCAATCATCCTCCCACACGCTGAGCTGGGAGCTATGATTACCTTTTTAAAAAATTATTATTTTTTTTTTTGAGACAGAGTCTTGCTCTGTTGCCCAGGCTGGAATGCAGTGGCATGATACCAGCTCACTGCAACCTCCACCTGCCAGGTTCAAGCGATTCTCATGCCTCAGCCTCCCAAGTAGCTGGGATTACAGGTGCCCAATACCGCACTCAGCTAATTTTTTTTTTTTTTTTTTTTTTGAGACGGAGTTTCGCTCTTGTTTACCCAGGCTGGAGTGCAATGGCGCAATCTCAGCTCACCGCAACCTCCGCCTCCTGGGTTCAGGCAATTCTCCTGCCTCAGCCTCCCGAGTAGCTGGGATTACAGGCACGCGCCACCATGCCCAGCTAATTTTTTGTAATTTTTAGTAGAGACGGGGTTTCACCATGTTGACCAGGATGGTCTCGATCTGTTGACCTTGTGATCCACCCGCCTCGGCCTCCCAAAGTGCTGGGATTACAGGCTTGAGCCACCGCGCCCGGCCTACTCAGCTAATTTTTATATTTTTAGTGGAGATGGGGTTTCGCCATGTTAGCCAGTCTGATCTCAAACTCCTGACCTCAAGTGATCCACCCTATTCAGCCTTCCAAAGTACTGGAATTATAGGCATGAGCCATGGAGCCCAGCCTATTATTACTTTCAGCTATTCATATTATTTCATAGCCCAACCAGCTCTCTGCTTCTCTGGGAAAAGGTTTGAAAGTGGGAAGGGCAGAGGCCAGAACAGGTGTCTTCTCCTGTCTTGAGGAGTTGGTAGAGTTTCCAGCCCCCTTTCAACTTCCTCTCCAACTACTACAAGTGTAAATATTTATTTCTGTCTCCTCTCCTACTAGAATGTAAGCTTCTTGACAGCAAAACCATCTTCTGTTTTGCTCACTGCTGATTCTGTATCTTCACGCAGGGGGCTCCTTACCCATCAACCAGGTATCAGCTCACATGCCACCCTGGCAGAGTCCTTTCCTGAACACCGTATCTTATGTTTTTGTGTCTTTACCACACTGTCTTGCTTAATGCTCTAATAGTATGATTACCACCTGATATGTTTATGTATCTTTGTTTCTCCTTGTCTCCCCTAGGTAAAAGGTAAATTTTCCAAGGGTAGCACAGAATAGCTACCCAATTAATATTTGCTAAATGGATACATGGCTAAATGACTCCAAGACAGTAACCTCTCCCTTGTCTTCACCCGGCAGGTGAAGGCTGAGCTGCGGAAATACTGGATCCGCTTTTTGCTGGCCCGCCACTCAGGCTGCAGAGCCTGTGTCCTGGGCAAGAACTTCCGGCTCCTGGGAAAATGTCCCAAGAAGCTCTCGGAGGGAGATGGCACTGAGAAACTTCGGCAGCTGCAGCCCTCGCTTAACAGGGGGCGGCTCATACACCTAGCCATGCGAGGTCTGGGGGAGCTGGGCACCCGGCCCCAACAGGACCATGCACGCTGGCCCCAGGGCAGCAGCCTCTCCGAGTACAGCGAGGGGGATGTCACCCTGGCCAACACCATGGAGGAGATTCTGGAAGAGAGTGAGATCTAGGGTGGAGTACCACCACCCTGGCTCTGCTTCCAGAGACTCTTGAGGGGGGCCAGGAAGAGGAAGCAAAGTAGGACACATGTTTCTGGGCACGGAATTATTCTTGTTCCATTCACCATGCCACTTTGATATGAAGGCTATCACAAGGTTCTTCAAGCTCTGTTTGAAAGAGGCAGTGTCCTGCTCACAGCTTCTGCCTGCTCTTCTCATCTTAATAGCCCCCACCAGTGTGCTTTCCAGAATGTCCATCAGACCCTAGCGCTTGAATCTAAATTCAAGCAAACAAAGCCCCATTGTGAAGAGAGGCCTCCTGTGACATAGAAGCCAGCCAGCATCTCTTCCTTTATCCCTCATGGTGCACGGTTTCCATCTGAGGTTAGGTTTAGGGTGCATGAGAACCTCCTAGGAAGCTTTTAAAATGCAGACTCCTAGACGTGTGGCTAAGATTCCGACAGTGAGTCTGAGACCATGGCCAGCAAAGGGAACTGTTTAAGCATCTCAGGTAATTCAGCTGCAAGCCCACCCTTGGGCAAGGTGGGAGGGAGCTAGAAGCCCCCTTGATGTGGCCATGGCAGGATGCAGCTGGAGACGTTCTGCTCTCCCAGCTCAGCTGGAGTGTGCCTGCCCTTCCTTGGCCAGCGTGTAACCCCATGTCACCCACCAGAGTGCCGCTCCTCTCCTGCTTCTCTTCTCTTCCTCTCTTACCGAGTCTTGCCTCTCTCTCTCTTCGCCTCAATTCTCTGTCCCTGGGCAGCAGGGGTCTGCATGATCCTCCCTGTGAGGATTGGCCCCAGCTCCTGGGGACCCTTTCTGAGGTTGGCTTCTACCAGCCTGATTTATGCTACTCTTCTCTTGGGCCAACAAATGCCCCCCACCATTTTTGGTTTGCTATTGATGGCATTGATGATCACAACTTTTATCCCAGAAGGTTGACCTATGACTCTCCATGGTCAGAGTCTCTGCTGATCAGAATTCTATTGTCTAGTGGGAATAAATACTGAAAGCAGGAGGGCCAGGTAAAGCAATAAGACTCTGGCTGGATCTGGACGTGCCCAGGGTGGCACTGAGAGACCCAGGACTTCACATCAACCAGCCATGGGACCTTTCCTGCCTACTGTGACCCATGGAGGCTGAGAAGGGCTCAGTCAATTGGGGTCAGGCTCAATGACTGAAAGTATAAGGCAAGAGACTGTAAGAAGATCAACAGAGGGACATCTGTTGGAAACAGTGTGTTAACGCACAGGACTGTCAGTTTCATGGCATGTAAAAGGCATGTGTACGTGGGTGGGGTATGTTGCTGTAGGACTAAATAGCACCTGATCTTTGGGGAAGTTGATATGATGCTTCTCAAGTAGGGCTGCCGTATTTAGCAAACAAAAACATGATACTCAATTACATTTGAATTTCAGATAAACAAATCATCTTCTTGTATAAGTATATCCCATGGGGCATATTTTCTCTGAGATTGGAATTTAATTATGCATCTTGTCTTTTACTGGCAACTCTGTTTTCAAGGATACTCTGTAGCAGGGCTGAGACTAGGGCGATATAATCAAGGCATTCATCTCTAAAAAACTCAAAATAAATCATATTTTAATGCAATATTCTAAAAAAAAAAAAAAACAAATGAACAAACTACAGCCCACGAGCCATCTATAGAAATGAAATTTAATTGGAACCAGGGGCAGCATAAGGGTGAGGCCAGAGAGGAAGTGCAGGCTCTGGTTCTGACTATAAAATGTTGTTGATCAGCTGGGAGCGTTGGCTCACGCCTGTAATCCCAGCACTTCGGAAGACCGAGGCGGGCAGATCACCTGAGGTCAGGAGTTCGAGACCAGCCTGGCCAAACATGGTGAAACCCCATCTCTACTAAAAAAAAAAAAAAATACAAAAATTAGCTGGTCGTGGTCGTGGGCACATGTAGTCCCAGCTACTTGGAAGGCTGAGGCAGGATAATTACTTGAAACCAGGAGGCGGAGGTTGCAGTGAGCTGAGATCGCACAACTGCAATCCAGCCTGGGAGACAGAGCAAGACTCCATCTCAAAAAACAAAACAAAACAAAACAGTTGTTTATCAGGGACTTTTAATGTGAATTTTTATTTCTAAACAATTGCATCAAAATATTATTTATATTGACTATGGGGAATTTTGAGGTCCCCTTAAATTTTGTGCTTGAAGTGGAAACCTCAGGTGTGTAACCAGTAGTCCAGCCCTGGTTTTCAGGATGGAGGTGGAGGCAAAGGCATCAGGGAAGTGCCCGATGAAGCAAAGATTTATTTTCTGGTGTTTAGATTAGCCATAGCTCAATCACTAAAATATATGTCTATTTTTCTCCTTTCTGCAAATGTCCCTGCCTCGGCTCATCAGCGAACCAGCTCCTAGAAAGCTGGGGTCATCTCATATTCCCAGCAAGTACCCAGCACAGAGCCGGCTCAGAGCAGGCGCTCCCCACACATTCCTCGAATAGAAGGCACAGTGGCTCTTGGGAGCCTCGGATGCTGCCAGGAGTAAGTGCTCCAGGACCTCACCACTAAGAGGAGAAATTTTTTTCAAAGCATTTATAAATATTCCCTCCACCCCTCACTCCACAAATGGGGTGGTTAACATGTACTGCTTGCTCTTGTTCTGCTCATGATTAAAACAAGTTTATTTAATTTGATTTTTATTTTGTTGTTTTTTTTAACATTTGTTTTTCCCTGGAGCTCAGGGTCTCTCCCACCCACAAAGAATGTGATTCCTGGCCAGAAGTGAGGAAAATGGCTGTGGTGTTTAGCCGGAGATCTGGGTGTTTCAATATCTTAAATTTGGCCTTAGGGACCAGAGGAGTGGACAGAGGGGTAGGGGCCAGAAGCAGAGGTCAGAAGTCAAAAGAATGGAAGGAGATTGTCTCCCCTTTTATAGACAACCCCTGGGTCACTCAGCATGCCTGCTGTTTTGAAGATCTAGCCTAGTGGTTCTCAATCCTGGTATTACAATCCCCTGGGAAGCTTTTGATTTTTATTTATTTTTATGTATTTGGTTTTTTTCAGACTGAGTCTCTCTCTGTTGCCCAGGCTGGAGTGCAGTGGCATGATCTCAGCTCACTGCAACCTCTACCTCCCTGGTCAAAGCTATTCTCATGCCTCAGCCTCCCAAGTACCTGAGACTACAAGTCTCAGGCCTCAGCCTCCCGAGTAGCTGAGCCACCATACCCAGCTAATTTTTTTTGTATTTTTGGTAGAGATGAGGTTTCAACATGTTGGCCAGGCTGGTCTTGAACTCCTGATCTCAGGTGATCCGCCTGCCTTGGCCTTCCAAAGTGCTGGGATTACAAGCATGAACCACCTCACCTGGCCCCTGGGGAACTTTTTAAAAAGGCCGATGATAGGGTCCGACCCCAGAGATTCTGATTGAAAATGGTCTCAATAGACCATTGCTTTATCTATTAAGACCAATGGTCTATTGAGACCATTGTGCAATGGTATTTTTATAAGTTCCTGAGTGATCTTTTTAAAATTGTGGCAAAATGCCTGTAACATAAAATTAACCACTGTAGCCATTTTAAATATACAGTTCAGTGGCATTAAGTACATTCTTTCTGTCGTGCAGGCATCACCACCATTCATCTCCAGGACTCTTTTCATCTTCCAGAACTGAAACTCTATATCCATTAGACAATGACCTCCCATTCTTCTCTCCTTGAGCTCCCGGTAACTTCTTTCTGTCTCTGTGATTTTGCCTATTCTAGAGGTATCAGCTATAAGTGGAATTTTATAGTATTTATCCTTTTGTGACGGGCTTATTTCACTCACCAGAATGCCCTCAGGGATCATCCACCTTGTAGTGTGTGTCAGAATTTCCTTTTTTTAAATGCTGAATAATATTCCATGCATACCACATTTTGTTTATCTGTTCATCCATTGAGGGACACTTGGGTTGTTTCCATGTTTTGGCCTTGTGACTAATGCTATTGGTAGGAGTGTATAAACATCTAGTTTCTGCTTTTAAATTTTTGAGTATACCTACAAGTGGAACTACTGAATCATATGGTGATTCTATATTTTTCCCAACAGCCATTTTCTATTCCCACCAGCAATGCATGAGGGTTCCAAATTCTTCCTGGCCTTGCCAACATTCATTTTCCATTTTTTTAATGATAACCATTCCTAATGGCTGTAAAATGGTATCTCATTGTGGTTTTGATTTGCATTTCCTTAATGACTAATGATGTTAAGCATCTTTTTATGTGCTTGCTGATTGGTCTCTTGCAAGTCTTCTTTACAGAAAGATCTATTCAATTCTCAGCCCAGTTTTCAATTGGATTGTTTAGTTTTTGTTGTTGAGTTGTAGGAATTCCTTTTTTTTTTTTTTTTTGAGATGGAGTTTCACTCTTTTCCTCAGGCTGGAGTGTGGTGTCACAATCTTGGCTCACCACAATCTCTGCCTCCTGGGTTCAAGTGATTCTCCTGTCTCAGCCTCCCAAGTAGCTGGGATTACAGTCATGTGCCACCAAGCCCGGCTTATTTTGTATTTTTAGTAGAGATGGGGTTTCTCCATGTTGGTCAGGCTGGTCTTGAACTTGCGACCTCAGGCTATCTGCCCACCTCAGCCTCCCAAAGTGCTGGGATCACAGGCATGAGCCACCACACCTGGCCCAGTTGTAGGAATTCTTTTTGCATTCTGGATATTGATAGCTTATCAGATATGTTATTTGCAAATATTTTCTCTCGTTCTGTAGATTGTCTTTCACTCTCTTGATAGATCCCTTTTATGTACAAAAGTTTTAAATTTTGATGAAGTTTAATTTTTTTCTTTTTTTAAATACTTTGATGAAGTATCTATTTTTTTTTTCTCTGCCCATGCTTTGGTGTCAACGCCACCTGCGTGACTTTAATATGGGACCGAAGTTGACAACATTGGCTAAGGCAGAGGGGAAGGAGGTGAACCCTTGTCTGGAAACTGACAATACCTTGCTGAAGTCCAAATAAACTGAGCCTTCCTCCCATGTAGCATTTAGAGCTCAGAAATTCTTCCACAAGTGCAGACTCAACTGATTCTCACACTCTTAAGTGAGAGACAATGTAGGTATGGTTGGCTCAGTTTTATGGTTTTATAAGGGGTGGTCATCCCAGCTGGAGCCTAAAAGCCTGAGACACAGACATATCTGGGCTTGTCTGATGAGTTTATATAACCATTAAAGGACAGAAATGGGGGTGGGTGGACAGCAGTATGGTGGCTGACCCCACCTGGCTCCATGGTCAGAATCTGAATCTGATGAGTGAAGAGAAGTTCTAGACAAAAGCTAGAAGAGCTGTTTCCAGGAGGCAATGACAAAAGCTGTTTCCATGACACATGCTACTTCCCATGGAGCTGTTCTGACGAACCATAACCTAGAAGACCCCCCAGCAGATCAGCACACAGCTTGGGCACATTAGGAGCACTGTGGCCTTGCCTGTGGTTAGGAATGTGGAATTTGGCGGCAGCAGTGGCACCTGGCACTAAGGGACCTATTGGTGAATCTGTGTCCCTCCCAGGAGATGCTAAAAATGTCCAAGAGGTACTGCACAAGGGACTGGGATCTTATGTGGGCAGGTGACAATGGAAGCTGGGGCAGTTTGGATTATTGTTCTTAATGAGACCCATTTCTGCCCTTGTATCTACATGTACTTGAGGAGTCAGGGATTCAGAGATGTGAAATGACTTCCCCAAGGTCTCTATAGTAGACATCTATTTTTAGAATCCACCCTTCTTACAGTACCCCAATTTTCCTCTTGGAAAAACCTCCCACCTCCTACTCTCAGTCCATGGAACTTGAGTGGTCCTGACTCTATCCTCAGTTCAAGGATGAGCATAAAAATCTGCTGGCCAAGCAGAGCTATATATCCTCCTGGCAGCAGTGAGCCAGGCATGGGCATATAACTAACCAGAGGCAGTGAGGAGCAATCCTGACTCTTTGGCTGGGACTCTTGATAGAAAGCATTTTTAATTTTTTTTTTCTGCTGAAATTGGAACCACAAAGAAAGCAGCCTGGATTTGCTGGTGACCATCTTGCCAGCATGGGAAGAACCTGTCTGAGAATGGTGGTGACAGCAGAAAGCAGAACCAGGAGAGGGAGAAGTGAACCCTGAGACATTGTTCAAGTGCCTGGATTAAGCCATACTTGAAATTAGCCCTACTCCTGGAATTTTAGCTCTAAGAGTCAATCAATTTCTATCTGTGCCACAACAATTTGTGCCAGGTCATCTACCTTTTGCATCTGGAAGAGTCTTGATGACTTATCTCATCACTAGCTCTACCTCCTCGTCCCTTTGGCCAAGTTGAACCTCATGCTTTATTTCCCACAGAGTGTCATAGAGCTGTACAGAATACCAGCCAAAGTGGTGCTTCTACGCTAAGCTGAAAAAAGAGGTGCTAATTAGGTTATCACTCGTTGGTTCTCCACTGGTCACTGAGAGCTCCAGTGGCCACTTTATGTTTCTCATTGAACCACAAACCAGCAAGGTACCTGATTATGCAGTGTCTGTCTTTTTAGACTTAAGTGACAATGATAACCAGACCTCAAAGAGAAGTGAAAAGCCCTCAGCCTCATTCTCCAAGCAACCAGATTCATTCATGGAGTGTGGTGGAAAGAGCACTGGAGTAAGGCCTTGAGCCCTTTGGTTACATTCTTAGAACACTCTGGACTAGACCCTCAGGGTCCTTTATCTCCCACTGAACTGGCTCCTGCGTAGCCCACTATGTCTATATGGGAGAAGTGTCTTGAGCAGATGATTCTATTAATAATTCTCCTCCCAGAACCTCTGGACTCATGCCTTATTGCCTCCCTCCCCTTTCCAGCTCTGATGGTGTGCAATCCTAGAGTTCTCTATCCTGCTGTGCCCAGGTCAAAACTATTGGAGAAGCCAGTGTAATCAAAGGAACTCCAGTTTAAGTACCAAATTCTACTCATACTTCCTGGTCTCAGTACCCTCGTCTGTGCTATGGAGATAACAACATCTCCATCAATGAAATAACGCTGGCAGAGAGTCTAGCATGATGCATGGCTCATAAGTGTTTATTCTCATGTTTGCTCTCCACACAGAGGAGTGCTCTCTGCCAGTGGTGACTGTGTCATCTCTGTGGCTAAAGTGGGGTCTGGAGGCATCATCACAACACCAGCCACTGGAGACTCCCCAGCCTCAAGAGGTGGTATACAGGTCAGTCAAGAATCCATGCATTTTTCTGACCTTATCTTGGAACTTGAGGCTGGAGAATAAATGGGCCTCCAAAGCAACAAATCCAGGGATCTTGAAGAACACACTGATGGAGTTCCTGGGTATCCCAGGCCCTGGAGCTTGAAGGAGGCAGTAGGGGGGCCGGTGGGTAGCCCTGGCCTGACCTCTTCTCATCAGCTGGCCACCGCTGGGCAAGACTGCTTCCTGTCATTGGGCCTCCTTTTCCTTGTCTCTAAAACAAGGGGCTTTAGGGACATCTATGGCTTTGCCTTCACCACTTACTGTATTGAAGCTGAACTCATCATTGTCCCCTGAAACCCCAAATGCTCCCTGTATTTCTCATCTCCATAGTTGACATTGTTATTCAACCACTGCCCAAGATACAGACCTGGATGCCACTCCTGCCCTTCCTCCTCCTGCCCCCTCAGCCAGCCAGGTAGACTGTGCCTCCTGAATGTGTCCTCACTGGGTCTGGTCCTCTCCATCCCTCTGCCTTTCCCCTGGTCCAGACCACCTGGGTGGCTGCAAAGGCTTATTCATCAGGCTTGAATAAGCCCCCAGTCACTATTTATTTTAGCCTGCTGGGGGCTTCTCTTACAGACATAAATCCCTCCTACTTCCAACTACACGGTGGCACCACTACACCCATGGTGAAACTCCAAGTGCTTACCATGGGCTGCAGGGAAGGCCTTGGGCGGTCCAGTCCCCACCCACCTTTTAGGTTCAGCTCACACTTTGCTCTCTCTCCTCTTTCTACCCTCCAGACACCATGACCTTCTCCTGGAACTTGAGATAGTTGTTTGTGCCTCATCGGCTCTGTGTTGGCCGCCTTCTGTTTGAAACTTCCCCATCCCAACCCTGTCCCCTACCTCATGGGCAGTGGATCTGAATCAAAATGTCCCTTCATCAGGGATGTGGTCCCTGGCCCCCACTGACAAGTCAGCCCCTTCCACTGTGTCCTCCCCTGGTGCTCTACACATCTCCTTGGTAACCTGGGCCATTGGTCATGGCTCCTTCCAAGTCCATTGTCTGTGCCCTCTGGACCATGAGTTCAATGACAGCAGGACCGAGTCAGGTTCATTCGGCACCAGAGCAGCCCAGCCTAGCTGCCACTGCCACTCAGCCTTGTCTTTGGGGTGTGGCTGACAGAAATCACTTCCTTTTCCAGTTGAAGGATGACCAGCAGCTGCGTGCCCAGCTCCACTTGTGTTTATTGGAAACTGCTTACCCAGCACTCCACAAAGGAGCTTAGAGCAGGGTGACACTTAGGACTCCTATGGCCTAATCCTGGGATTAGCACAGGGCCATGGCCTGGTGGGCAGAGGGAGGGGTGGGGTGGGGGATGATAGGAGGGATGCTGAAGACCCAGGAAGAAGGAACCAGTGGGCCACTACAGATGCTTCATTTTGGCAGGGAGCTGTGCTGTGGGCTTGTGTGCAGGCCTCCCTCTTGGCCCTGGGGTGGATGTGTGCATGTGTGGGTATGTGCGCATGCATGTGCATGTGTGTGTGCGTGTGTGCATGTATGTGTGCATGCGTGCACGTGCGTGTGTGCATGTGTGTGTCCTTGCGTGCATGTGCGTGTGTGCATGTGTGTCCTTGCGTGTGTGTGCTTGCGTGTGTGCGTGTGTGCATGTGTGCATGCACGTGCTTATGGGTGTCATGTGAGTGGTGAGTGGAGGGAGGATAGCTGAACAGTTGGCATCAGGGGTTCTTTTTCTTTTCCTTCACTTTTTGAGGCTCAAACTGGATCAGTCGCAGAATTTCATTATTGGCCAGGGTTCCGTCAATGAATTCTTTCTCTGTAAGTTTATCTGTGCATTGGGGAAAAATAAATGCATATATAAAACAGTCAGGACTGATAGCCAAGCAAGCTGTGATGAGGCTGACATCCAGCCAGTATGCCCAGTGTGCATGTATCTATTATGAAAATACTCAGTGGCCCTGTGTATTCCATATTCCCCCACCCCAGTTTGGATACTCACCTCCTTTCCCAAGACCCTTGGAGCTCCCTGGGAACCAGCAAAGAGAGGTGAATGACTGGCACTGGAGGGGCCCCCGGGATGCCCATCTTGTGCTATATGCCTCTGCCAACTGGCCAGTGCCCCTGCCTTACTGGTTATTAAGTACTTCAATAATTAGTCATAACTATCAATTGTTATTCTATTTTCAATATTAGCTCAAGTTTCAAGGATCAAGTTCGGGGGGAGCTTCTGGGGGTTGGAGCAAAGCAAAACAATCTGGATGTCAGACCCAGAATCTCAGCTGAGAAGCAGGGAACAATGTCCCCCCAGAATACGAGTGAGAAGTGAGGGGTCCAATGAAATCATGCGAGGGGGAGCATGGCTTGCAGAGAGGTCTCTTTGGCACCTGCAGCACACAGGCACCCCATGATTCCTGGCTGCCAGTTCCACCAAGATCCCTTCCTATGCATCCATCCCCGTGTCCCTCAATCTCATCTGACTCCTTATTTGGTATCAGGACTGAGAGACAGCCTTGTTCCAGCCACAGCCTGTTTCCTGGTGTTTTTCCAGGTGGCTTACTGTATTCAGATTAGTCCAGTGCAATGCATGGTCCTGAGCCCAGATGCCACAGTGCTTGGAGCCAAGGCCACCACAGGGAGCAGAGGTGGGTGTACAATAGAAGAGAATGAGAAGTCTCTCCCTGGGAAACTCTTGATATGGCAGGGAAGGCAGTCACACACAGAAATACCTCTAGCATGAAACAGATGCTCCTTTCTGTTGCACGCTGACAAAGCCTAGCACAGAGTTGGTGTCAACGAGCTTTGATGAACTGAATGTGATTTTTGACTTATCCTCTGGGCCTTTTGGATGCCCTTAATCCCTTCTGGGTTAGGATCTCTGCATAAATCTGGGTGGTAAATTTTGGGTTTTAACATCCCCAAATGAGCCACCCCATGGAGAACTCACAGAGAGCTTGAAACTCCCACCGTCAAAGCCTGAATCTGCCGTGAGGCATTGTCTCCAGACGGGCCACGTGGAAACACATATAACACATCACCCACAGGAGCGATCCGTCGGCCCTCTGACATCATTCCCTCCTGGGACATCCGCGGGGGCAACTTTCAGATGAGCAAATAGCAGAACACAGGGAGGGAAGGTCACGAAGGCAGTTAAGGAGCCAGTGGGGTGAAGTGCCAAAAGAAGGCATCTTGGCAGCCAGGGTCTGTGCAAGGAGGAGGAAGTGCTCAAAGGAGAGGTGCCAATCAGGGCCAATGAGCTAAAGGTGGGTAAAGTACCAAGGTGGGAATTTAAGGAGGCACTCACTTTCAGGTCCTGTGAGTGCACTGTTGACCCCTGAGAATAAGCACCTTCTTAAATTCTGTGTCTTATGTCCCTCCTACCCCAATGACCTTCATGCTTCTCTGATTCCATCATTTGTGGGCAGATTAGGAGGAGCAAGGTCATTTCTCTCTGCTCTTATGTAGCATCCTGCTCAGATTTTTTTTTCTTGAACCTGACTGACTCTAGAGTTCACCAAAGGGGTTAATACAGGATCCTTGGATGTGTTTGGGCCATGCTGTGTTTTATCAATTGAGACACACTGGATTTAAAAAATCTCCATGGCTGGCTTCTCTTAAAAAACAAAAAATCAGATGATGTCTCAACCATGATAGGTTCCATATTCTTAGGCGGAATATGGTGAAAGCCATCAGACCAGAGGTGGACCCTCTGCTGTTTGCCAATTGCCACTGCTTGTAGGTTACTATCCACATCACTCATTTCCATCATTCCCACCCCTCCAGCCATATGCATTTGCAACTCCAGCCTAACACCAGTTCCTCCACCACATCCTTCCTGTGCTGGCTGTGAGCATCATAGATGCCCAGCCTCAGCAGCTGAGGGTTGGAACCCATCACTGCCCTCAATGTAGGACCCTGCTTCCTGAGGGCTGCTTCCAGTCACTGACTGACAGGGCAGGGGCACCAAGACTGACAGGGGCAATGAGGACACCCCATCGACTCTGTCAACACTTTCCCAGAATGCACCGAGGTCTCAGGCACTTCTTACCTAACCTTTCTTTCCCTCTCTCCCTGCCGGGAATCAGATCTGCATGGCCCTTGGATGGTTTTCCCAGCCTCCTCTAGATCCCTCCCTGTTTTCCTTCATCAGCCTTCCCCACGTAAATCTCTTGCAATCTCATTTAAATCTAATCCTGTCTTGGTGGTGTTTCTCACAGGACCCAAACTAACTTTCCAAAGTAAAACCACATAGATTTAGGTCCCACTCACTTGAAACTTGACATTAATTCAAAGCTAGGGTGAGTTGAAGTTTGCTCTTGTTCCAATGGTACAGAAAACATTTTTGGCTCCTGCTCACCCTTAAGGCCATTCCCCCATTTAACCCTTCAGACAGTTCTGAAAATGTACAATTGAATGAGTGTCCCCCGTCCTGTCTGGGCACTGTGACTCAGAAGAATAAAGCTTGTGGGGTTTCCAGGAAACAGCCCATGGTTGAAAAATCAAAGGCAATGAAGGAAAAGGAACTCACCATCATCATTCTTTCCGAAGTACTTCCAGATCTTCTCAGCTCGTTTTTCTGGTGTGTTTTCATCATCTGGAAGGAGCTTCACATCCTCAGGAGAGATCATTTTGAAAATAGCCTGTACCAAACCGAAATAAAGAACTTGTTAGGCAGGACTCCAAGGGGCTGGCAACCCTGGAAAATCCACATCTTACACCATACACAAAAATCTACTCAAAATGGATAAAGGACTTAAACATAAGACCTCAGACCGTGAAACTGCTAGAGGAAAACACAGGAGAAAAGCTTCTTGACACCAGTCTTGATGGTGATTTTTGGATATGACACCAAAAGTGCAGATAACATAAACTAAAAGGAACAAACGAGATGACATCAGACTAAAGAGCTTCTCCACGTGACAGGAAACAATGAATAAAATCAAAAGGCAACTTATGGAATGGGAGAAAACATTTGCAAACCATGTATCTTATATTGGGTTAATATAAAAAATATGTAAGGGGCCAGGTGGCGTGGCTGATGCCTGTAATCCCAGCACTTTGGAAGGACGAGGCAGGTCGATCACGTGAGGCCAGAAATTTGAGACCAGTCTAGGCAACAAAGTGAGATTCCAACTTTACAAAAGAAAATTAATTGGCAGAGGCGGTGGGACCTGTCTGCAGTCCCAGCTACAAGGGAAGTTGAGGATCGCTTGAGCCCAGGAGGTCTAGGCTGCAGTGATCCATTTTTGCACCTCTGCACTTCAGCCTAGGTGACAGAGCAAGACCCCATCTCTCTCTATCTATATATCTATATATATATAGATATACACACACACACACACACACACACACACACACACGGAACTCCTACAACTCAATAGCAAAAGAACCAATAACATAATTGAAAAATGGGCAAAGGATGCCAGGTGTGGTGGCTCACATCCGTATCCCAGCACTTTGGAAGGCCAAGACGGTGGATCACCTGAGGTCAGGAGTTCAAGACCAGCCTGGCCAACATGGTGAAACCCCATCTCCACTAAAGATACAAATTTATCCAGGTATGATGGTGTGTGCCTGTAGTCCCAGCTACTCAGGAGGCTGAGGCAGGAGAATCACTTGAACCCGGGAGGCGAAGGTTGCAATGAGCCAAGATCACACCATTGCACCAGCCTGGGTGACAAGAGTAAAACTCTGTCTGGAAAAAAAAAAAAAGAAAATGGGCAAAGGACCCAAATAGACATTTCTCTTAAGAAGATGTGCAAGTGGCCAGCAGGTATCTAAAAACATCACTGATCAACAGGGAAATATAAATCCATACTACAATGAGATATCACCTCACACCTGTTAGAACGGCTGTGATAAAAAAAAAGGCAAGAAATTACAGGTGTTGGCAAGAATGTGGTGACAAGGGAACCCTGGTCCACTGTTGCTGGGAATGTAAAATAGTACAACCATTATGAAAGACACATCAGGGACTGTGGGTCACCTCCATCACGCTGTCCCTCTCTCAGTGCCCCACCAGCCAGCCTGCAGGAGCAGACAGCAGTTATAATACAGATATAATACAGTTATAATCCAGGCCCCCACATGATTTACTAAATCAAAATTCCTGGGGGCGGGACCTGGGCATCTGTATTTTTGAGTTTCTCATAAGGGGCAGGGAATTTGGGGAAAAGGAAAAGAAGCCGTTCACTTCTTATTTTGTACCTTTCTGTATTGTTTGATTTTCTGGCCATGTAGACATATTAATTTCACTTGTTTTTAAAAATGAAAATAAGAAAGAAAAAGCTTCCCGATGAAAATGTTATAGCAGCCTCTTAAGAAGACGTGCAAGTGGTCAGCAGGTATCTAAAAACATTACTGATGTTTTAGAGGTTGGAGTTTGGGAATCACTACCTCAGACCCTACTACCCAGAGGTTTTAGAATAGTAAACCTCTTCTTCTGGGTTCATAAGTCAGTAGGACTGGCTTATGGCAATAACGGCTAACATTTGTTGAGTGCTTAATAGGTGTTACTCTCTTTTATTTTCTTGTTTCTTTTCTTCTTCATTTTCTTTTTTCTTTCTTTTTTGTTTTGTTTTGTTTGTTGGTTTTTTTTTTTTTTTTTTGAGACAGGGAGGGTTTTTTTTTGTTGCCTAGGCTGGAGTGCAGTGGTGCAATCATGGCTCACTGCAGCCTTGATGTGCTGGGCTCAAGCAATCCTCCCACCTCAGTGTTCTGAGTATCTGGGACTACGGGTGCACACCACCATGCTCAGCAAATTTTTTGAATTTTTTTGTAGAGATGGGGTCTCACTGTGTTGCCCAGGCTGGTCTCAAACTCCTGAGCACAAGAGATCCTTTCACCTTGGCCTCCCAAAGTGCTTGGATTATAGGCATGGGCCACTATGCCTGGCCTAGTTATCACTTTTCTAAAGATTTTTACACCTCATCTTCACAATAACCTTATGAAGAAGGCTTTATCGGTCCCATTTTATGGAAGAAGAAATTGAGACAACTAACTTGCTGGAAGTCACCCAGCTAGAAGTAGAAGGGCAGAGATTTGAACCCAGGCATTTTAGTTCTAGAACTGGTACACCCTGGGTTATGCCATAGCCCACTCACCTCCTTATTACTGGAAGGGCCTGGAGGGCATTGGGCAAGCCTGGGGGAGGGAGAGGAAGGCATCAACAAGAACGTTTCAAAGGTCTTCCTATGGCACGGGAAGCCCCTCATTTAACCTTCTGCTCAAGGAGGGATTCAGAGAAAGGCTTAGCTTTGGGATCAAGGATCCCATCCTTCTCACCTCCCTCCCCCCTAATAAAGCAGCTGGGTATGCAGTATAGGGGAAGCATGAAGTGCCCCAGACCTGTGAGATGCAGGGACAAAGGAGCACCCTTCCAGCTCCAAGTTTCTAGGATTCCACTGGCCCAGGAACACCAGTGCCAGCCAGGTCCAGAAGGGACACCCAAGGCAGTAGGTCCTTGGATGCTGAGGACAGGCAGGTATGTTGGGTGGGAGTTGGGAGGTTACTGGCTCTGGCCAGAGCCTTTTGTCTCCCTGGAGACACCTGTGAGCAGGTCAGGCAGGGGCAATAATGGCTATGAAATTATTCTTGAGGGAAGGCTTTGAGAAGTTCTCCTTCAGCCCCCTGGTGCTGGAAAAAGGAGCAGGGAGACCAAAGGCAGCAGCCCAAGGCAGCAGCCTTGCTGGCAGCACCCAGAGCCCTGAGGTGGACACAAGTAGGTGCCTCCCACACTCATCTTGGTCTGTGCAGGGCCTGGGGTACCATGTGCAGGTGTGCCAGCTGAAGCTGGGAGTGACTGCCTGCCCACCCCACTTCCAACATGGAGGGACAGACCTTCAGGGTCTTAGAAAAGGCTTCAAAAATAATCAAATCCTCACCCTGGGTCCAGGAAGGTTATATGGTTTTCCCACAGCAACACAGCTAGTTGGAATCAGAGCAGGGGCTAGAATCCTTCACTTGTGACTCCCCCACGGAGTGCTCTGCCCATGAACTTGTAATCTGGTGAATAGCAGAGCCTTCTGTCACCTTGCACAGCCTCAGCCACTGATGGCTTCTCCCTCCCTCCCTTTCTTCTTTCTTCTTTTCTCTCCTCCTTTCCTTCTCCTCCCTCCCTTCTTTCCTCCCCCTTGCTTCCCTCTCTTTCCTTCCTGACTCCTATCCCGCCTCTTTCCCTCCATCCGCCTTTTCTTCAAGGAGTATCCATTTGTAGGCTTCTGCTAGGCCCCGCATTTTTTATGCATCTCTGAAGACTTAGTCCCTGTCCCAGGCCACCCAGAGACCCCACAACCAATCCTGGGGAGCTCCTCTGCAGGCTGTGCTGAGATAGCAATGAGGGTGACACATACCTGCCGGAACAGGAGACCCGAGCCGAGCACTGAGCATAAACCCATGGACCACAAGCCGTATGCTTTGCTGTTTTATTTATGGTTTCTCCTAATAAAAGTGGAAGATTTTCGTGCATTTGCAGTCATGCAAATGAAAGCATGATTAAAAATGCACAAAACAGTCTGTCTACTAACAGAAATGGAATTAGAACAATAAACCAATGGCAGGGGCAGCAGGACTGAAAAAGAACAAGTAAAAAATATCAAATGAAGGAAATGAGAACTGGTAAAATAGGAAAGAAATGGAAACACCCTAATGTCCAAAAACATAGGAATGTTAAATAATTTCCACATTTCCGTAAGCTAGAACTCCAAACAGCTATTAAAAGTGTTTTGGAAGAGGTTGGGTGCGGAGGCTTATGCCTATAATCACAGCACTTTGGGAGACCGAGGTGGGTGTATTATATGAGGTCAGGCATTCAACACCAGCCTGGCCAACATGGCAAAAACCCATCTCTACTGAAAATACAGAAATTAGCTGGGTGTAGTGCCAGGTGCCAGTAATCGCAGCTGCTTGGGAGGCTGAGGCAGGACAGGAGAATTGCTTGAACCTGTGAGGCAGAGGCTGCAGTGAGCTGAGATCATGCCACTGCACTCCAGCCTGGGCGACAAGAGCAAAACTCTGTCTGAAGAAAAAAGAAGTGTTTTGGAAGAATATGTAATGATATGGAAAGCACTCATGATAAAAGAAAATGTATGATAAAAATCATATGTGAATATGTCATAGCTTTAACATTGTTTAAAATTATATAGATAAAAGACTGAAAAGGTTCCTATTGATACAGCAAGAAAAGTTTTCCCTGGATGTTGGAATTAGAGGCAGTTTTTAGTCTCTTTTGCCTATGCTTTTAAATTTCATCAGTTACTTCTAACAGATAAACCATTTTCAAGACACCTATTAGGTTGGTGCAAAGTAATTGTGGTTTTTGCCATTGCTTTCACAACAAAGGATCTCACATGAGGACACTATGGATGGAGAAGGTGTGCTGGGAACCATGTGGAAGCATGTGTGCCTCACAGGGAACCTGCCAGGAGCCAAGGAACCTGCCAAGGAGCCGCCGCATGTGGGAAGCGGGGGCTCATGCGTGGTGCGGGTGGTGCGGGTGGTGCGGTGACCCACCTGGCGCTGGGGAGAACCTTAAGACTAGAACTCAGAGTTTACTCAACTTTGACCTTTTTCGACTTTATATTTGAAGCATATTGTGTGTTTAGAATTAATCATTGATTCAACTTGAATGTGTACTGCTGAAAATTTTAAAGGACTTTTTTGTTTGTTTCTTTGTTTGAGATGGAGTTTTGTTCTTGTTGCCCAGGCTGGAGTGCAATGGCGCAATCTCAGCTCACCACAACCTCCACCTCTTGGGTTCAAGCGATTCTCCTGCCTCAGCCTCCCGAGTAGCTGAGATTACAGGCATGCACCACCACATACGGCTAATCTTGTATTTTTAGTAGAGATGGGGTCTTTCCATGTTGGTCAGGCTGGTCTCAAACTCCTGACCTTAGGTGATCTGCCCACCTTGGCCTCCCAAAGTGCTGGGATTACAGGCGTGAGCCACCTTGCCTGGCCTAAAGGACATTTTAATAAAGGAAGGACGAAACGAAGGATGGAGAGAGAGAAAAAAAATGTAAATATAGTCACGTGTCACTCAAAGACAGGAATACATTCTGAGAAACACATCATTAGGCAGTTTCCAGGTGGGGACATCATACAGCGTCCTCACACAAACCCAGAGAGTGGAGCCTACAACACCCCCTGACTCGGTGGTCCAGCCTTTTGCTCCTAGGCTACAAACCCATGCAGCATGTGGCTGTCCTGAATGCTGCAGGCAGTTATCACATGATGGTTAGTATTTGTGGATCTAAATGTATTTAAATATAGAAATCATACAGTAAAAATACAGTATAAAGACCTGTCTAGGGCACTTACCTTGAGGGGAGCTTGCAGGATTGGGAGTCGCTCTGGGTGAGTCAGTGAGTGAGTGGGGAGTGCATGTGAACACCCAGGACATTACTGTACTCTACTGCAGACTTTCTAGATGCTCTACACTTAGGCTACACTAAATGCATTTGAAAAATCAAGTAACTTTGCTATGACATCACTAGACAATAGGAATTTTTCAGCTCCATTACGATTTCATGGGACCACAATGATATATATGGTCTATTGTTGACCTGAACATGGCTAAGCCACGCGTCACAGGACTGTATTAGAAAACACTCAGATTCTTCTTCAGGAAGAAAATGAAGCTGTGGGCAAGTGCCCACCCCTCTTACCAATATCAGCATCTTGGAGCACCACTCTCTCAGAGCCAGTGTGGCCTGAATCCCCCCTCCACCCACAGCTCTACTCCCACTGCAGCAGCCGCAGCAGGGGACTCCCCAGCCCTGAGTGACCCCAGCACCACCCAGCCAGAAGGGGAGAGGGACACTGACTAGGACGATCTCCAGCACTTCATTCTTGCTGATGGTCCCATTGCCATCCACGTCATAGAGGGAGAAGGCCCACTCCAGCTTCTGGTTGGTCTTGCCCGCGGTGGTCATATGCAGGGCGATGATGTACTCCTTGAAGTCCAGGGTGCCGTCGAGGTTGGAATCGAAGCTGCGGAACACATGCTGGGCGTAGGCCTTGGGGTCAGCATCGGGGAAGAACTTGGAGTAGATGTTCTGGAACTGCTGCTGGGTGATGCGGCCGCTGGGGCAGTCTCTCAGGAAGGACTGGTACCAGGTGGACAGCTCCTCCTCTGAGAACTTGGTGTTCAGCTGCAGCTCCTCCAGGATCTCCTTGGACAGGGCCCCACTTTTGCTGTTCCCCATGGGTAAGGAAGAGTGGGCAGCAGCTGGGGAGTCGCTGGGTGGGTGGGACGTGTGTGGTGCCCTGGCTGCAGGCTGGGGCTCAGGGCTGCTGTGAGCTGAAGACGGAGATGCTGGTGGCTTAGGAGGATTTGAGACCAGTTCTTCCCAATCCTTGAAGGGAGGAGGGGCCCAGGAGCTTTGTGGAGGTGGTGGTGGTGGGGAGGGCGGTGGGGGGATGCTCCCAGAACGCTATTGAGATTAAAGCAAAGAGCCCAGGGCAGGCAGGCAATTCATCTTGGCCTCCTGGAAGGATACCAGAACAAAACAGGAGGTTGGAACCTTCAGAGCTCTTGTACCACTAGAGCTCTAAGGCAACCATGTTCCCTGTTTCTCTTCCTTACTAACTCTGAGTGTCTCAGGGAGGGCTGGCATCTCCCACTGAGCCCTAGAATTCAGTTGTTAGGAGCACAGGCTCTGGAGCCAACATTGGTTCAAATCCCAGCTTGGCTACTTAACTAGCTATGTGACCTCAGGCATGTTTCTTAACCTCTTTCCACCTGGGACAATCTTCTAATCCTTCACTGCAGTCACGTTTCTGCTTAAATGTCACCTTCCTGGCTAGGCCTATGTATACTGACCCTCTATCTATAACAGCACACCATCATTGGCATGCCCCATGTCCCCTCACCAGAATGAAAGCTCCTGAAAGACGGGATTTTGTCTGTGTTGTTCCCAGATGCATTTCCATGGCCAGAACAGTGCCTGACAAGCTTGGGCCCCCAGTAAGTCTTTCTTGAATAAATGGGCATCATAGCGTCTACCTCACCATCATGGTGGGGCTGAAGTGAGTCAATACGTGCGACACGCTTAGAATAGAACCTGGCACACAGCTAATGCTAAACACTTACTCGTTTTCTTGCTGTTCATCGGTCACAGAGAGTGAAGGTAAACTCCCTGTCGGCGGGTGGCCAGCAGGTGGGAGGGACAGCAGGGAGCAGCCAGGCCTGTGTCGCCTTGAGAAGGGGCTGCCAGCAAATGTGGTCCCATGGGATCGTGATTTTTTTTTTTTAAATGATTTAAGAGAAATAAAAAAATCAGAGTTTTAGATGCAGTTTGCACACTTTTCAGCTTTGGCAATTGATTGGAAATTTTCAAAAACACGGTGTGGGCTAAACACAATCTATCTGTGGCTCCATGCCCGTCTGCAGCGGAGCACAGCGCTGGGAGTGAGCAGGCAGGAAAATGTGTTTGCTGAGTGAATGGGTAAATCCCTGAGTGGCCAAGAGAGGGAGGTGTGTGAGGGCAGGCTTCGCATCCCAGGGGAGTACCGACTGAGCAGTGAGGATGCTGCACACCTGGATTCTTATCACCCAGAGGGAAGGGAGTGTGGGCGTGCACTTTGCTTAGCAGAGAGCAATGCTTCACAGGGGGTGAGGGAATGGGGGCGGTCAGGACACACTCAGAACCCCAGCCTTGCCACTGTGGATGGAGAGTTGTCACTTTTTGCCCTGGGGTGAGAATCATGAAGAATAAACCCTTCAGTCTTCAGGCAGGTAAAGTGTATTTTTTTTAGATCGAGTCTACCTCCATTGTTTAGGCTGGAGTGCAGTGGTACAATCTTGGTTCACTGCAACCTCTGCCTCCTGGATTCAAACAATTCTCCTATATCAGCCCCCAGAGAAGCTGGGACTACAGATGTCTGCCACCATGCTCAGCTGAGTTTTTTCTTTTTCTTTCTTTTTTTCTTTTAGTAGAGTCGGGGTTTCACCATATTGGTCAGGCTGGTCTCGAACTCCTGACATCAGATGATCCACCTGCCTCGAATCTCAAGGTGTAATGTGTGGGTTTTAGCCTACTTCCTAACAGGCTAGTGGCAGCAGAAGGTAGGTCCTTGCTGCTGGGAGAAGGCCACCTGCCAGGCCCACCTGATGTCGCTCAGGAAGGAATGAGAGATTCAGGCACTGAGGGACTGACTCATCCCTCCCAGCCACCCTGCTCACTGCAATTTCAGAAGTTTCTCAAGAAACCTGAATGTTGGTGTGTGTGTGTGTGTGTGTGTGTGTGTACTTTCTAATGTTTCCCATCACTTTGTGAGAAAATATAATTTCTTAACAGGACTCCTTTCTCTCCTAGGCTTTCACCATCCTGCAGTGTGCATTTATTCTCAAGAGCAGTTAGAAATAGGACGGTCACCAATCTCAAAAACAAATGAACCAAGCGAGCCCAAGCCACACTTTGGAATCGCATTCACTTCCAGAGCTTCCTTGCCGCCCTGAGGCAGCTCTGGGGATGTAGGGAGTGTGAGGCCAGAGGCCTCGGCCCTTTGCTCTGAGCTGCAAGTGGGAGGCCAAGGGAAGCGCTTCCTGGATCACACTCCTGTCGGCATCAAGCCTGCAGATGGCCAGGCCAGTGTGATGGGTGAGACGTGGATGCTCCTAAAGGCATGTCGCCAGTCCGGAGTCACATGTTGCTAAATGGGGATGCCAGGAGGAAGGAAAGCCCAGGCCTGACAACTGTCTGGCTAGATTGTTGTCTGAGAAACAGGACAGGCAAAATCAAATGGCACACACAGCCTGCGGCCCTCAGTTTGAGACCCGGAACAAACTGACAGATCCCAGTTCCTTTTAGGTTGCCAGCTCACCTTTTAGGGTAAGGCGTGAAACTGCACGCTTCCTGGTGACACTGGCCATTTCTTGTTTGACTTTACATCAGAAGCTGTAGGCACATGAATGAGTAGGGGAGTGGATGGGTCCCAGACGTTCCCTGACTCTTCATTTTCACATTGCGTGATAAAGACTGCAGGAGTCTAGGCCTGCACTGTCCAACACTATTGAGGCTTCCTTTGTCTACACCACAGGAGGCCTGAGCCTGGAGGACAAGGAGGTGAGGAGCTGGGGTTGCCACGGCAATGAAAGAGGTCCCGGGTGAGGCAGAAGGCAGCCAGGGGCTGCGTCTTTGCTGTTCTCTCCGGCCAGCCGGGCACAGGAGGAAGGAGCTGGACCCAGGTTGGCAGCAGCCTGGTACAGTCCACATTCCCCAGGTTGCTGTGCCCAGAAGGGGCCCCAGGAGACCGCAGGCAGCTGTGTTGATGCTGAGAGTGAGGGGTCATGACCTAGAGGTTTGTTTGAAAACCTGCATAAACATCTTCTATCAGAGGGAAAGCTTATGCTCCTTAGCCAAACAAGTTGTTGGAGATGATGTATTGTGAGTGGATTTGTTAAGTCTGAGCTGAGGCCATAAACTCTCCCAAATCCCAAAGACTGCTCTTGAGAAGGCTTCCTCTCCAGGCAGATGATTCCAGTTCACGTCCTCACTTTGCCTAGACTGAAAGATGCTTCCCAGAAGCTGGCCCTGTCCCCTCAAGCAGGAGCTTCATCTTGGCCATTAGCTGGGACCCAGCCACCACCCCTTCCCCATTGCTCAACCTTGCCGGGTATGAGCTGAGGGCCAAGGCGACCCTCCTGCCCTCTGGCCTGGTGCCAGCACCTACAGGGAAGTCTGCATTGAGAGGGAAAAGGGGGTATGGAAAAGGTGGTAGGGGAGAAAGAGAATGGGGAAAGACCCTCCTCCCTCAGCTGTCCCCATTGCAGAAAACGATAATCCGTCTTCTTGATGACTTGGATGGAGGCCCTTGGTGTCATCCATAGTGTTCCTCTTTTGGTCACAACCCACTCCAGTCTCTCAAGAAATCATCTTGACTCTACCTTCAAGGTGCATCCAGAACCGGACTGTTCTTCCCGCCTCCCTTGCACCGGCCTCCTCTGCCTCCTAACAGTTCCTCCTGCTTCTGTTCTTGTCCTCTCACAGCCCCGCAATGAGCCCCATAGCCATGAAATCAGGTCACGCAAGATGGCTGCCCACTTCCCCCAGTCAAAGTCAAAAGCCTGCAACAGGCAGCACTGGCCCTCATCCCACCGTTTCTCACAGGTGCCAAGGAGGGATGAAACGGGGCAGGTGCTCTTTGTCTCTCTGCTAAGTCATCAGAGGTAAAATCACCACCAATCCTGAGAGCCTGGGAGGAATGCTGAGACGGGTTGTATGAAGAAGGTGGCAGCCCTCCAGGAAAGAGGGTTGCCCAGTGTCCTCATCTGCTGTACCCTCCTCATTCTCTCCACTCCAGCCAGGCTGGGCAGGCCACAGACATGTAGGCATCTCCCCTCTGCTTGGGATATTTCTCTTGTGACTTTCCAGGGTCCCTCCCAGGTCTTTTTGTCTCTGATCAAATGCCACCTTCTCAAGGGTATCTCCTCTGCTTGGAACATTTGTTTTCAGTAACCTTCCAGGTTCCCTCCCGGGTCTCCTTGTCCTTGATCAAATGCCACCGTCTCAATGATGCCACTCCAATGACCCTATTGAATATCTCAATGTACTCACCCTCACTCTGCAGGTTTTCTTTTCCACGACACTTAACACCGTCCACACCCATACCACAGAACGTAGTTCCTGAGTCTACTGTTTTTGTCTGCTAGAATGTAAGCTCCCTGAGAGCAGGACTCTGTTTCTCCCACTGATGTGTTCCTAGGACCTAAAGCAGTGTCCGGCATACACTGGATGTTCAGTAATTATTGAACGAATAAATGAACAGATGGGGCCGGATGCCGTGGCTCACACCTGTAATCCCAACACTTTGGCAGGCAGAGGAGGATGGATCACCTGAGGTCAGGAGTTCGAGACCAGCCTGGCCAACATGGTGAAATCCTGTCTTTACTAAAAATATACAAATTAGCTGGGCAATGTGGTGCATGCCTGTAATCTCAGCTACTCAGGAGGCTGAGGCAAAAGAATCGCTTGAACTCAGGAGGCAGAGGTTGCAGTGAGACGAGATGGTGCCACTGCACTCCAGCCTGAGCGACAGAGACTCTGTCTCAAAAAAAAAAAAATCTATCTATCTATCTATCTATCTATCTATCTATCTATCTATCTATCTATCTAAATGAACGGATGGCGGGGATGAGAAAAGAAACAACCAGTAGCCCCAGAGACGGGAGGGAGGCAGAGGGCTGGAACCCAGAGAGACAGGAAGTCCCCAGGGGGAGGGGACTGAGGCCAGGAGCAGAGCATCCATCTGGGTGCCAGTGTCCAGGTGCCCTTTGTCTCTCACTAAGTCATCAGAGGTGAAATCACCACCAATCTCGAGAGCCTGGGAGGAGTGCTGAGACAGGTCACATGGAGAATGTGGCAACCCTCGAGGAAGGAGGGTCACCCGGGGGAACCCAGTGCCTCTGGACAGTTTATTTTATATGGGATGAATCTAAGCATCTCAAGTATACACACAGAGCCGAAGAAAAAAATGACATGGGATTTAACTTCCTGAAAACTCTTTATAATAATGCAGGACAATTATATATAGCAAACGCCTTCGAAATTTAAACTCTTTAAACATTTAATTCTTCAGCATTAATACACACAAATGCGATAATGGGGCGGGGCAGGGGAGGGTAGGCTACAGCCTCCATGGGGATCAGGGTTTCAACAGTGTTACTTATAAATTATATTACATCAATTTTATTTACTGATCTAGGCAGCCAGAGGGTGGAAGGATATACAATGTGGAGGGAAGACATTCATACCAGGGTGAGGTGTGCTGGCGGGAGACGCGGCTCTTTAACATGAAAAATGTATAAAGTATTTAGCAAAAGTTACAGAAAACAGATCAAACAAGCAAGTTTATTTTGTTAGAAAATTCCACTCTCATAGGGTTTGCCAATGTGCTTGTGTCTGTGAAGGGGATGCCTCCAGTCATCTCCTTCCTAAGGGAAGGGAAGGGATGCTAAGTTGGGACCCCTGTCACCAAGGATGGCTGACATCCCTTTGAATGTCTGTCCCTAGGTCCATACGGCTGCCTGGAATCCACGACTCCCGAGAGCCCATCTGCTGCAGGTGATGCTGGAAGGGTAGTGTCCCCACTTGACAGATGAGTGCACAGAGGTCCCAACAGGGGATGTGATTTAACTTCAGGTTATGAGACAAAGGAGGCAGCAGAGCAGGGTCCTTGCTCTTCCCCTGCACAGCAGGCTTTCCCTGTAGGTCTCTGAGTCACCCCACCCTAAGAGAGCACCCACGTGCCCTGACCTCTTTACATTCCACTGCAATCCCACCAGAGGTTTCCCTCAAACCCCAAGAAACAGTCCTGAACACCACACGCAATCTCCAAAGGGCATCGCCCTAACCCCAGCCCACCCCCAGACACCTCCCAACAGAGCCTCCTGACAGCCATACCCCAGCATTTAGAAAGTTGGGAGAAGCAGATTGATTTTTGCTTTCTGTCTGATTCTCACTCTAACCTGCTGAAACAATAAAAAATAAGAGAGATGGGATTTAACTTCCTGAAAACTTTTTATAGGAATTGGTTCTTCACCTCCAGGAAAGCCTCAACAGAAATACTCCTGAGGGGTAGACAAGAATCCTCCCCGGCAAAATTCAACCCAGCAGAGTCCCAGCAGCATCCTTGGCTCCCTTCCTTGAGGCCCTGGTAGCTTAGGCTTCTCAGCCCCAATCTTCACCTGGCCTGGATCCAGAAATGTCTCTGGTTTGCATAGAGAGGTACCCAGCTGGCCTTGGGGCACACCTTTCACTGAGCAGGGGGCATGAACAAGAGACAGCTTAGAGGAGTGTTTACCTCGGGGGCCCCATTCAGCCTGGCCTGGCCTTAGCTGGCTGTGGTCCTGTCCCTGTCACCATGAACCACCACCCAGTGGAGTGCAGGCACAGGCCAGGCTGTGTGACCACCAGCTGAGAAATGCTCCAGCTGCGACAAGGACTCTATCTTCATGCCTGTCCTGCCTTCTGGGGAGCAGACTTCAGAATGTACCATCCAAGACCGGTGAATGAGACCCAAACGATCATTACTTGTACTTTCTTTGGGGGTCCTAGGAGAAACTACCTCATTCTTAACAGCTCATAAAACTCTTAATTTTAGCTCCATTTGAGTCTAAATGGAAAAGTGCCAAGACATCTCTCGCTCTCTCACCAGGACTTGAGGCAATTCTATGCATGACTGTGCAGATGAGAGCTAGACACAGCATGAACACATACAGGCACAGGGCACATCATTGGAAATGAAAAGGGGAGGAGGTGCATGCAGTCGCCTGAGACACTCATCTAGAACACACACCCTCAGCTTGCAGAGGAAGCAACAGCTCTAGGAAAGCGTCGTGATGAGCCCTAGGGCCAGCCCCAGCCTTCTCGTCCATGCTGCTTCTGTTCATCTTTCAAAGCCTACAACGCTCAATACATGCCAAGGACCATGTGACACTGAAGCGTGGGTCCCAGAAGGGAGTGGATCTACTGGCCGAGATGCTAACTCCAGGTTGCAGCAGACGTGAGCAGCAACTGAGGGCCCATCCATCCCTTCCCCTCCCATCCCTGGCTGCTTTCTGCTCTATCAAAAACCCACCATGAGCCAAAAAGGCAGCGTGAGCCCTAAAAACAGTTTGTGGGCACAGCTGGCATGCAGAGGAGGAGCCTGGGGGAGCCGAAGGAAGCAGCGAGCTGGAAGTGGTCGTGCAAACAAGTTGAAGACCCTGGGCCAGGAACTTCCAGGGCAAACGGCTCAGTGTAAAGCTAAAGCAGCAGAGTAGTGCACTCATGCAATGAAACACTTCCCGGCAACGAGAAGGAACAAACTGCACACACACAGCATGAGAGACTCAAAAGCGAAGCTGAGGGAAAGATGGTGGACTCAAAAGGCTACATCGGTGTGACTCCACCTATATGACATTCTAGAAGAGGCAAAATTATAGGATCAGATCACCCAACAGGGTTGCCAGGGAAAGTGGGTAGGAAGAGGGAATTTTTTGGAGTGATAAAAACAGGTTGCTGTTGGTGGTCACAAGACACGAAATTTGTCAAAATTCACAGAACTGTCTATTTCCAAAGGGTGGATCGTACTGGATGTCAATCATACCTCAATAAACCTGGGAAAAGATGATGGCGATGGGCCTCATAGAGGTGGGAAGGATTATGGGGATGAGATGATGTCCGGGCGATGCGGGCGGGCAGCTGATCTGCACCCCACACAATGAGCGTGTCTGTAGCTGTCTGTTTAAATGCTCCTTGCCAAGACTGCCTGGAGCTGGAAGTAAAAATCACCTAAACAAGCCAAGGGCTCTGATGTCCTTTTAATTTTACGGCTTGTATTTCCAAAAGGGACTTTGGCTCAGCCCAGATTTTTATGCATCCATCCACTAATCTAGTAATTGCTGGGTTTTCACAAAGGGTAGAGAAACAAACTTCTGGTGGGTGAATTCGTCGGTACACTTTCGGTGTGCCTGGCTGATTACCAACCCTGACCAACTGTCCCACTGCAGAAATTCTCCTTGGCCAACAGGGTGCTGAGTGGAGGTAGATAGGAGGCCCAGGGTGGTCCCAGTTACAGAACCTCAGGGCCGCCATCCCCATCGCTCAAGTGGCCTATGCATTGCTACTGATGGAAAGCACTAGAAAGAAGAGAGGGTAACAAGTGGCCCTTCCTGGAGGTTGTCATGGCAACCAACTCACTTTGAATACAATTGGCATCAGGATTTTTTCTTCCTCTTCATTTTAAATCAGGCTTTCACAAACACATCTTGTGCACCAGTCTCCTGGGTGGAGGCAGGTAGAGGGGGTGACTTGTTCTCAGAAATGAAATATGGATGTTCTTAAGAACAGCCCAGACCTGCCTACTTTGAATAAACCCCGCTAAGTCCTCACCTAAGCACCAAGACATAAACAAAACCACCACTACTACCCAGACAGCGTGCCTGCCCCTCCAACGTGCAGTCTCTTTATCTTCTCAGTTGCATCCTTCTCTTGACTCCAACCAGTAAGGGGCCCCTGTTCATAGGGGTAGGGGGCCTGGACTGTCGACTCCAGCCCTGCTCTCAATTCACTGGCCATTTCACAGCCTCACTGGCTATCCCTGGGCTTCCCTTACCCATTTGTAAAGAGTTATTCACAGCAAACAAAGACATTTCTGAAATTCAAGCTGGATATGAGCTGTGAGGGTCTGGGGACCAGGTGATTAAGATCTTGTTTCTGTCTACCTTTCATCCAACAGGTAACTGTCTCACAGCCGTAGTTTATATCATAATAAAGAATCCCAGAGGGTTAAGTGTGGGGAGGGTACAGTGTTCTTATTACGTCACATGGAGAACAGAGGAGAGGGGAAAAGCGCCCCTCTTCATGCAACTACAGCATCACTTCTCAGCATGCCTGGCTTGTCTTGAGCATTCGCTGAATAAATGAATGGATATTAATCAGCACAACAGACTTACCTCTGAAAACCTAAATTCTGCAGAGTACCTGTATGTGAATGCCAAGGCTGCTGACCTGTAAGGACCCTGAAAACGAGAGATCATGGGCTTCCCTGATGACAGGGCCATATGGTGTCCTCAGATTAGAACTTAGCACAATGGCTTTAACTTGCTTGATGAATGAACAACAGAGGGAAGGAAGGAAGGAAGTACGCAAAGGGGTTAAAGAGAAGATGAGGGGATGACGGGGAAAGAGTGACCTCCAAAAATGGACTGGCCCAAACTGGGCCAACTTGAGCTACCCTGGAAGACACGAGAGAGCTCACTCCACCCCAGGGAGGAACCGAGGACTCTGGAATCCTCAGATGGAAATGGAAAAGTCAATGAGCCATATCGTACTCAAAATATCTGTGTTAATAGCAAGGCTATTGGTTTTGAATGTTGGAAATCATCCACAAAGTAGTTTACTAAGCCACAAAGCAATTACCACTAGCACCCATTTTTCATAAAGAAACCAAGAAATAATATTCTAAAATTGGTACCTGGTGTCATGACCCAACCCCAGATCTGGACAGAGTGGTTCCCCATGCCATGGTCAGGTCCTACCAAGCGGTCTTCATGTTGGTGAAGGCCTTTGAGTTGGACTTTTTGGTTGCAGCATTTCAAGAACAAGAGAAAAATGACAACGTTTGGTTTACTTTAGTATATTGGGCATTTTTCTAATGTGAACTACAAGAAAGCAATTCTCATTCGATGATAGAGGGTCCAAAAGATTCGAGATTAATAAGTCATCAGTTTCCAGCACGTGAGTCTGAAAGACCAGTATTGTGCTTGTTGAATTCTGCCCTCATTGCAGATGTGCAGGTCAAACCCAAAGTGGTCAATGGGAAAGATGAAAAAAGATGGATTTCCAGGGAGTGGGTTTCCGACTAGAATCCAGCCCTCACTCGCGCTTCTCCCGGCCTCTCGGGCTGACTCTCTAGACTGATGTGGTAGAGAATGTGTTTGCTGTGGCAGAGAATGGGAGACATATAATGAGCTGGGCCCAACGGCAGCACTGAAAGCTTCCTAAGTCACACTTGGACCAGACTCTTCCAGGGAATGGAAGATGGAGAGAGGGAAAGGAGGGTTTGGTGCAGGGCTCTGGAATGTGCAGAAGGAGCTAGAAGCCAAGGAGGCAGGACACTGCCTGGAAGGTGGCAACCTTGTGTGGCCATAGGAGCATCTGCGATGCCTTTCCAGTGCCCACCAGTGAGAGAAAACCATACAAGGGACAGCAGTCTCAGCCCTGCCACGCACAAGAAGACACAGCCATCTGGGGGATGGCAGAGACGTGCCTGACCCATCTCCCATGTAGGACTGACCCAGCCCCATTACAAGCCTGTGGTGGGCAGCCTGGGAGGGTGGGGGCCACGGCAGCCCAAAGGTGCAGAGGGCACCATGGTGGACAGGTCCCAGCCTGCTGGCCTCTGAGACGAGCTGGTTCATGTCTATCCCTGAAGCCTTTGGACGAGCTGGATGAGGTCTTAATAACTGAGAACTTTGGAAAACTTCCTCTAATGAGACTGGGAAGGGGTGACAGGGTGGGAGCAGGGGCTTCCCCAAGGAAGCAGCTGAGGGAAGGGTGGACTGGCATTTCCAGAGAAGACTTTACAGATGGCGCCTGATCTCATAGGAGACATGATTCAGCGCTCGATTTGGGGCTAATTTGCCGAATGAGGTAGTTCCATCCTGACCTCTCCAGGCAGGGTGGGTCTGGGAAGACAGGAGCCGAGCCTTCCTCCTAAAGCCCCTGATGATGAATGGTGGCTGAGAAAGCCAGATGTGGGCTCCCAGAATGCAATGGGAAAAAAAAATAAAGGAGGAGGGCTGCAAAGGATTCTGGGTGCGGCTGGGAGCTGAATGGCACCTGCTATCCACGATTCTGATCCTGACACCTGGCTTAGAGACAGAGACGTCCCTCCCCTGATTCTCCAAAACCGTGGAGACAAGGGCGCCAGCTGAAGGAAGAGCCTTGGGGCTTCCAGGGCACAAGCATTTGGCGGTGACCCCTACAAAGCTCAGCAGGGACCACAAAGTTCCAGCCTGTTTGTTTCAGAGCGGCAAGCACAGCACAGGAGTCGGGGCCTTCAGCCTCAGAGACAAGGGCAGGGCTGTGGGTCTGTCTTCTGGGCCTGGGAATATGGGAGAGCCCCCAGCTGGGCCATCCGAGTCACCCATCTGTAATCACCAGCTCTCCCCCCTCTCCTCAGTGGCCCAGGAGAGAGGGAGGGGGGTATCCACTCAGCACAGGCCCCATGGTGGGAGCCCAGCCCCTCTCCCCAGCAGGCCCCCCAAAAGCTGCACAGGCCCGTCTAGATCTCCATGTCCACAGGGCGGATGTTGCCCGTCTTGTGCTCTCTGACCCAGAGCTCCCTGTCTTTGGCCGGGTCCACTTTTCGAAGCAGCTGATCCACGGGCTCGACTGTCTGCAAGAGACAGAGAAGACGTGACATTGTGAGAGATGGCGGCCAAGCTGGGGAGGTCTCCTCGAAGACATGCCGTCCTCGCCTTTGTGTCTCTCAGAGCAGCCTCTCTAGAGGGCTCTGGGTCCCAGGGGAAGCCCATCTGAGGGACAAACATGCAGAGGCTGTGAACGGGGAGCCCAGAACACATTCTGACCCTGCTTCTCACACTGCCAGACCCCAGGCCTGGAGGAGAGGCCACAAGGGCCTTAAAGGCTCAAGGTCTGCGACCCCTTTCTCCATTTCACCCCACATTTACCACCAGAGAACAGGGCAAAGACAACTCTGGCTTTAGGTATTCTGAAGATTTCTGGAAGTTGTTTTTATTTTGTAAGAAATTTAATAATGTCTTCGGCTACTGGTATTATCACGAGCTTCTTTCTTCTCAGGTCAACAGCTCACATGTATCCACTTCACATACCAGGGGCAGATTCACACAGATGTCCAGGACAATCCGGACAGGCCCAGCCCAAGAGGCCACCCCTAGGCCAGAGCACCTGCCCACTGCCCACCTTTAGGACAGATTCCTTGCAGCGGCCACTTCACCTGCCACAGCCTAGCGCCGGGCAGCTTTCTGCAGGCCCTATGCCGCTGGGAGCCCCGCAGGGCTGGAAACTCACGCTTTGGTTGAACATGTCTGTCTCGTGCCGCAGCTGTGTGTACTGGCACAGATGCTGCCGGATCATCTCCACCCTCTCCACCTCCAGCCGCTCTAGCTCCTGCCGAGAAAGCAAAGGCCACAGAGCTCTGAGCACGTCCCCTCTACTTTGGGGTCTTCCCACCAAGACCACACTGGCTGTGGACATCCTGCCCCATCTGGGTCTCTGGGGTCTGAAGAAGAGCGTGCCCCGTGTCCAGGGTGAAGGTGAAGATGATGACAGCACAGCTGCTGTTTTACGTCCCAAAAGCCTGCTCCACCAGGCACAGTGCTGAGGGCTTTATGTGTATTCCTTAATTGTCCTCATTACCGTTTTAAGAGAGAATTTCTGTCATTATCTCCATTCTCCAAGCAAGGGAGCTAACACCCAGAGAGACAACACCACAGCTCGCTCAAAGTGGCACAGAATTATGGGAGGGACAGGACTTAAACCAGGGTCCGCCGGGCTGTTACTCATGACACTGTGCCCAGGCAGCCCTAGCCCTGGTGCTCTGATGGGGTGCAGCAAGGGGACACATGTGGGAGCTCCATGCCACACATTCTGGGGACCTTGTCCCTGGGCCTCTGCGGAGCAGTCTCCCTTCCTCTGCCCATGCCTAGTGCTGTGGCCACAATAGAGGCCAGGCCAGGGAAGCAGACAGGACTCCATGAGGAGCAGCCTTTGTCAAAGGGAAGAGTGGAAGGGGCCTATCCTTTGGTTTCTAGATGGTTTTGTGTCTTTGGGATCTAGGGGCTCAGGCTGTTATTCTGTATACAACTAGGTCACTGCCCAGGTGATTAACCAGAAAAGGGGGGTAAAGCAGGGTGCTTAATTAGGAGATTAACCAGGAGGAAAACTAGGTCACTGTCCCTGGTGGAGGCCTCTAATCTGCTCTGGTGGGCCGACACCTGGGGAAGGCAGCTGGTTAGTCCTGTGCTGGATGGGCAGTGGCTTTAGGCTGTGGGTTGATCCGATGAGCACCGGGCATAATGTCTCCTGGCCCATCTGGCCCAAGCACCAGCCACATTTCACTGTCCACTCAGGCAGGTGCTGACCGATAAGGAGATGCTGTCCCCTTTACAAGAAATACTCAGGAGAGCATCATCGGCCCTACGACCTGTTGTTTACCCTCGGTCAGAGGCCTTCCCCCATGCCCCTGTGTAGCTCCAATCTCAGCCATCCAGCCGTCTTGCAAGGATCTCCTATTGAAGACCTGTGTGTGCATGGATGCATGTGTGTGGCAGAGGGGGCATCCTCTCTTCCTATAGCTTGGTTGTTTTTCCTAAAGAGGCCATCATCTACTTAGTTGGGGAAGAGTCCTCAGTTGACCCTGACCTCTTAGGGGACAGCCTGAGAAGGATGCAGCCATACCCAACCCAACCGTGCCCACGTCCACAAAGCTAGGAAGCACTGGAGCAGAGATCTGCAACCACGTAAGCTGGCTCAGACTGAGGTTCCGACCTCAATGCTGAAGTAGACTTGATAACCATATCTAGGGTCACTCTACCTCTTTCTCCCCGTGCTCACCAACCACCACCAGGGGCTGCTCTGCATCAGCCCCTGCACTGCCATGCCCACGCATCCATGACCACTTACCAGTGTGGTGGTCACCATCTCTTCAAACCACTTGGACTGGGCCTGGTTGTAGAGGTCCACACAGCGCATGAGGTCATCTCCTGGAAAAAGACCACAGTCACCATCAGGATCCATCCCACCCTTGCCATTACTCTGTGTCCCACAGCCAAGACTTCTCCTTCCCCTGGGGTCATGGAGGCCACTGGAAAGTTGGAAAAGGGATGACGGTAGGAAGAAGAAAGCAGAGCCAGGGCAGGAAGAGGCAACCCAGCCCCACGGGAAACCAGCTCAGGTGTCCACCTGAAGCCTGACCCCAGTGTCCTTCTATTACATTTTATTTCATCACAGAAAGATCTGAGGTGAACATAACTATTAAATCTTTATGACTAGTCTATTACTTTCTGTTATCGTATGTATGTTTCGAACATTTTGTAAGGATTCAGGATGGTGGTTCTGTGTGTGTGTGTAGGGTACTCCAAGGACCCCCGATCCTTTCATGAGCCCAAGAAATGCTTCCTTTTCTAAAGATGACAGTTTTATTTTACACTGGGGAATCCAGATTGGTTAAAACATGTCACGCACAATTTGGTATGAAGAAGATAAGTTTGCAGATTGTGTGTGTGTGTGCATGAAGACACCACAAGATGTCCTTCTGAAATACAAAAGAATGCATGGGCAGTCACAGACTATAACACACACTGGAGCTGCACACACCACCTTCGGGAAAGTGGCCACCTTGGGAAACGGAGAAAGGGTGAGTGGGCAGGAATCGGTTCCTTCTATTGCATTTTATTTCATAGCAGAAAGAGCCAAACATAACTATTAAATCTTTATGACTAATCTATTACTTTCTGTTATCATATGCATGTTTGGAGCATTTTGTAATTCAAAAGAAAATGCACCACGACATAACTGCCAACATGACTAAGCGTCCCAGCACCTTGGAACCTTGCTACACAAATCAGTCTACGGGCCAGGGGCACCTGTATCCCCTGGGGTTGGCTAGAAATTCAGAAACCCAGGGTAGATCCGAGACCTACTGAATCAGAGACTGCATTTTTACGAGCAGCTTGGGTGATGCATGTGCACATGGCAGGCAGAGAAGCACAGCTCTTGTGCACAGCTCTGTCTCAGTGTAGCTTCCTCATCTTCACAGGGCTCCAGCAAGAGGAAGGCATCATGATCTTTGCTCATGATGGAAAAAGCTCATGAGTGAATCCCAAAGTGATTTTCTCTAGTAATTCTAGAAGCAGAATATAAGAGTGGAATTTCGTAGTTTGAGGAGAGTCCAAGTTACTTCTCTAGCATCATCGCTGATGCTCATAGGTATTCTGATAGGAAAGTCAAAGAGAACAGGGAAGGGGCTGGGCGTGGTGGTTCACACCTGTAATCCCAGTACTTTGGGAGGCTGAGGTGGGCAGATCACGAGGTCAGGAGTTCAAGACCAGCCTAATCAACATGGTAAACCCCGTCTCTACTAAAAATACAAAAAATTAGCCAGGCATGGTGGTGCATGCCTGTAATCCCAGCTACTGGGGAGACTGAGGCAGGATAATCGCTTGAATCCAGGAGGTGGAGGTTGCCATAAGCCGAGATCATGCCATTGCACTCTATCCTGGGCAACAAGAGCGAAACTCTGTCTCAAAAAGAAAAAAAAAAAAAAAAAAAGAACAAGGAAGGATATGCTTTCATACCCAAGGCCTAGGTGCAAACCAAGCCACAAGCTGCATCACACACCAAAGGCAAGCACTGTGCCGTGGCTAACAGAGCCCATACCAAGGAATTTATTCATTTTGTTTTGGGTTCAAGGCCAATAACTGGACCCTGGTCCTAAGAGACACTGAACCAGAGAGAAGAAAGTGGATATTGGACTACAGATGCATTTCCACCAAGAGCTCCTGCTGGCCGAGGAGGAGAGTGGCATGCTGCTCCATGTATGTACACTGTGAAACTCCCTGAGCCCTGTGTGCCAATCCTGATTTTGAGAAACTGCTTCAGTAACTTCCACAGCATTGGGAAACAGAGTAGGTGAAGGAGGCTGTGCCTTCTCTCTAGGGCAGCCCAAGAGCTTGAAATTGGACGTTTCTGGGCCAGACACGGTGATGCATGCCTGTAATCCCAGCACTGTGGGAGGCTGAGGCGGGCAGATCGTGAGATCAAGAGATTGAGACCATCCTGGCCAACATGGTGAAATGCCTTCTTCACTAAAAAAGTACAAAAATTAGCTGGGTGTGGTGGTGCACGCTTGTAGTTCCAGCTACTCGGGAGGCTGAGGAAGAGAATCACTTGAACCCTGGAGGTGTAGGTTGTAGTGAGCCGAGATTATGCCATTCCACTTCAGCCTGGTGACAGAGCGAGACTCCTTCTCAAAAAACTAAAAAAAAGAAAAACCCAAACAAAAAAGAAATTGGAGCTTTCCGAACAGTATCAGCTAAGATCATGGTCTGTGGATGAGAATATCTTTGCTGTCACCCTAGCTCAACTACTTATTATCTGTGTAATCATAGACAAGTCAATTAATCTACCCATGCCTCTGTTTCTTCATCTGGGGATGAAGTACAAATGGGGATGATGATTGTACCTTCACCAAGTTGTTATGAGGAATAAATAGTCCATATATATAAAGCACTTAGAGTAGAGATGAGCATAGAGAGCCAAATAATATGGGCTATGGTGGTGAGGATGATGATGATGATGATCCCTGAGGATCTGATGTCCTTCCTTCTAGCAGCCTTGGAAAAGATGAGGAAGAGGGAGGAAAGGAACAAAAGGAAAGAACAGGTGGCATTTTCTGAGCAACAGGCTATCCAGCAAAACGACGACAAGCAGAGTCTCTGGAATGAGAGGAGGCTGAATTCTGGCTTTGCCGCTGCACCACTGTGGACCTCATGGAAGTTTCCGATTTTCTCTGCCATCAGTCTTCTCACTTGTAAAGAGCATAAAAATACCTCCCTGCAGGGGGACTGTACTGATCAAAAGAGACAATGCTGTGAAGCATGGAGGCTGGCACACAGTGATGCTCAAGAGGCGGTGTTTTACAGAGTTAGGTCTAAGGACTGTCACGTTCATCACGAAATAATTCCCAACTACAGGAAGGAGAGACCGTATTATCTGATGACAATGCAGTAAAACTATGTAAAAAAAAAAAACAGCAAGATTAGAAAACAACAATAACAAAACCCTTGTTTGTAAAAAGGTGAAGATTTTCTTTGAACCAATCCTTGGCTTAAAGATTAAATGAAAACCCAAACAGCAAAACATATTGAAAAATAGCAGAAATGAAAACAGCACAAATAAGAACCTGTGGAATATGGTTAGACCAGCAGTGTAAGGAAAAATAAATGTCTGCTGGGTTAAAGATTTTACTGTTTTAAAAACAAAAAGAAACACCTGAAACAAACAAACAAAAAAGGTAAGAAAAAAACCTCTAGGTGATTAAAAAATAAAAAAAAAATCTAAGTCAGCTCCAAAATCTAGACTTCATATGGGAAATGCTGCTGTACAGAAAAGCAGCAAGAAAATAATCGACAGGCAAAAAAATTTACAAAGAACAAAACTAAAAGACAAATGACCATCTAGGAAGCAATTAAAATGACAAATGGTTCATCTCCCCGATAGATAAAGAATCCATGGTCAATGGGGAAAGGATATGAGTTAGTCAGTTCACACAAAGTGCAAAATGATTTATATGTATATTTTACATGCTCAACCCAGCTTATGGAGAAAAGCAAATTAAAAACAAAATATTGTTTTTCCCCAGACACTAATGATTTTAAATCTTGAAAACACACAATGTTGACCAGCATTTAGAGAACAGGCATTATCCAATAGATGCTGTTGGCGGGTGCTCTCTCTGGAAGGCAATTTGGAAGTATGCATCAAGATGAATAATAAATGCCCTTTGACTCAGCATCTATATTCTCTCTGTATGCTGATCTGGTCTTAGGCACCCACAATGATGCAGGTACAGAGCTCCACTGGCTGGCAAGCACTCAAACAATCTGTGACTCCTAGACCTCAATTAAGGGAATGATGAAATCAATTTGGGTACAATCACACAATTCGACACTGGCCAATCATTAAAAAGTTTGGAATGCATGAATGGATGGGTAAAAATATTTATAGGAATGAAAAAGAGCTATTTCCAGTACGTATTGATTAAATAAGTTCAGAAGATAAATCGTATGATCCAATTTATATAAATTTAAATATTTAAAAATTAAAACACTAGGAAGTGATGGTGATTATTTTTGTGAATAGCATTTTCTATTCTTGCGTGCTGATTAAAATATTTTGCCATGTATCCATACTGTTTTTGCAATACATTTTTTTTTGAGGCAGAGTCTTTCTCTGTCACCCAGGCTGGAGTGCAGTGGCGTGATGATAGCTCACTACAGCCTCAGCCTCCCGGATTTAAGCCATCCTCCACCGTAGCCTCCTGAGTAGCTGAGACTACAGGTGTGTATCACCATGCCTAGCTAATTTTTTCAAATTTTTTTGTAGAGATAGAGTCTCACTATGCTTCCCAGGCTGGTCTTGAACTCCTGGGTTCAACTGATACTCCTGCCTCAGCCTCTCAAAGCACTGGGATTACAGGTGTAAGCCACTGCTCTTGGCCTATAATTTATTTTTAAAAATAACTTAATAATGTTAAACAGATCTCTTCCCCTTCTGGGTCCCCCTTCCCTCTACCAACAAATATACCGCGGCTTCTACTTCTGAATGCAGAAACTTATGATTGTGCATTATAGATCTGTATAATAAATGTTGTCCTTCTATTACATTGTTTTTTTATTAACTTATTTCTATCCTACCTTATTTTCAAATGTAAGGTGGTTGCTTTCTTCCATAATGAAATGAATTGTAACAGGTTCACCAGAAATTAAGGTGAAAGTGACCTACAGACCAAACTCTAATACTACAGCACACATGGTCATTCCAGAGTCAACACTCATGTCCTGTTGGATAGTACAACTCGGCTACCTTTAGATCTAGTTACGGAGGTTTTCACTGGTTCTCCCAGGCCTTCTCTTCCTTTTTTGTGTATTAGCTAACTTTTACCACTAGGTGGAAGCAGAAACCAACTGACTGGGAGACTCTAAGACACTGAAATCTGGTTATTTCTTTAAATAAAATGTCAGCCTCTGTTCCCAGGGCAGGTGCCCATCGCCATAGGTGAACCTTCAGAGCATCGCTTCCTGAGGAGGTGGGCCCCTTGCGTGTGCTGTGCACCCCTGTGGGCTCTGAACAGGGACAATGCCCTGAGCAATCAGCACATAAAGGAGTCTGTACTTCCTGGTCAGAGATCTGGGGCTTGTGCAAAAAAGTCCATCACTAGGGAGAGAGTAAGCAGTCCAGCCTCTACCATGGCCTGGCACTAGCCTGGCCTGTCTCCTTCCTCTAACCCCCAGAGTATCTTCCTTTGAGATCCCTGGGTGTGGGTCAGAGAGAAGAGAAGAGGGGGTACCTCCTAGGAGACAAGGGAAGTAATTTCCCCCCTGCAGTCTTGCAAGGGAGAGATGGCCGCTCCCCGGTCACCCATCTCCCAGCCCAGTGATCTCCTGTGCGCAGTGACCAGGCCAGCTGTGGCCGGCACTCACCAGCCTGTGTGGACTTCCTCCGTGCCTTCTTGATATCCTCCTCTGTCTTGTTGCTCAGCTTGATCTCCAGCTGCTGTGTCTTCATCTCCAGATCTCTCTGCCGCTCTGTGAGGGCTTTCCGGGCCTGGGGTCCAAGGACATGGAGAAGCTGCTGGTAAAGCTTGGAGCGGGGGGGCCTCATGGGCCATGCAGCCCAGCTTCCCTCTGGAGTCCTTTTGCCCCTGTTTGTATGGGTGATGCCACAGTGGCTCAGAGGGGCCCAGCTGCCAGAGTGGCATCACCCAGCTAGTTAGAGGCTACAACCCAGCTTTCATCCTTGCCTCTTCCAGTGACATCTAGACTCAGCCTGTATCAATCTCTCAGACTTTTTCCCAATGGAGCCTATACAGACTGGGGACCCAGGCAGTCCTAAAATCAGATCCCCTCTGCTTGGAAGGGACCTCAAAGGCCATGTGCGTCAACTCCCTGCAGCACTCAATAGGATGTAGCACCAGGCCTCCCATTCCAGAGCCGGACACTCCTCGACCCTCTCCCTCCCATTACTCTGCTGCTTCTCCCTGGGCTACCACTGGCAGCTCTGCAGCCCTTGGGTGGAGGCAGCTGGCTGGGCCCAGGGTGTCCCACAGTATGAGCCCCCTTCTCCTCCCTAAGGCACTGGAGGCTGGGAATCAGCCTCTGGGGAACACTCTCTTCCCTTGAGGGCTGAACTGCAGCTTCCTTGAGGTGAGACCACCCAGGACTCTGCCTCATCCCTGAGCAGGAAGGAGAGCATGGAAGGGGTGACTGAGTCAGGAGGACTCTGCCAGGTGAGGCTTAAACATGGGGCCTCCTGTGAACCAGCCACAGCACCGCCAAGCTTGGGGTTTAATTGGTCACCCACAGCCACTCACCCCCCACTGCGGCTGCTGCCTCTCGTCGAACCCCTGGCCCTCTGGGTGGTCATCTGAGCAGCACAGGGAGGCAGCTCCTATCTGCCCTGGGATGGGTGGGGGTGCTCAGGCATGGGCACGAGGTTTGGACATCCCCCCTATTCCCCTACCTGGAGACAAAGATGCCATCTTGTCGCACACAGCCACTGCTGGCTTCCCAGTCCACCCTCTCAGGCAGCCCCTGACATGCATACCCCGGCCCGGCGTTCTGGGTCCCTCACCTTCTCCACCGAGGCATAGCGGCTGGCAAGCTGCTTGCGAAGATCAGCAATGTGGTGGTCGCACTTCTTCATGTCTTTCTTGAAGTTCTCACGGAAGTTCATCAGGGGCTTCTCCACCTCGCTGTGAAGCTGTTGGGAGAGTGGAGCAGCACACTCAGGACCTGGGGCGTCAGCTATAAGCCAGGGCAGGGAGGAGTGGTGGGAGGGGCACCCCCACCTCCCCAGGCAGGTGATGATGAGTGTGGGGCAGCGGCCTGGCAGGAAGGTGAGACACCCCCTGACAAGTGGCTGCCTATCAGGTCTCAGCTTACACAGGTCACCTTAGCCCAGGAGGCCCCAACGCACATGTCTACAGGATGAGTGGTTAGCAACTAGAGCTTCTGCAGCTTTTAAATTTTATTTTTAGAATGTTTTACTCTCTATATTTATAGTTTATAATATGCTGTTTTGAAATATGTATACATTGTGGAATGGCTAAATCAAGTTAATTAATAATCAATGGGCTGGGTGTGGTAGCTCATGCCTGTAATCCCAGCAGTTTGGGAGGCCGAGGCAGGTGGATCACCTGAGGCCAGGAGTTCCAGGCCAGGAGTTCAGACCACCCTGACCAACATGGTAAAACCCGATGTCTACTAAAAATACACACACACACACACATTAGCTGGGCATGGTGGCAGGTGCCTGTAATCCCAGCTACTCAGGAGGCTGAGGCAGGAGAATCACTTGAACCTGGGAGGCGGAGGCTGCAGTAAGCCAAGATCATGCCACTGTACTCCAGCCTGGGTGACAGAGTGAGACTCAGTCTCAAAAAAATAATAATCTGTGACCTCACATGCTTATTTTATTCTACAGCATCTTGCACGGCTTTGTTATTGTTTCTCTCCCTTATTTTCCCAACAGAGAGCTTTTTGGGGACAGAAACCACATCAGCGTCTGTGTCCCCAAGCACTTAGCACAGTGACTGGAGTACGTAGCTCCAGTAAATAACAGTCAAACGAATGCCATTCAGTCAGCCAGTCTCAGCTCAGTCCTATTTCTCGAGCATCTACTCCACACCAGGTGCTGAGAATACAAAGGTGACCTTGAGGAGCTGATGGTGGGACCTGCTCGAGGCCTACTGGAAACTGACAAGGGCAGCTCTCCTGCACCACACTTGGAGGCTTTCTCGGCTGCCCTGGGGAATAGGCACACTTTCCGTCCCCACCAAAGGGAACCGCCCCCGTTTCCCAGGGGCCAAAGAAAAGGGTTTATACGCTGTCAGAAGAGCTGGGTGGCATCAGGGTTTTCAGCTTTTTTCTTCTTTTTTATTCCTTCCCTCTTTCCCACCCCACCCCCCTTGAAAAGAACTTTTCGTTAAAATTTGTTCTTTTTGGTTGTGAGCACAACATTTATTTTGTGGGGAAAAGGGATCAACATGGACCTGCTGTGGTCAAAGTCCGGTGGCACCCTAGCCCTGTGTCCCCCCAACCCCACTGCCTGGAATTGGCCTCAGACCAACCCTCTTCAACCTATGCCCACCACCCCCACCGCAAATCCACCTCCAACTGTCTCAGAGATACCTCTGGGGAGCACAGCTCAACTTCCCTGGGACAAATGATATCCCAGCTAGGGTTCTGTGACTTCTCTCCCTCCTTGCCCATTTTTTGCTGTACAATATCTTTTTCTCCAGGGACCTATGCTAAGCAACTGACTTACACAGGACTGGGAGCTCTAAGCAGGTAGGGGCCCCATCGGGTTTGAGCACTGCTGTGCCTAGTGTCTGGCCAGGGCTGCTGCAGGGTGGATGCCCCTTCTGTATTTGTAGAGAGAATGACAAACTCTTCAGAGCCCCAATCCCCTAGGTGACAAGAAGACAGCTTTGTCACTGGATGACCTTCAAAAGATGAACAGAGAACTGGCCATCCAAACACCCCCTCCTCCTTGTGTTAAATGTGTCCTATTTTTTCGAGCCCCAGGAATCTTCCTTGTATAGGAAAACATCCCCATCTGGTGGCAGTTTGCAGGATGGTACAAAAATCTTGAGAGCTTATGAGAATGAATAACCATAGATACGGCATTTGCTGAGTAGGAGGAGCTGTATGGCGAATCTGTCTGGCCAGTCTGCTCCCGGATTAAGAATCTGGGAGAGTTAGCTCAGCCTGCTAATTCAGAAACTCTGGGGTCTCTTTCTAAGGATGTGGAAAGTAAGTGACTTTCAGACTTTAATATGCCCAGGAATGAACAGGAAGAGTTTTCAACATTAAGGTTTCCTGGACCCCAGCCTCAGGTTCTGTGGTCTGACAAAAAGGCCATGAATCTGCCAATATGCCAAGTTTTCCCCGAATTCAAATGACATTCTGGAAACATGACGCTGCTAACTCTCAGAAGTGATTTGATTCCATAGGTGAGGATGCCTAAAACCTCCCTCTCTCTACAGATATAAAGTACTATTTAAAGACACAAATTTTTCTTTAAAATGGTTAGCCTGGTATCTTTAGTACTTTTTTTTTTAGACAGAGTCTACCTCTGTTGCTCAGGCTTGGGTGCAGTGGCGCAATCTTGGCTCACTACAACCTCTGCCTCCCGGGCTCAAGGGATTCTTCTGCCTCAGCCTCCTGAGTAGCTGGGACTACAGGTGCACGCCACCACGCCCGGCTAATTTTTTGTTATTTTTGGTAGAGATGGGTTTCAGGATGGTCTGGATCTCCTGACTTTGGATCTCCTGACTTTCAGGATGGTCTCGATGTGCCCGCCTCAGCCTCCCAAACTGCTGGGATTACAGGCATGAGCTACCATGCCCAACTAGTACTCATTCTTAACTTTTAAGCATCTTTGTGGAACCAGGAGTCAGAAGTCCTTCCTGGAAGCGTGTTTCTCACAGACTTAGGCCAGCCTGTCGTGGGCCCCTCAGTTTTTTCTTTCCAAAACCCTCGCTCTCTTTTCTTCCTTTTCATCTCACACATCAGAAGAGAACAAGAGAAATTCTAAGTTGGTAGGAATTTCAGAGACTGTCTAGTCTGATATTTTTCAGACAGTGTGTGGCCAGGAGTTGTGAAATCGATTTAATGGGCCAGGGACCAGCTTTTTGGTGAGAATACCAGACTTGAACAGAAAATACCAGAGTACATTTTAAGTAGGAGGATAAATACTGTTTTATGGAACATTTGTTTCAGCTACAGATGTGTGTGAGTGTCTGTGTGCAGATACCAGAGTGGATACCTACAGACGTGTTCTGAATGCTCATGTAAAATGTATCATTTGTAAATCACTGTCAGATAAGTTTAAAGAGACTGATCTGAATTCTTTATTTCATATGTGAAAAAATGAAACCCCAGGAGAGCTACAGGACTTGCTCAAGGTCACAGAGCTTCTTAGTGACAGCACTGAGTCCAGCTCATGTCTCCTGACTCCCCTGTCCCCTAAATCTTCCAACAGAACACACGGCCTCTACCGCATGAGATTTTCTACCAGCAGAAGGAATTCTGCTATCCTCCCTTCTTCAGCAGCCGCCAGGTATAACTTCCTTGGTATATAACACACTCAGTTCATCAGCAACCTGTTGCTATTAGCAATGGCTTGACTAGTGGACCAGAAAAACCAGAAAAATTGCTGTAACAAAATTGCATTTCTTAAAGAGCTTTTACCCCTGACACAGAGCATTCAGAGCAGAATTTCAATCAGCCTTTCAGAGCAGACTTTAAAAAGGGTTTTCAGCTTATGGAGCTATGTTATTCATGGCAGTCAAATAAGTCCTTGGAGCCACTTTATTCTCCAGGGATCTCCATAAAACTACTAGGCTGCTGCTATGATCGCCTGAGGCCACCAACACTGACCGACAGGCCGGAAGCAGTAGCAACGTCTGTTTTACGTGACGGGTCTTCATGGGCCTCCCATCAGCTGAATGGTGAGGTCCGCCCTGTGTCTTGAACGCTGACTTAAAATGTCCTGAGCATTTGATTTTCTGGGGCCATTGGCAACCTCTGAAAGGGCAGAGGGATCCTCAAGAAAAGGCTGTGTTTTCAATGCCATTGGTCTGCCAGAGGGGGTGCTGTTGGAAGAAAAGCTCTGGGGACCACATCTCCCACTGAGGAAGGAGACCCTTAATCACCTTCAGCCTTCTACATTGCATCTCAAAAGGAGAAGTTAGAAGTTAGCCAGAGAAGGGACCGGTTGGTGCCGCCAGCCTGGTTAAGGATAAGACCCCTACTGCTAACCACAATCCCATCTATACATCATGGATATGGAATGGAGGAATCTCTCCGAAAACACTGCTTTTACTTAAATAGGATCAAACGCCCACCCCATGCCTATTTCATGGGTGAAGATCCTTTCACGTGTAATTTCTAGAGTTGTAAGCCTAAGACCTTTTCACATATAATTTCTAGAGTTGTAAGCCCAAGACCCTTTCACATGTAATTTCTAGAGCTGTAAGCCCAAGACCCTTTCACATGTAATTTCTACAGCTGTAAGCCCAAGACCCTTTCACATGTAATTTCTAGAGCTGTAAGCCTTTACAAGGGCAGGGACTTTCTTCGTGAGCTGAGCTTGGCTATTAGGCAACTATGCCGCTCTGCTCCCAGCCAAATAAATCACCCCTTCCTTCCCAGTTCGGTGTTTGAGAGTTTGTTTCGTGGCCTTTCCTGCTTTACCATGGGCTCAGTCCTCTCCTTTGCTTCCTTTGTGACTGAGCCCACCTGGCTGTGTTGCCATGGGCTGTGATCTCATCCCTCATCCCTTCTCACTGTGAAATGGGGATACCATCTCCCATGGTGGCTGGTGGCGATGAGTTATTATCCTAAATGCGGCCATCCACACCACTCATGTCACCACTACCACGTCGGAGAGGGTTTTGCCACCTGTTGAATACTCTAAACAATCAAGAATCAGGGATCCTGCTGATGGAGAGTAAATGTCGCCAGGACTCCCAGGGACCCAGCAGGTGACCTTTGCAAAGCTGGAAGCTCTGGCTCCCAGCCCCAGCCCATCACAATGGCAGCATGCCCAGGCATCTTGCCAGTCAATGAAAGTTTCCATCACAGCAGAGAATGGAGCTGCTGGGGGCTCCAGCAGGAGAAGGGCCTTGTGGGGAATGCTACTCATTCATGGTCTGCAGCTTAAAAATAACTTGCTCCTTTGGAGGCTATGCAGGAAAAAGATGCATTCATGGAGTTTCCTTCTCTGCCAGAACTTGAGTAGCAATTTTCTTATGAAGTGTTTGGTGTAATGAGGTTAATGTGCCTTCACTAGCTAGGAATTCTCACTCATATCTGGGTGGCAATTCAAACTTGGGGCACACTAAGTCTTGGGGAACTGTATGTAGCAGCTCTGTTCCCTCTTCCCACCCAGCTCTTTTGAAAGTCCTCTCACGTGTCTCAGCCATCTGAGTCACTCATTCTGCCTTCTGTGTGCAGAGTACCATCAGAATTCCTGAAAATTTAATATTTAGCTCTTGGGAGCCATTGGGAGCGGGTCTTAGCACCTCTCTCAGTTTCTCAGGGCAGTCCGTGAGTGAGGAAGCCCTGTTCTCTTTGCCTGCCTTTCACAGGAATGGCGTAGCATGTCCTGTCTCTTCTTAGTGTCAGGAAATACTAGGTTATGACAAAGGGAGAACTGTTTTTTATTTGTGATTGTTGTAAAATCTCAGAACAAGTAAAGGATCCTTCTTTCATTTAGTTCAGAAGATACTAGCACCAGGACTTGGGGGCAGGGTGTTTCTCTCCTATCCCTGTCCTCAGGGCTCAGGATGGTGCCTTGCACATAGTAGGTGCTCAGTAAATATTTTCTTATTGAGTTATGAATGAGTGGAGCCCTCTGACTATCTCCTCCCCACCCCCAGTCTTTCCTGGTCTCCTTTCTCTCAAGATTTCTCCATGTTTCCAAGTGACTCTCTCCTCCCCACTCCCTGGCACATATCTCCAGGTTCTCTGTCCAACTCTCAGATACTTTTCAGATGAAAAATAAACGAAATCTCTCAGTGAAATAATCCACTCTAAAGTGTGCTGATTGGTGGGGCTACCCATGAACAGGGCTACCCTGCCTTTTAAGGAAAGTTAATATGCCTTCACTAGGTGGGAATTCTCACATCTGGGTGTCAACTCAATCTTAGGGAACACTAAGCCATGGGGAGCTATAGCAGCTCTGTTCCCTCTTCCCACCCAGCTCTTTCGAAAGTCCTCTCACGTGTGTCAGCCATCTGAGTCATTCATTCTGCCTTCTGTGTGCGGAGTACCATCATGGGTTACATCATATGAGATCCCAAAGCAGGGAATTGCAATTGCAGTGGGAACAGCATTAGGACAAAGACAAGACCAGCAAGTGCTGAATGTGGAAGCCCCAGGGAGGAGCAACCATCTTTGAGGGATGCGACCTTCAAATGATTAAGGACGTGTTTAAAGAAGGGAGACTCAGAATTTAGGCACTTGACCCGGCTGTGTCTGACTAGTGATGGTGGGAGGGCAAAGGGAAGAGAGCGGAGGCCAGGGTCACTGGGGTGGTGACGCTCTGAAAGGTCCCTCTTTTTTAAAAAGGCAAGCCTGTTCATGGGTAGCCCCATCAGTCATGCATACTTTAGAGTGGATTATTTCACTGAGAGATTTGGTTTATTTTTCATCTAAAAATTAGCTGGGAGTCAGAGACAGAACCTGGAGATATGTGCCACGGAGGAGAGAGTCACTTGGAAACATGGAGAGATCTTGAGAGAAGGGAGACCAGGAAAGACTGGGGGTGGGGAGGAGACAGTCAGAGGGCTCCACTCATTCATGACTCAATAAGAAAATATTTACTGAGCACCTACGATGTGCAAGGCACCATCCTGAGCCCTGAGGATAGGGATAGGACAGAAACACCCTGCCCCCAAGTCCTGGTGCTAGTATCTTCAGAACTAAATGAAAGAAGGACGCTTTACTTTACTTGTTCTGAAATTTTGCAACCACCACAAGTTTAAAAACAAATTCTCCCTTTGTCATAACCTAGTATTTCCTGACCCTAGGAAAAGACAGGACATGCTACGCCATTCCTGTGAAAGCTGGGCAAAAGAGAACAGGGTTTCCTCACTTAGAGACTGCCCTGAGAAACTGAGAGAGGTGCTAAGACCCGCTCCCAATGGCTCCCAAGATCTGAATATTAAATTTTCATGAATTCTGTTTGCTGGTTGTTAAACACAGCCATTATTAAAAAGGAAATAATATAAACTTAATTAAATAAATTATAGTAAAACCAAAGGTAATAGGCCAGGTATAGTGGCTTACGTCTGTGATCCCAGCATTTTGGGAGGCAGAGGCAGGAAGAGTGCTTCAAGCCAGGAGTTTGAGACCAGCCTGGGAGAAAGAGCAAGATCTCATCTCTACAAAGAAATAAAAAATTACCCAGGTGTAGTTGCATATACCTGTTGTCCCAGCTACTTGGGAGGCTGAGGTGGGAGGATCATTTGAGCCCAGGAGGCAGAGGCTGCAGTGAGCTATGATCACTCCATTCCATTCCAGCCTGGGCAACAGAGTGAGACTTTGTCTTTAAAAAAAAAATTAAAAAAACAACAAAAAAGGAAATACACAGTCAGCACTTACCACTTCCTAACTACACTCTACTATTTTCCACACTCTTGGATATTGATGGTTATGGGTACTACCGTATCTGTATAAAAACACCACCTCTGGTGAGCTATGGGCATCTCCTCCCAACTTCATATTCCGTGACTTCATGTTAATAGCTTGAAGTTTACACCAGGGAAAGTGGCAAACACGGCAAGTTGGAGGGATAGTTATTAACTGTTTTTCAGCACCCCAGTGTGTAAGACCAACTGAGAGAGGCTGCAGGGAGGCATTACCTTGGCAGAGAACTTGAGATGAACTTCTGCTTCGTCTGCAAGGCTCTTCTTCACCTGGGCCCATGCTTCTCCCAGGGAGCTGCAACACAAAGACCACCAGACTCAGGTCAGAAGCCAAAGCCCTTCCTGAGTGGGACAGTGGGGCTCGACCCCAGGTCTTAGGGAGGTTTGACAACTGAGAATGTGGACGTGGATGAGGCATAGGCCAGGCAGAAACCAGACAAAGGCATCATGTTTCGACTCACAGGGTCCGAGTGAGCTCACCTTACCTCTAGAGCTAAGTGAATGGACTGTGGCACAGAGCCGAGTGGCTGTGGGGATTTCTAGAAACCCAGAGGCTGGCAAAGACCAGGGGAGGTGCAGGAAGCAGGTATGGGGAAGTTCCAAAGTCTCAGCTGCAGTAAGGGCCTTGACCCCTGGGCTGTCACTGGCCCCAGAGCCTTTCACGTCACCCCTCCCTGGTTTGCTGATGAGGGGTGCAAGCATCTGTTAATAAATCAAGGAAGGAAAACAGGTTCCATTCCAGGGAGAAGCTCTTTTCAAACAGAAGGTACCTCACAGCCCTGCTTATGGGCAAAACCCCAGGCTGCTTGGCTTCCAGGAGGGGCAAAGATAGACCGTGTGGGTCTAGTGAACTGGATGCAGCTGCAGAGCAGAGAAGGCTCCCATTGCCATCCTCGGAAGCACAGTTCCCTCTAGCACCACTTCTCTAGCTGTGAGCCCGATGCTGCCCACAGCTCACTAGAGAAGGGCCAGGTCCTCTCAGCAGGATCACTTCTCCACTCTGCGGAGAGGCTTCGTGTAGAAGAGATCTCCTGAAGTCCCTAAGACTTGTCAGTGCAGGCCTCATTCTGCATGATTTGGAGCTCTTTAACCCCCTGACCCCTCCAAATGACACCCCTGCTTTCTTGCTCCCAACCTCTTCAACACAGCCAGTAAATTCAGGCTGACTGTTCAGTTGACTTAATATATCATCCAAAAGCCACTTCCCCCAGAGAATTCATTAAAGTCGAGTGGCAAAAGCTGATTAAAAGACAGCGTGCGCTGAGGCTTCTGGGTCTGGAGCAGAGCAGCCAGCAGTGAGGAATTGCCCGGCAGAGCACAGCAGATCCCTCTGATCGCTGGCCAGGCCTGTGTGGTAGTAGTGCTGGCTCAGGCTGAGGTGGGTGTTTATGGGAAATGACTGCCTGATTTTATCTAGCAGTCCAGCATCAAAGACAGTTCCCCTCAGTGATCCCGGCAGGGAAGCCACCAGAGAAGTGTTGGAGTATGAAATGGGACAATCTAAGCTGTTGACCTTAGTCTTCGCCTGAAGGGCCTGAGCTCCAGGAAGCTGTGCTGGGGCACTCCACGCCCTCTGGGTGGCTTGGGTGCCCCACCTGATTCAACAGGTGGGTAGGAGGTCCAGGGGTGATGGAAGCAGTCTCGGCCATTACACAGATCAGCAGAACAGAATAGTCACCCAGGTAGGGCCGACTGATCTGCAGCAGAGGTCAAGGTGTTTCCACAGGGGAAAGAGATGGTCTTGTTAACAAATGGTGCAGAGACAGCCATACATCTATAGGAGGAAAAGGAATCTTGGCCCTGCCTCATGCCATACACACAAATGATCTCAACACGCCTCCTAGATCCAGGGTAAAAGCCAACACTATAAGAAGCTTACAGAAGCTGTCCTGGGAGGAGTGGGAACTCGATTAAAGTGAGGTAAGAGGGGTTTGCCCCCTGTAGCTGAGCGACACACAGCAGCCTGCGGGAGGGATGAACAAGAGCCACAGAAGCCAAAAAGGCCCCGGGCCCCGGGCAGTGCCTACACTTTGTGTGAGCATGTGTATCTTTCTACAGAGCTGTCAGTCTACTGTCAGCAGAGCACATGGCAGGTAACTGGTCCGGGGATAGCCATAGTGACCCGAGAATGTCATCTCTGGGCAATGGGAGGAAAGGAAGAACCATGGTTTTCCACCCGACACGACGTCCTCAGTTCTACCTCCATCCCCGGCACTCCTAATTGGGAGGACATCTCTGCAGACGCCAGCACATCCTTGGTGAAGGCCTCCCTGCTCTCCAATTTCCAGGCTCTTTGGAGTCACTTCTCCATTTATTAAAAAGCTGCTTACAAATTCTCTCATTTGAAAAGAGATTTTTCATCTGATAAATGGTTAATGAAAAACAGCACAAAGCCTGAGATATGTCTCTGTTCCAAAACACAGTTTGAAGCACACCAAATCTAAATGCGTGTTGTCATCATGACTGCCAACTAGGAAACCCAAAATCCTATTTCCTTTCCACACAGGAGAGAAAAACTCAAGGCAGAATAAACAACTGAACTCAGTCTATTTACCCGTGTGCCCATGCCCTGTGAAATCTAATTTGGACACAAGTTGAATTGCAAAAGCCACTGAAGCCTCCCTGATCAGCATCTTCCTCAACTGCTCCAAATTTCTAGGCTCCTGCTTTGCTTTGAAAGCCTTCAGGGAGATGGGGTTAAATGTCCAAAGCTGTGTGTAAATGTAAATCAGTGTCATTGCACATTGTATGGAGGGGGCTCATGTGTTCATGCTCCATTGCCTGCTGCAGGAGTGTGTGCACGCGCTGCTGTGTGTGCGTGCAGGGTGAGGGGAAATGTGTACACATACAGGGCAATGGCCCTGAAGCGTGTATGTGAGCTTGTGCTGTGTTTGCCTCTTTGTTTGTCTATGCATGTGTGTACAGTATGGAAGTATGGGCCTGACTCACAGAGCTGGACTGCTCGGGTGAGGAGCATATGCTCTGTGTGTTGGCCAGGACACAGTGTCCTTGGCAGCAGCCCAGGCCGGAGAGGTGGAAGCCAGAAGACTCTGGAGTGGCACAGCGGCAGCGGGATACTTAGGAAAGCTCCCTCCCAGGCAGCGATCGCCACTCCTCTACGTGCCCCCTTCCTGCCCCTATCTCAGGTCCCGTGCACAGACCAGGTGGAGGCCAGGAATGAACGAACCTCATTTACATCTGTGGAAGGGACGCTGGCCTTGCTGGGCCACCCTGTGGTCTGTGGCTGGTGGGGAGGGTGAGAACTATTCAAAGGAGGCTGCCTGGCTGCACAGCCAGCCCATGTGGAGGGCTTAATCAAAGCCACATTTGGGTTGGCAAAATCTCGGTTCCCTGAAGGATTTCAAGCCATAAAGGCAGATTTGGACTGGTTCAACATCACGGCTCACTGACAACCACAACCACCCCACAACAGAAGGTCTTCCTTCCTCGGGGGTTCACTCCCCCTTGGAGGAGGAATTCAAACACAGACCAGCACCAGAGGGGGTCGGAATGGAGAGGACCTCTGGGGACTTTTTCATCTCTAACCTCCTGAGAGTCTTTATATATTTTTTTATTGAGGTCAAATTCACAAAACATAAAATTAACCATTAAAAAGTGAAAAATCTAGGCACATTTAGGCCAAGACCAAATCAAACGCCTGTTTTGTGAATGCCACTACCACCTCTGTCTAGTTCCAAAACATTTTCATCATGCTATTATGGACTGAAGGTTTGTGTCCTGCCAAAATTCTTATGTGGAAACCCTAACCCCACCCATGTGGCTGCATTTGGCAACGGGGCCTTTAAGGAAGTAACTGAGATTAAATGAGGCCATCAGGATGCAGCCCTGATCTGACAGGATTAATGTCCTTATAAAAATAGACATCAGCTGGGCGCAGTGGCTCACACCTGTAATTCCAGCAGTTTGGGAGGCCGAGGCAGCTGGATTGCCTGAGGTCAGGAGTTCAAGACCAGCCTGACCAACATGGTGAAACCCTGTCTCTACGAGAAATATAAAAAAATTAGCCGGGTGGCACACATCTGTAGTCCTAGCTACTTGGGAGGAGGAGGTTGCAGTGAGCCGAGATCAGGTCATTGCACTCCAGCCTGGGTGACAGAGCAAGACTCTGTCTCCCAAGAAAACAAAACAAAACAAACGAACAAACAAAAAAAACCAGACATCACAGAGCTCTCGCCCTCTCTGAGCACACACCAAGGAAAGGCTCCATGAACACACAGTGAGAAGGTGGCCATCTGCAACCCAGTGGGAGACTCCTTACCAGACACCAACCCTGCTGCCTGGCACCTTGATCTTGGACTTCCCAGCCTCCAGAGTCACACAAAAATAAATTCCTGTAGCTTCAGCCACCCAGTCTGGGACATCTTGTTGTGGCTGCCCAAGCAGATGAATACACACTCCAAAAGGAAACCCAGTACCCACCAAGCAGTCACAACCCATTCCCTCCTCCCCCAGCCTCTAGCAAATGACAGTCTACTTTCTGTTTCCATGGGCTTGCCTGTTCTGGACTTTTCATGTAAATGTAATTATGCACTTATAGTGCATCACTTTTTTCACTTTGCAGAATGTTTCCAAGGCTTATCCACACAGTAGCATGTGTTAGTATTCCATTCCGTTTCATGGCTGAATAATATTCCATCATCTATCCATGGATATCCACTGTGCATACCCCAATATTTGTTTATCCACTCATCCCCGGGTGGAATGTGGGTTGTTTCCATATTTTGGCTATTATAAATGTTGCTGCTCTGTACATGTGTATAAATGTATTACTTTGAGTGCCTGCACTCAATTCTTTTGGGTTTCAACCTAGGAATGGAATTGCTGGGTCATATGGTAATTCTATGTTTAGCTTTTTGAGAAACAACCAGACTATTTCCCACAGTGGCTGTACCGTTTTCCATTCCCCACAGGGGTGCACAAGCGCTCAGACTTTTTACCCACTAGGAATCCTTCTGTGGCTGGGAGGGTCACGTTAAGCTTCTCCAGGCTTCTCTCTTTATACCATTAAAAAGTATGCAACCGAGCTATGCAACCTTTCAATTACCCCAGTTTAATGGGTCATAAAATAAGGATTTGGTTACACAAATTGAAACCTGGCAGTGCCCAGGTCCCACTCAAGGAGGTCCGGATAGTCACAGCATCAGTGGGAAGGGGAGCCTATGCCTCAAGCCCACAGGAGAGAGATCTAAACAACACCCTCTCAGACCCAGCTTCCTCCCAGCCTAGCCCTAGAGAAAGGGGAGCTGAAGTGGCCATCTAGGGGCTGCTGCCCAGCTACCAGCTCTGGTCAGACCAGAGACAATTCTGACATACTCCAGCCTCTAGAAGGTGGCCCTGGGTCACTACAGAGAAGACAATGTGGAAGTGCCTTTTTTTTTTTTTTGAGACAGACTCTTGCTCTGTCACCCAGGCTGGAGTGCAATGGTGCAGTCTCAGCTCACTGCAACCTCCGCCTCCCGGTTCAAGCTATTCTCCTGCCTCAGCCTCCAGAGTAGCGGGGACTATAGGCACCTGCCACCATGCCCAGTGAATTTTTGTATTTTCAGTAGAGATGCGGTTTCACTATGTTGGCCAGGCTGGTCTCGAACTGACCTTGTGATCCAACCCCCTCGGCCTCCGAAAGTGCTGGGATTATGGGCATGAGCCACTGCACCTGGCCGAAGTGCCCCTTTGAGCGTGGATGCCTATGCTTTGAGTCACAGGTGCCCAGCTTGGGCAATGGGCACACACCTTAAGTCATGAGCACCGATTGAGCCATGAGTGCCCACTTTGAGCCAGGCCTATGGAGATCTCCCCATCCAAAGTGGGGCCATGCCAGTGATCAATGAGTGGCTGATCCCCTCTTCCTCAGTGACCCCCCCCATACTCTCCACTCCCACTTCTCTCCTATCCACTCACCCTTCCTCCTGTGAAGCCAAGGAGTTCTGAGAGAGCTTTGCCAAGTTCTTCGCATAGTCTTCTTCAATCTTTATCCTGCAAAGAAAGAAAACCCAACACACATCAGCTCTCCAGTGTCAGATCGTGGGTCTGCCCTGCTGCCCTGCACACCTCAGCCATGGAAAGGAACCCACTAGGCCATAAGCTCTGAGACGACATGACTCTTGCCTGTCCACCTGACATGCAGTCGGTGCTTAATAAATACTTGTGGGATAAATGAATGAACCAAACTCTCTGGCCCTCCATCTCCTCATCTGCAATATTTTCTCCGGTCTCCTAGGGCTGTGAAGATGAGAACTGCCATTTACATAGTTCCTAGCACAGAGTGGGAAACATGAGAGACCCCTGAATGAATAAATGAATGAATGAAGGAAGGAATGAATGCTTGCAACTCATGATGGACTAGCAGCAATACCCAGTGCTATTCCCTCTCGCTTCCAGCCCCAGAATTCCCAGGTGGTCTCAGACCCTCGAGGCAGCAGGAACAGAGGATCTCCCTACTGTCTCACACCCCTCAATGCCTCTGATTGTCAAGCCCGCTGGGTACAAGTATTTCCATGGAAACCTGGCAATGCCCAGGGCAGCAGGTAGATTCTATTTCCCTGGAGAGGAAAGTTGCCTTGGATGAAGCTTCCAGGCAGGCCCTTGACACATTTGCAAAGCAACTTGCCAGGGAGTGTCCTGTATTATGCGGCAGGTCCATGTTAAGCACGTAGTCAGAGGTATTGTTTACCACCTAAGTGGTCCTCTGGGCCACGGTGGGAGACAGAGTAGTTATGCTTATACCAACCAGAGCTGGCCAGAGCCTAGGCATCAGAGAGCCCCCGGTCCATCACACGGTGAACAGAGAAGCTCCAGAGATGCTGGGACCATAGCCTTTGCTTCTCAGCTGCTCAAGCAGCCACACCCAAAGGGTGCAATGATGGAGAGAGGGCAGCTGACAAAGCCTGGCAGCAGCATTCCGAGTAATAATAATTGCATGACTTGGCATCAAGAGACTCACAGTCTTGTTCCTTTTTGCACTGCTTTCCTCTCACCTTCACCTTCTGCTGGTCTCCAGGTCCTCTGAGTCTAATTCTGACTGATCCACCTCTGTCACTTCCTCTCCATTCCCCCTCCCTTCACCTCCAGACTGTGGCCAAGAGGCATCTCTAGAAAGTACATCTATCCATGCCACCTTCCCAGCTCCTCAGTGCGGACTGCACACAGACACGGGAGGTACATACGCTGTCTGCCTCCTGTGTCTCACCTCCAGGCCCAAAGCGTGTGTCACCTCCATGTCTGCCCCACTTCCCGAAACCAAGGCCCCAGCAGACGAGCCAGCACTTGTCCTTGAGCCAGGCCAGCTACCAATCCTGAGCCTCGGATCCCACCTCTCCTGGCACTAAAAGGCCTTCCCTGCAAGATCCCAAGGTGGATCGAGAAAAGTTACAAGTGTGTGCATTTTCCCTAGGAAGCCCAGAACGTCCTGAAATGGCAGTTTCCATTTATTGGCTAACAAGACGTTGTTATGGAAATATAAACCAGAAGCATGTTCAAGCTTTGGCTCTTGTGGCCATTTTCCTATCTGCCTGTTTTATACCAGTTTCCTCACACCCGAGCTATGCAACCTCTCAATTTCCCACCAGTTTAATGGGTCATAAAATAAGGATATGATTATACAAATTGAAAATAGGCCCTCTGTCTATGGCCATTGCACCCTGAACACGTCCTATCTCATCTGATGATAGGCCCTCTAAAGGAAAGGGGTGCTTTAAAACGCCAAGGCTGCCAGGCACAGTGGCTCACGCCTGTAATCCCAGCACTTTGGGAGGCCGAGGCAGGTGGATCATGAGGTCAGGAGTTCGAGACCAGCCTGGCCAACGTGGTGAAACCCCACCTCCACTAAAAATACAAAAATTAGCCTGGCATGATGGCAGACATCTGCAATCCCAGTTACTCAGGAGGCTGAGGCAGGAGAACAGCTTGAACCCAGGAGGCGGAGGTTGCAGTGAGCCGAGATCGTGCCACTGCACTCCAGCCTGGGTGAAAAAAGCAAGACTTTGTCTCAGGAAAAAAAAAAAAAAAAAAAGCCAAAGCATTATTACTTGATTATTGCAGTTATAATTAAAAAAGAAATATTTTTAGAAGATATTACAATTCACTATATTTCCAATATGCATTAAAAACTTGAGATGGAAAGGTGTGCATGTGCGTGTGTGTATGCGTGCACATACATGTGTGATGGGGGGTATGTGCAGATATGTGGGTACGTGGGTGTGTGCTTAACAGAGCCTCAGAACTGGGAGTGGGAGAGAGAGAGTCAGAGAGGGGGTAGGGTGGGAGGGAGAAGAATAAGGAGATAGAGAAGGAACTTCTCTTTCTCTTTGTAGATTTCTCCATTTCCATTGGGCTAAATTTCTTGTTTCTTCATCTGTGTTCCCAGCCTCTGTAGATTAATCCCTGAGGTAGGGATGGGGTAGTAGGAGGGCTCTGCATCTCATGCCCTGGACACAGTTTTAGCTAAAGATGAATTGAACTGTCACATTCCCATTGGTTATGGTCAAGGGCAGTGCTTCAAATAATGGCCAGGTATGTAAGTAAAGGAGTGAAGAAGTCTGCAGAGGAAGACAGTTGGGAGCGGTGGAGACTGTGGCAAAATGAAAACACACACCCCCTCTACAAGAGTAGCTGCTATTCAGCTCTAACCAATTGTAGAATGAGGGATGTGGAGGCAATCCTGCCAACACTTCTGCTCTTTCGAGATGTGCTAAATATCCAGATTTTAATATGAAATCTACCAATTAAGTGTTGGTTCAAATCTTTAAAAACACTCTATCAGCTAAAGCTACACATCTGCTGGCCAGATCTATCCCAGGGCCCATGGGTTTGTGACCTGACTCTAACCAGCCCAATGCTGAATGTGCAGGGCTGAGTCCTGCTGCTGTCACCCCCTGGCCAAAGGGAACACTGGTGCCAGGCCCCAGGGCTGAGAGAGGCCCAGGCTTCACCTTTCCCGGATGAATTCTGACATCTCCTTCTGCATCTGTTTGCCCTTCAGCTGTTTCTGGAGCAGTAGTTCAAAGCCAGCCACAGTGCCATTGCCTTGGGGGTCCTTCTTATCAGCCTACAAAGGAAGCAGAGCACAAGCGTTTAGGGCATGTCTTAGTCTGGAGCCAGAGAGAATGGCTTGGAGGGAGGACAGTGCCTAGACATGCCTGACAACCCTAGCCCAGCATAAGCGGAGGGATGGGAGCAGCCGTCTCTGCTGCCCTAACTCGGAACTCTCTCCTGGTGCCCCTACTCCCAACAGCGCCTTCTCATGCTCAGGCTCTTATGGTTGCTGCATCCCCACATCCAAGCACCTTAACCGTCCCAGCCTGGGAACCAAGAGGAAGAAGGGCAAGTGTCCAAGAGCAGCAGCTGTGATGCCTAACAGCCTATGACTTCCAACCAGGTGGCTGCAGAGACTGGCTTGACCCTCGGCGACGCCTGATGTTCTGACTCCAAGCTGGACTCAGCCTTAAGCCACCCTGTCTTCTACCAGCTTCGTACACTGGCAGGGCAGTGACACCCTCTAACCAACACATTCATAACAGATCACAGGAAAGAAGTAAAAATCAGGGAGAAAGTGGGCTGAAGGGAAGCCAGGGCAGAGAACAGGACAGGTTGCCCTGAAATACTGGCTGGGTGACCTTGGCCAAGTTCTTCACTCACTCCAGGCCTAAGCTTCTTCATCTGCAAAACTGAGGAAGTAACAGCCCTGCTCTCAAATGGTCATTTCAGGGTAAATGACATCCATCTATGTATATACATGGCTAAGCACATATCATGTAAGCACATATCAATAAATGTATTATTAGTTACTTTTAAAAAAAGGTCTGAACTTGGGGAAGATGTGTAAGTCAATTAAATAAATACTTAGGACCCAATTAATTTTGCAAATATTCTTAAAATTTCAAAATTAAACGATTTATTTTGTTTTACCTGCATTTCTTCAAGCATCCCTGAATGCCCCTTTCCTGCCACTCGCCTGTCTGAGATTCACCCACACATTGCCCTGCACAGCTGTGGCTGCTGGAGCACCAGCACCTAGGGCCATCCCAGGCACTGGCCATCACCATGCCTAAAAGTCTCTTCCTCCTCACAGCTTTTCCCTATCAGGAACCCAGGGTCAAACTTTGGGACTTAATGGAAGGTGTTCAGAACAGGTTTTTGATATCCCAGAGGGAGAGGTGCAATGGTGGGAACAGTGCCCCAGCATCTGGTAGGACCCAGGTTCTTGTGTCTGCTCAGCCACAGTGTGGCAAGTCCAGGACTGTCTAATCCCTAAGATCAGCCCCTTGAAATAGGAGTGGGCTGTACCTCCCAGGTCCCATCCAGATCAGACATCTTAGGAGAAAGAAAAGGGGTGGCTGATGCCTGCAGGGAACCCCCATTTTACCATCATCAAGTAGATGAAGAATTTTATGGACCCCTTCCCATTCCCCCCCAGGGTGGGACACCTCCCTCCGGTACCATAACTCAAACCCCTCTGGACACACTGCTAACATCCCTGATGACAGGGAGATCACCGTCCCACAGGGTCACAGTGGGGCTGCTCTTGCAGTTTAAAAGCAGTGTCCACTGAAGATCGCTGCACTTCACTCTGTGAATGTTACACCTTGATGAAAAAGCAGAAGGAAAATTACCCAAATACTGAGCTCAAATCTGCCTCCCTTCTAGAATGAATACACTGAGCTCTCCATGCACTCTCGGGAAAACCAGCCAGAAGAAACAGGCTTTAATGGCTGTGTCAGGAGAGAGAAATTTCTATTAGTGGAAAAGGCCTTGGATGGTCAGGGAGATAAGTGGATTGCAGATAAAGAATCAGAGTCCCCAGAGAGCTTGAGTTAAGATAAGAACTCACAAGTGTTGCCCTCCAGATGCTGTGGGCAGCATCCCACATTCCTTCCGGCTTTCCAAGACTTGAGACCCCACACGCTGACCCTCCAGCTCCCAGGATACCCCCATTTCTGGGGCTCAAACCACTCTCCCTGAACGCTCCATTTACTGCACCCATCTTGAGGGATGATGTTTCCAAATCCAGCTACATCTCTCCCGCTCGGCCACCACCACCACCTTTCCTGATCTCTTCCACTCACCTGTCAACTGCCCACCCTGCCTGCACAATGCCTGCGAATCAGATCATCCACCTTCTGCAAGCAGAATAAAACTCACTTACTGGGGCGGAGAAATTCTTGCACACTCTGATGCTTGCTCACCCCACGCCTCTGAGCTCACCTGCCCGGGTCTGTCTGATGCCAAAGATAAGCCCCTTTACACTGTTTCCTCAACATGTGCACAGATCTCTACCTTGGACACAGCAGAGCTGGACCTACAGAAATTGTGCCTTGGTGAGAGGTGGAGGCAACAGGGATCTCTGTATGTCTTCTAAGGTACAAGTGATTTTGTAGAAAGAAAAAAGAACGTTTGTCTAGTATTTGGTTAGCAAATCTAAGAAAGTGTAGATAATCTGGATGGGTGGTGGCTCACACCTATAACACCAGCACTTTGGGAGGCCAAGGTGGGTGGGTGACCTGAGGTCAGAAGTTCAAGGCCAGCCTGACCAACATGGTGAAACCCTGTCTCTAAATGAAAAAAACAAAAACAAACAAACAAAATCAAAAAAATTAGCTGGGTGTGGTGGCACACACATATAGCCCCGGCTACTCGGGAGGCTGAGACAGGAGACTCCCTTGAACTCAGGAGGCAGAGGCTGCAGTGAGCCAAGATCGCACCATGCACTCCAGCCTGGGTGAGACAGAGTGAGACTCCATCTCAAAAAACAAACAAAAATGTAGATAATCTATTCTGCACAGTGATGAAAACAAGTTTTTACTTGTTATTGTTCCTTGGGGTCTTAGGACACTTTTTTCTTTTTAAGTGTTACCATTGAGTGGCTTTTAACACATTCCCAGGGTTGTGTGACCATCCCCACTATCTGATTCCAGAAAGGGGTGATCTAATCTTGAAAGTCACTGTAACTTTCACATGCAAATGCTCAGGAACATTCCCAGAACGTTCTGCGGCACAGGACTCCGCATTTCTAGAAATGTATTTATTTGAATTGTGAAAAAAATACACCTAGCATACAACTGACCATTTTGGCCATTTTTAAGTACACAGTTCAGTGGCATTACATTCATTTACATTGTTCTGCTACCATCACCACCATCCACCCAAAGAACTTTTTTCAATCTTGCAAAACCCAAACTCTGGTCGCTAAGCAATCTGCAAAAGTTTAAAACTACAGGATTATCCCAGCTGCAGCTCTCTGAAGATCCTGTGCCCAACCTCCTCACAATTCTGATGAGTATAGTCAGGCCCAAGGAGGTGAAGTACTTGTCCAAGGTCCCTCAGGTGGAAGTGGCAAGCAGGTATGCAGCCCACGTTCATGTATGGAGGTGGATTCTAGTCTTCTGCTTTCACTGAGCATGAAAGAAAATGTGGGACCTTGGCTAACCCACATTCTGGGTGAAGGGTCTCTAATGTGAACCAAAGTCCTGCTGAATCCCTGAGATGCATGGAATGATCTGGACTCCAAGAGGGTCCCAAGTTCCTGTCTCAGATACAAAATCTAATGCCAGCCCTTCAGGCTTCCACAAGAAAGTCCCCTCCACTCTGAGATCCAGGTCCCTCTGCCCACCCTGGGTGTCCACTCCTCATCATCGGGGTCACGGTGTGGGGGAAACCGAGGCACTGCTTACCCAGAAGTAGTCGCAGTAGCTCCATTCCGTTGGTTTCAGCAGCTGCTGTTCTGGCATTGTGTCCGGGTGGGGGAAGGTCACACAGTTTATCTGGAGGGCACAGAACAAGAAAGTATGACTTTATTGGAGACTGGAATAGCAAGGAAGGCTTTGCTCCTGGGGGACATGGCACTAACGGCACTAGAGCAGGCTCCCTATTGCCAGAACATGCACAGGGATCTTCCCATACTCCCAGGGCCCGCATTTCACCTGAGGGGCAACAGGAGCTCATCCCCATTCCAGAGGGGCTGTGAACCACTACAACCTCTCTAGAGGGCAGTTCCATAGGATCAAAATTGCAATCATCCAGTGCCTTTGACCCAGCAATGGCATTAAGAGTCTACCTTACAGATACAGTTGCATGGGTGCAGTGATGTCCATATACGCTTTTTCGCTACAGCACTGTTTATGGCAGCTAAAGGCTAGAAAACAACTCCAATGTCCATCAGTAGAGGAATGGCTAAACAAAGTATGAGACTGACAGCCATCTATGGAAATCACAAAGAAGACGGTGATAAAGTTCTTAAATTTAATAAGGAAAGTGTGCCAGGGTATAGGGTTAGGTGAAGGTTAAAAAAAAAAAAAGCAAACAAATGCCAGGTGTGGTGGCTCACTCCTGTAATCCCAGCACTTTGGGAGGCCAAGGCAGGTGGATCACCTGAGGTCAGGAGTTCAAGAGCACTCTGGCCAACATGGCAAAATCCCGTCTCTATTAAAAATACAAAAATTAGCTGGGTGTGGTGGTGGGTACCTGTAATCCCAGCTACTTGGGAGGCCGAGACAGAAAAATCACTTGAGCCCGGGAGGCAGAGGTTGCAGTGAGCCGAGACTGTGCCATTGCACTCCAGTCTGGGCAACAAGAGTGAAACGCTGTCTCAAAAAATAAACAGAAGGCCGGGCATGGTGGCTCAAGTCTGTAATCCCACCACTTTGGGAGGCCGAGGCAGGTGGATCATGAGGTCAACAGATTGAGACCATCCTGGTCAACATGGTGAAAGCACGTCTCTACTAAAAATACAAAAAATTAGCTGGGCATGGTGGTGCGTGCCTGTAATCCCAGCTACTCGGGAGGCTGAGGCAGGAGAATTGCCTGAACCCAGGAGGCAGAGGTTGCCGTGAGCTGAGATCGCGCCATTGCACTCCAGCCTGGGTAACAAGAGCGAAACTCCGTCTCAAAAAAAAAAAAAAAAAAAAAAAAAAACCAGAAAAGCAAACAAAGTATGACAGTTCCTTTTTAAAAAGAGATACCCAGTTGATCCTTGAACAACACAGGTTTGAACTGCAGGGGTTCACTTATACGTATATTTTCTTCTGCCTCTGTGACCCGAGACAAGACAAGCCCCTTTCTTCCTACTCCTCCTCCGCCCATTCAATGTGAAGATGGTAACAATGAAGACCTTGACGACGATCCACTTCCACTTAAAGAACAGTAAAGATATTTCTCTTCTCTGGCTGGGTGCGGTGGCACACGTCTGTAATTCCAGTACTTTGGGAGGCCAAGGCAGGCAGATCACGAGGTTAAGAGATCAAGATCATCCTGGCCAACATGGTGAAACCCTGTCTCTACTAAAACTACACAAAAAATTGGCTGGGCATGGTGGCGCATGCCTGTAGTCCCAGCTTCTCAGCAAGCTGAGACAGAAGAATCGCTTGATCCCAGGAGGCGGAGGTTGCAGTGAGCCGAGATTGCGCCACTGCACTCCAGCCTGGAGATAGAGCAAGACTCCATCTCAAAAACAAACAAATGAGCAAACATATTTCTCTTCTTTATAATTATCTTAACATTTCATTTTCTCTAGCTTACTTTACTGTAAAAATACAGCATATAATACACATAACATGCAAATTATGTGATAAATTATTAAATTATCAGTAAGGCTTCCAGTCAACAAGAGGCTATTAGCAGTTAAATTCTGGGAGAACCCAAAGTTATATGCCAATTTTGCACTATGGATGGGGAGGGGGCATCCCTAGCCCCCATGTTGTTCAAAGGTCACCTGCATAACACGCATTTGGTTATTTGCACATAGACTACTTCTGGAAACGGATAACATCATTTGTTCTCAAGGAAAGGAACTGTGTGGGTAAGGGTCAAGAGTGAGAGGTTACCTTGCAAATTTTATGTCATGATGTGTATCATATGAACAGATACAGCTTAAAATTATTATCTGGGCTGCACGTGGAAGGCTGGCCCTAGCTAATGAGAGTGAAGCACAGAAATTTCCGGGTCATCTCCAACTTTTCTGACTGAGCAGCCCTGCAATGCTCCCTGGCTTTTCCCTGCCGTGTGGAGGTGGTTTCAGGCCCCAGACTCCCCCCTCTCCTAGGAAGTGGGCTAATTTGCTTCCTCTGGGGGAACAAGGCCTGAGCCTTATGAGTTTTTAATCCCTTCTTGCAGCCCAAGCACCCGTCAAAGTTGAAAATGTCACATGTTAAAAAATGGCACAGCCCTGAGGTTTTTGGGCCCAGGACACAAACTCCACTGCTAGGCAGGGCGTGCAAGCCAGTGAGGTGCCCAAGTATGACAGAAACTGAAGCTGGGATGGTAAGGTAGACAGCCTCTGCTTTGGGGAAGGGTCAGAGGCTATGGAGATGCATCCAAGTGGCAGAATCTGCTCAGCTCCTGCCAACTGTCGTCAAGACCTTCTGAGGAATCTGGTGCGGTTGGATTATATGACAACTCAAGGGAAGCTGAAAATGGAGATTTTCATGCAAGGTGTCTGCTTTTCTTTTTATTTTTCTTCTTCTTCTTTTTTTTTGAGATGGAGTCTTGCTCTTGTTGCCCAGGCTGCAGTGCAGTGGTGCGATCTTGGCTCATTGCAACCTCCACCTTCCAAGTTCAAGCTATTCTCCTGCCTCGGCCTCCCGAGTAGCTGGGATTACAGGCATGTGCCACCACACCCTGCTAATTTTGTATTTTTAGTAGAGATGGGATTTCTTCATGTTGGCCAGGCTGGTCTCAAACTCCCAATCTCAGGTGATCTGCCCACCTTGGCCTCCCAAAGTGCTGGGATTACAGGGGTGAGCCATCACGCCCAGCCAAGTGTCTCCATTTTTCAGTGCTGGCAATTAATTCAAGGTTAAGTATGATAATAATAAAAACAATAACCCCATGTAGGCCCAACAAACTCTTCTGCCAGCAAAGTCGGGCCCGTTGACCTCCAGTCGTGACCTCTGGATCAGCGGGCTCCCAGGTGGCTGGAAATAAATCTAGCACATATCCCCTTCCCCGGCTGCCAGGGCACAGACCCCAGTCACAGTCTGGGGACAAGTCCCTGGCAAAAGAAGGAGTCTGACCTGTGATTAAGGCGAGGGCTGAGGTCCCCACCACCCTTGAGGAAAACATGACTCAGCAGAGGGATCAGGGGCAGGAATGATGCAGAGGACCCTGGAGAGGACAGGTGTGCACCAGATTCTCCCAAGGATAATCCCTTCTTCTCTTTCTCCTTTTCTTTTTTTGAGATGAAGTCTTGCTCTATCACCAGGCTGGAGTGCAGTGGTGCAATCTTGGCTCACCGCAACCTCTGTTTCCCTGGCTCAAGTGATTCTCCTGCCTCAGCCTCTCGAGTAGCTGGGATTACAGGTGCATGCCACCACCCCTGGCTAGATTTTGTATTTTTGTAGAGATGGGATTTTACCACGTTGGCCAGACTGGTCTCAAACTCCTGATTCCAAGTGATCTGCCCACCTTGGCCTCCCAAAGTGATGGAATTACAGGCCTCTTTCTCCTTTTCAAAATGTGTAACTTCTAAGGATACATTATCCATGTTAAGAGTCCTGGCCAGGGCATAGTGGTTCACATCTGTAATCCCAGAACTTTGGGAAGCCAAGGTGGGAAGATTGCTTGAGCTCAGGAGTTCGAGACCAGCCTGGGCAACATGGCATGACCTTGTCTCTTCAAAAAACAAAAAAACAAAACTAACCAGGTATGGTGGCACATGCCTATAGTCCCAGCTACTTTGGAGGCTGAAGCAGGAGGATTGCTTGAGCCTGGGAGGTTGAGGCTGCGTTGAGTTATGATCATATCACTACACTCCAGCCTGGGTTAAAAAAAAATCCTGTCAAAAATATTTAATGTAATTATGAGTGGGGAAAACCAAGATAGATTTTTTTTTTTTTTTTTTTTAAGGCACCCTGTACAAAAACAGCTTCCTGAACTCGAAAAAATTAGCAGTGATGGATTAAAAAAACAAAGACTAGATGAAGATCAGCTGGGGCTGGGGAGTTTTCTCCCAGGCCTCAGCAGCCTGAGAGAAGGGAGGGCGGGTTCTCAAGGCTAGCATCAGAAAACTGTCTCCCCAAGCCTTGGTTTCAGGCTACATCCCCAAGGTGGGTCCAGAGACAAGTTTCCTTCCCGGGCTTCCACAACCCAGTGCTAAGAAGCAGGCAATCATAAAAACAAGGGACGGATTTCAAAAGTGCACAGATTCCTTATTTTGTATTCCCATTATTCTTATTTCAGCAAATCATGGTCATCATAGTCCACTTTTATTTTGCTTAATAATGCAGTCCATGAAAATTTCAATCAAATTTAATGACAAATTAACTATGACATTAAAGTAAACTGGGCATTAGGAATAAGTAGATGTTTTGGTACTCAGAGGCGGGTCTGAATGCTTCCGGAATGTGCTGCCCTGCAGGTATCTCTCTGTTTTCCCTTTTCTCACCCAAACTGCTCTTGGCCTTGACCTCTTGTTGGGGAAACATTTCCCTACAAAGAAAGAACTTCCCTATGTCAGGAAGACGCTTGGCCAAAGGTGGGCAGGCAGGAAGGGAAACGGGTCTTGCCCAGCCTTGTTCCCCAGAATCTTCCCGAGGTGACCTACCCTCAGAGTAAAGATGCTACCACCCACCCCAGGAGGCCTGTTCAGACAGACCCTGCTAGCCAGAAGGGGAGATGGTACCAAGGACAGCCCCTTCAATGACGCATCCTGGCTGGCTCCAAGCCAACCATCTAAAAGGCTGTGGAAGACTGAGGACGGCTGAGACCCGCCTACGTACTACTTAGTTCCCTTCCTGTCCTGGAGTTGAGGATGAGCATGCCCCAGAGT